GATCACTGTGGCAATGTATGGGAATAGTCAAGAATGAAACTATTTTAATCTAAAATGAGACATTTATCGGCAAAGGCAATATCGCTACCTCAAATTTATTGTTCCCCATCACTATATTAAATATTCTCTCAATCTCGCCCCTGTGCTGAGGTTTGTTGATTTTTATTTGTAACAAAATGAGTGAAGACATTGGAGATCCTCGATAACGTAAACACGATATACCTGCGATGTAGAAGTAGACATAGGGATTTTCTATAGGAATGTCTACTTTTAAATGATAAAGTCTTCTGAAGCACGCCTAACTTTATGCAACCAAAATAACTAGCTACAACAAATGAAGATCTGCCTGTCATATTAATTAATTTGAATATTGTCGCTTTGACTTCCGTGTTTTATTACTATTTGCAATCAGTATAAATAAAGTTATAATACTTATAAGCAAATGCATTTGCTGGAACGGGGGTTTGCATTAAAATTTAAAGGAGCTAATATCCAGTGATAATCAGCTCTGCATATTCTTTATGTGGTACTTAGACGTAAATGGGCACGGACTTTGGAGTTTTTTACACTATTACACAATAAACCTCTAAATAATATTGCTGTGTGCAATGGTTAGAATTTTATACATCCGGCTCCGGCATAGAAGAAAAATCCCAATATTGATTTAAAATTACTCAAACCGAGAGACTCGGGTGACCTTCCAACAATTCCAAAGATTTTTTACGCAAATACCTACACAAAGCCTGTTTGGACATAATTCCCCTGCACTCGGACAGTCAATAATTAAAAATTAAGAAAATCTTAAGTTACTTTCAGTTATTTTTTCAATAATCCCTGTCTCCAGTATTTAAAGGGACACCACAACCATCATAAGATAAACTCCTTCTACAAGATTTTCAAAAATCACAATTATACTTGATAACGCCAGCCTCGAAGGTCGCCACTTGCGCCAAAAATAACGCCCAATGTATCAAAACACCTTATTTCTTTACAGCGTTAAAACATGTACGTTAATTACATGTCCTCTAATAAAAACTGCTTATCGCAAACGACCAGATGTCTCTACATTTTAACACGCAATTTCACGTTTTACACAATTGCACAAATCTAAATAAACAATTTACAAAAGTGATCCATTTTAAATAAGAATTACGCAATTACAGATTTCTAAAAGGAAAAACAAACACTGAGATACAAATTCAAAAGAAACGAACTAACTCTGTGCTTATTTCGTAAATAATCCTCCAGATGTACAATTAATAAATTGAGATATTGTCATATCCCATCGTCACTTTTGGTGTCTAGACCGAAATAACGATCTACATGACGTCGTTTACACAACAATATCAATAAAATTTACAGATATACGTTTCACTTCTTTTGAAATATTTTAAATTTGTCTGAGCTAAACGTAATAGGAAGGATTATACCTTCTCCTCAAGTGATTTAGATCTCTTTTGCACCTTCATTCATGCTTCACAGTTCACACCTACCTCAATCTTCCATCAAATCACGTACACGCTCTCTTATGTCCATCATCTTTACTTTCCCACACGCCGAGGCGTCGGGAGGTTGTGGGTTCGAATCCCGCTGCCGACTGCTCTGTCTGGGGTTTTGCCAGGGGGTTTTCCTCAAATATACGTAGCTTCGCATAATGGTACCATTATCTTGAAATCTACGAGGCGAATGCCGAAGCAGTACTTTCCCCCTCAGCACCGTAACTCCGTTCCTTCCGTTCCCATCCCTAACTTTCTATCCTTACATTCCCATTCTCTGGCTGAAGAGGCTCTGGCAAGCCTGAGCAGCCCGCGTCCCTGTAGTCAGGGATGTCGGAGGGATAAAACACGATGACATTTTCCTTTTCCTTTTTTCCCATACTATCATATCTCCTTAAAACTTTTTTCACGTCTTCTTCAGGTCTCCTTCATGCTTCTCTCGAAAGTTCACGACTTCCTTAAATTTCCCTTACTCTTCCTTCAGGCTATGATCAGGTACATTTTATCTCTTTCGTTCCTTATATCTTCTTCAGGCCTCTTTCAAGCGTTATTTACCACATTTTATCACCACACCTCCGCCATGCCACGCCAACTGTACCCGCAGATATTCTTTGCGTCACATTCACATCTCCTTTTAGATTGGACAGTACATACAGAACGGAGTAAGTATAAGTTGCCTATTGTCAATCGCCAAATTTGGCCATTTATAATATTAATTTGTGATTGATGGCAGAAACATAAACCTAGACCAATTATAATGCACATTTTCTATCTGTATAAATCAAGTGGCGCAGCGGAAGCTATCTTTTCGCGCTTTTGAGGAAAATTTTTAAGTTGGAACAATTTCCAAAATTGAGATAAGTTCGTAAACTTAATATCCAGGCAATAATGCCAGGAAAATGTATTTCCTTTTGTCTTTTCCACAATATGGCACCCTAACAGCCCTCGACGTTACCCTTAAAAAAAAATTAGTTTAAAACCCCGACGTTATTGTCTAGCTAAAGCATTCACCTTTCACAGGGATATTCGACCGCTTCTTCATCTTCACTCAGAATTCAGATATTGTGGAACGAAATCAAGCGTTTTCGGACAACGGAACAGGTCAAGTGCTTTTTACATCTCCTTCTCCCTCATGCATGCTTTATACGCCTATCAAGCCCAGTATCTCCTTCTCGCCTCCATCACCTTCATGTTTTTTTGCGAACGTTCCTCATGCCTGAAGGCTTTCTTCCGCCAGTGCGTCTCCTTAATGCCTCTTTCACAACACGTCCGATATCTCCTCACGCCTCCATCACTTTCACTATGCGATCTCTTTACGTCTACTTCAGGTATGCTTCACGTCTCCAGAACGCTTCCAGCACTATCTGTTGTCTGACCCTAGGGATCCTCCAAACCAGCACTGCAATCGTGACTAACGCTATACTTACAATTGGCAGTTGGGAAAAATAATTAAGCAGACCCATCTAACTTTCAAGTCAAAACGATGGACGTTTCGCGGTACTTGAATCTGAGTAGCAGTCGGCTCGGACTGGATGGCACGAATTAATTCCTACATTGTGTAATACCTAAGTTGGCTCTTTTATGTGTTGCTATAATACGGAGGTAATTGAATAAAATGCAGAATTTTGTGAGTAAGCAAAAACAAGAATAAAAAAATATATTACGCACACAACAAGGCGATACCAGGAAAACCTTTTAAGGAACAAAAAAACAGGCAGAACCCAGACAAATACACGAAATAAATCAACTACGTCAATAAAATGCATTAGAGAAAAATACACAAATCCAACGTTTCAAAAGGTATCTAGTCAAATGCAGTAAATAAATCAACAAGAATGATATAGGTACAAGAAACGTCATAAATACAAGTGAAAAATACGATAAATCAAATCAAGTACCTACAAAACACATCTCCGATTCAATTTAGACAAAACATAACTCGTAAAACGGTAAATTACATGTACCTACATTAAAAACAAACATCAAAATGGCGTGGCTCTAATAAAATAATGTAAAAGGCATTATCACCCTCACCGTATAACAGACAAACATGATTCACTCACGGTACATAAACAAAAGCTTAAAGTACGCCACGTTTTATTATCAGTATTTTTTGCACAATTTCAATAATAACAAATTGTGACATAAAAGTCAATGTTTAATAGTTAGTACAAAAAAGAATAAAAATAACTCAATAATCTTTATTAAATTATGAAACCGTTATTTTTTTTAAGTTGCTCTTTGCTGCAATAGAATAAAATATAAGTAGTGGGGTTGAGGCGAAATAATCCCTTTATTTATAAATGAAACAAACTCATTGTATAATGAATAACCGTCAGGCGCTTGAGCTTGTATTTTTATAAACACCCTGTATAATCGCTTGAACAAAATGGTTTCAATTTGTTTAGCACTTAAATACAAAAAAAATACGACGCGATTAAACAAAAACGTCCATAAATACCTCCAGTATAGTGTTTGTGCAACAGTTCTAGATGCGTTTTCTTCGCTGCTTTGATGTAGAATGGGTTTGCCTTCGGGACTTGGATATGATTCGGAATGCACGGACCGGCTACAGACTTCTGGGCGTGGCTTCTAATTACGGTGCTCCGCCGTGGAAATTGTCAACTTTGTTTTCTTCGTCCGCGAGATTACACGATGACTCGCTCTTGGCTTAATTTCTTTTTTAGAGACCGCCTAATGGGCCGATTGGCTTAAGATTGCACGACGCGCTCTGTGATTACAACAGACGTACTTTATCTCCTTAATGCTCTTATTTTAATTACAATGACTCGCTTCATTTACCTCATCCTGAATATACACACGTACTGCAGCATAATTAATTTACTCTATTTACATCTGAAATAAAATGCATTTCTGAACGCGCTTGTTACTGTATATTGCTGATTTCCTTACAATGCTTCCTTACAATGGAAGTCTTGTTACATTTCCCTAAAGCATTTTTAAGCTCGGAGGTTTAAAGTCTGTGGTTTTTTAAGGGGTTTGGAACAATGAAAGGGTCGTCTCCTTCATTCACACATTTTCTATTGAGTCCGTCATCTCATGGGTCGACAGTGGGTGCTCTAGGCTCATAATTCAATCCTCAAAGTGATCTTGAGATTTTCCGAGACTTCTACTACCTTGTGCCTCCAGGATCGTAAGTTCCCTTCACTAATCTCAATTTTGTTTTGAATTTTGGGAGCCGTGGTAAGTGGAAGGCCCAGGATCTTAAAAGCCCTAAGCATTTCTGTTATTTTTTTAATTAAAAAAAAGGTCTTTCTAATTTCTACTGAAATGCTCACTCAAACATATTAAAAAAAAATAAGTCAAATAAAACTCAAACATAAGATTAGGGATGATGAGTGATGGTTTAATTTTCACAAGTCAGGACAAAGGAGTTCCCGATCACGAGTAGCTCTCAGCAATAAAGAGCTTGAGATTTCATTTTGCTTACCAAAAGTAATACACTAATCCAATTCAAAACTTAAATTTGTTGTTTTTTTTCAGGAGATGCGTGCCATCCTTATGAACCCTTTAAGTGTCCTGGTGATGGTAATTGCATATCAATTCAGTATTTATGTGATGGGGCGCCCGACTGCCCCGACGGGTACGACGAAGACTCTCGTCTGTGCACAGCTGCGAAACGACCACCCGTAGAGGAAACTGGAAGTTTTTTGAAATCTTTACTTGCCAGTCATGGACCAAATTATCTCGAAAAATTGTTTGGTAGTAAAGCGCGGGACGCTTTAAAGCCACTTGGTGGAGTAGATAAAGTAGCAATTGCATTATCAGGTAATCAAGTATTATAGTTGTTTATTAACGTTTTAACTGTCCACGTTTCAGAATCTCAAACAATAGAAGATTTTGGAGCCGCGCTTCATTTAATGCGATCAGATTTAGAACATTTAAGATCAGTTTTTATGGCAGTGGAGAATGGAGACTTGGGGATGCTCAAGTCTTTGGGGATAAAAGATTCAGAACTGGGGGATGTAAAATTTTTTCTGGAAAAATTAGTTAACACCGGTTTCTTGGACTGAAGTATATCGGACCCTGCTGCTGTATTTTTCGCTCATCCCCAACCACATGCACCTCTAATTAAGGGATTTTATTCTTATCTTCCCTACTAAATGCCCTTTCATTACAGCAGCAGAGTTCGTAGAATCCGTCCCCTTTTCGTCCCTTGGCCATGTATGATCTGCAGCTGTCTCAGCGGATCATCAAAACAAATTATGGTCAGTAACAATCAGACTTACAAGATACATATCAACGGCCCCAATATTTTTTGGGATACTACATATCATTAGTTAATAGTGATTATAACAATTATTATACAAGTCATATCGGGCGAGACCCTAAGACAACCAAGCAGGTTGTTTTACTTTTTGACATAAACTTAGAATTCGATATTCCTTATCTATCTACGTGTTTTTGAATATGTCTCCACAATATGCTAATTTAGCACGTGCATTAAGTGATATTTAAAAAATTGTTAATATTTATATATACAGTGTGATCAGTTATTATCGTACAAGGATTTGACTCCCAGAACAATTAATGCGGCACTGAATGGTGGGAGATCAAAGGCAGCCTTTTGTTTCGTGATAGATGACATATGACACAACGAATATGCTATGCCTCAAGCCCCGCATATCTATTAATTGTCAGAATGATGGATTAGCAACTAGAGGATCGGATTGGTAAGCAACAGTCTAACAGGAATGAACCATCTCAAGGCGTTGCGTATGTAGGGCCTCGCACGCATTCACATATTGCTGCTGCTCCTACTGTGCCGAATGTGATTATTTTCTTGTACATATAACATATAACTCAACATTAATCATCGATTGTTGATTGCTAAACTCGTAGTGCACCGATAACGACCTGACACTAACAACACGACGAGTATTTCAATCGACAATTGGACAAACGTCAATCACATATACATGACAGAAAGCAGGACTGAGTCCAATTGATATAAATATATATACAAATATATTTTTTCGACTAGGTAGTTGTGGAGTTCTTTGTGCCGACATCAAATTATAAATATTTTAATTACCCAATATATGTAAAAAAAAACTTCATAAATACCAACTTAATTTCTTTAAATATAAATAACCACTTAGTAATTTCGTTAATGAATTGAAATTTTTAAATGAAATAAAATATGAAAAATCTGTTGTGCGTACTTTTCTCTACACACCTACCTTTAGTAACATCCATCTACTGTGAAACGAAGCAACACATATATGTGGGTAACCCACACGCCTTCTGCCTCGTAACACCAGCGCAGTTCACGTAACCACTGTACTCCTGACCACTTAGTTATCTGCGACTTGCATGAAAAAATGAAAATCCTACTCCAAAGTGTGTCCAGGAACAGAACTAATCTGATTGACGGAAGTATTTCATTTGGAATCTCCGAAATATGTCCCAAATACATCCTGCAAAGTAGATTTTTAGAAACAGGTCCACCGATATCAAATCAAATCAAATCAAATCAATTTTATTCTCCATTGTAAAAACAATTATAAAAATTTACCTACACTTAACTTTAGGAGAAAATGGTGGGAAAAATTACTCCACCACCGACTTACAATCATTATATGGGGGGTATATCGTCACCGTCAAACCCAACTCCATTTTTATTAATAGTGGTCCCTAAATACTGAAGAGACATCGTTTTTGATATCAACTTCTACAAATAAGAAATCCACAAAATAAAATTGTAATATAGCTTTGGCACAAGTAAGTATATTTACATCTTCATCATTTTCGGTAGTTGACTTCAACAACGTGGGTGACGCCTTACCTGTAAGACACATACATACACAAATGGTATTACATTGGCGATGGGGTTTTAATTGAATCATATAATCAAAACCTACCTAATTACCTTTTTTTGAGTTTATACATCAGCTCAACATTTACGTATTTTTATTCGTTTGCGTTTCAGTGGTAGAACTGATTTTTGGGATTTAGTGAATTTACAGGCATCCTGATTGAACAAAAATAAAACTCACCCTTAAGACTTACTACACGAGTCCCCCCCAAAGGAAGGTCCATTTGTCATGCACCCCATTTACCATTGGAACGACGCCGCACGGCATAAACTTCGCCAACTAACACGCGGAATCTGTTGGCGAGTCAATCACATCAAAATACTTCTAGAACCACCCAATTCATAATTTTTTTTAAACTCAAGCGCAGCTCCATTTGGGTCCCGTATGTATTTTCGTGGTAAATTTTTTTTTTAATTGTCAGACAGTCTGCAGGATTGTTCGCCTCCATTCATACTGTGGTATTGGTTTATTTTCTTACAACCCTGTATATTACTTTTAAAAAAAGAAGGCAATAAAAATAAAACAACTGGTGAAAAATTTGCAGTTGACTTGTAAAAGTTTAATTGTTTATTTAATATAGCACTTAGTCTTACACAAAGTCTATTTGGTACCAACTATCGGACCAAACACTATTGTGATGCTGCATACGAATTTGTTTCACAGCACTCAACATGTACAAAATATAATTCAAAAAGGTTCACCAAATTTGACACAATGACCACCGCAATATTGATATACTAAATGAATAGTGCCTGGTAGCACAAAACGTCTTTCCTTAAATGCAGCGTTAACAAATAAGTTTGCAACATGACACAGATAACAAAAATTTAATAAAAATGGAACAATAATAAATGTTAATCTTCTTTTTTCGAAGAAGCTGGTTTATCACTAGACTCTTCGTTACTGTCAGTATTATTTGCAGACGCATTACTACCTTGATCCCCAGAAAATTGCCTACGTAAATTATCCACAAATGATGGATTATTAATTTGCATCTGCTCGGCCAATTGTTGGCCCCTAAAATAGGCATCATAGCCACATTTTAGACCGATTTTAAGAATAACTTACATAGATAATAGCGCGTCGATATTTGGATTACCGCCTTCATTACCCATCTGCAGTAATCCCGACATCCTACAAAGTTTGAATTAAAATGTTTATATTATGAAAACCTATTTGCAAACTATTGTTTGTTAACAGCTAAATTAGCTGCTACCTACACTAATAGCAAAAATTCTGAAATAGCATACATACACATTACGAATTCCGGGATCATTCAACATCTCCGACGCCATATTTAACAAATTGGGATTCGTCATAAACTGATTGATATCCATGTTACGGTCGCTAGGAACTGAATCTTAAATAAAAATGTGGTTGCAACAGCTTAAATTACAGCCCACTCCAGTTACCTGTGTTAGATGCGAGTTGTTCTTTTACGAGATTAAGATTAGACTGATACATTTCGTTTGTTGGGTCCAACTCCAGCGCTCTTAAATACGCATCTCTGGCATTTGTTAATTTATTCAATCTAGAGTACGCAATCCTGCAATTAAAAAAAGTCACTTAATGTTCGGCCGTTCGGCGGCGATAATTGAGAATTCAAATTAAAATTAAGTATTTGCACTTTGCATTGTAGCTAATAGAATAAATTAGTAACCAAGTAATGCAACGCATAACAAAAGAAACTTCGGCATGACCAAAAAAATAATACATACAGAAAAATTTATAAAATCGCACCTTTTACCATGGTTGGTGAAAATGTGTTAAAAAAAGATGGCGGTTAAAGAAAATGCAATAGCAACATAAAAAGAGGTTTAGATAACCCAGTATTTATTTATTTTTATGTATATTTTTAAGTGAGCGAGGTTTCAGCGGAGGCTCCTCCACTATACATTTACAAATATAGATGCCTGAACCTGGATTCCAACCAGGGACACTTAGTACCACATTACGCCACTGCGCCACACAATCAATCATTTTTGAATCATTAGTCAAATGGATAAAAAGTGGCACCAAAACGAAATAGTATATTGAAATACAAGTGTTACAATGCGACCTATTGTAATACGACTATCTTGTGGCACGAGTGGCGTAGCGAAGCGGAGCCACGAGTGTCCACAGGATAGGAGTATTACAATAAAGCATTGTAATACGTGTTTTTCATACTATTTTTTCTATTTCGGGGTTTTAATTTAATTAAAAAGTAATTATGAAAAACTACAGGAAACTTTAGAATTAATATGTCTTAAGTTGGCAACACCATTTACGTTGACAAATTTTAAGTTGGCAGCGCAGATAAACACAACTAAAGTGACCATTCGTCCGTCATTAGGACGGATTGTCCGTTTTTTAAACTTATCGTCCGACATTATAGTATGTCCGGCAAAATGTCCTGCATTTAAGGGATCAAAGAAAAAATAATATAGCTTCACAAAACAAAAGGAAAAGAACAACTTTCATTTTTCGCGGAATCTAACGAGCAGGCGGTTCGTACGCGTTTACCTTGACTACTATACTTTAGAGGTGAGAGGGCGGGGTGGGGCGGTGGGGTATCGGTACGGCAAGTACGATGCGTTCATGGTTCATTACTTGTGTGGCTTTCCAAGCGCAAAAACACGTGCGATTTCATTTTTATGCTAAATTAACCAATTGAAGTGAAAAAACGAAGATTAGTTTAATTGGTCTTCTTCCTCTGGTTAACAATTAAGTAAGTACTAACGTTACGATAGTAATAGAAGCAATTATCAAATATTTTTCATAAATTTGTAGATTAATATGGGCCCAAAACTAAAAAGAATGTGCAAATTTTCCGACGATATAGGAAAAGAATACCCATTCATAAAAAAATCAAAATTGGATTCCGAAGTATATTGTGAAAAATGTAAGAGTGTGTTTTCTATCGAGTATGGAGGTAAACGTGACATAACAAGGCATTTAGGGTCGGAGAAACACAAAAACGTTTTGCTTTCCCTTGCTTCTTCAAGCCAAGTCACCAATTATTTCAGAAGGGAGGAGTTCGGTTCAAGTGAAAAAAAAATAGCATTATCTGAGGCAGTATTTTCATTCCATACAGTGGTTCATAATCAGACGTTTAGATCGATGGATTGTACGACCAAGATAATCCAACATTTGTTCGAAAAAAAATTTGCTTGTCGAAGAACTAAAACCGAAGCAATAATAAAGAAAGTCATTGCACCTTTTGCTGCTTCTGAGCTCACAAATGATTTAGAGTCTTTAGATTATGTATCCATTTTTTCAGATGCTTCAAATCATAAAGATTAAAGCTTTTCCCGACACTAGTTCGTTATTTTAAGAAGGATACGGGCGTTGTTGTAAAACTTTTGGATTTTGTTTCACTTCCTGGGGAAACATCAGAAATGATTTCAAACTTAATTATAAACATTTTAACGACCCACAACTTAACAAATAAATTAGTAGCTTATTGTGCAGACAATGCAAATACAAATTTCGGTGGAATTTCGAGAAAGGGGGAAAATAATGTTTTTAATAGGGTAAAAAAACACTTAAATCGAAATTTATTTGGTGTAGGATGCACAGCTCATATAATGCATAATGCCATCCAAACCGCTGCCGATTTACTTCCCATGGATATTGAAAGCATAATTGTTAAAATATATTCTCACTTCTATATATACACTGTGCAAACAGAAAGTTTAAAGGAATTTTGCATGGAAGCTGAAGTAGAATACAAAAGATTGTTAGGATACAGTAAGACTAGGTGGCTTGCTTTACTTCCAGCGGTGGAACGCATTTTAAAATTGTTTATTCCTCTAAAATCCTACTTTTTATCAATTGACAAGTGTCCAAAAGCAATTGAAACATTTTTTAATAATGCAACATCAGAACTTTGGTTGCTATTTTTACAAAATCAAGCTGCACTTTTTTCAGAAAGTGTAAAAAAAATTGAGGGTAACACTACCACTTTAATAGAAACCTTTCAAGAAGTAGCGAATTTGAAAATTAAATTGAGTGAAAGAATTGCGGAAGGATTTATTCCTTTAATGGTGAGGAGCAAATTCAACCAATTACACGAAAGTGGAGAAATGAACGAGATTTGGTTTAAATCGCATATTAAAAACTTCTATGTTAATTGTCTCACATACCTTAATAACTGGTCTGGTCATCTTGATATCGCCGAAAATTTCATATGGGTAACTCTCACTCGACCCATCGAATGGAAAAACGTACAATCTACATATGAGTTCCTTAATAGCAACTTTCCCACGAACCAGATTAGAGAAGATAATTTATTTGACGAAACCACATTCTTGAGGGAATATGTAACTCCAGAAAAAATTTCAACTTGGAAATCAAATTCAACATCAATTGATTTAAAATGGGTTGAAGTATTTACGTATTTCTGCTCAGAAGATGTGCCTTGTATGAACTTGCAAAAAATTATACAATTCTGCTTGTGTTTTCCAGGGACAAACGCTTCAACAGAACGGGTGTTCTCGATCATAAATAAATTGTGGACGGAAGAAAAAACTCAATTAACAATAGACACACTGAAATGCATACTTACTGTCAAATGTAATATGCAGTTATCTTGTGAAGATTTTATTAATAAAATAAAAGATGATAGTGATTTTCTTAAAAAAGTTCACTCTGCTGAAAAATATTTATAAAATAAACTGTCAATATATGTTTGTTTAGTTAGGTAAAGTAAAGTTGTAGGTACCTATTTAAGTATACTTATTGTTTTTGAAATGGAAATAAAATTTTATAACGCTTACTTGTCCGTCATTGACTTATTTTAAATATGGTCACTTTAAACACAACACAGACATATTCTGTGCACAGACCATTTGGAAACTTTAAATTCCGTGAATGTGTCATTTTTTATTCGTAGATAAATTTATTTATGGTGGATGTGTAAACTGCTGATTTGTAATGTATTAAGTTCTTCGTGTACCAAAAACCAAGGAAAACACATAAATTTTACGTAATTTGATTTCACATCGTATGATTTGACATTGACGTCTTGGCGAACTGCCAACTTAGAGATGAAAAGTTACCAAAAACAATGTTACAATGGAACTCATTGAAACACTGTTTTTGCCGAAAACAGTTGCACAAAATTCTCATTGTAACACCGAAATAGAAAAATTTACTTGGGAAAATATGGCGATATACTCAGTTACGGAGTACATGCCTGGTGTCCACTACTATAGCAATTTTGAATCATGTGCAAAGTTGAATGTTCCTTGCATGTATAAGGGCTATGCGGTACGCCTCCATTGGAACTGCTTTGAAAGCAACTTTTTGAGTCGAAGCTATGAGATTGGTAGATAAAGAACAACCACTGTCGCATTCAGGGAGAGTGTCTCAAGATAAAGCCTGTGCATTTTACTCATATAAGTTTAAGCTTATCAAATCATCAATGTTTAAATTTAAATATTTTGTGGCCTTAAAGCTCAAGTTGATTCCGCTGGCAATATCCACATGTGGATATTCATTATTTTTTTATATCATCCACTGATACATATTGTGCATTTAGAATGTTTTTTCCTGTAGTTCTCTACAAAACGTCTTTATCTTTATATTACTTAAAAAAGTATGGACATGAACATGCTTCATAAGTGACAATCTTTTGTTTAGACAGCGTGAGTTTGCCTACGACTCGCCACGCACCACTCCCGTGAGAAATACCCCGAATCTGATGCATGGTGAGACAAGCCTCTCCCTGAGCCGCCAATACCCACGAGGCAGCAATGGAAGAGCGGCTCCAATTTCCCGCCTACTTTTGTTGCTGTACGCTTTTTCTCACGCATTTCACAGTACAGGGTAATTTCTGTATACTTCTATTAATTGAATGCTTTTATTTAGATCCATTTTGATGCGCGTCTAAACACAAACTGGTTTACACTGCGCCAATCGTTCATGGGAGTCTCCTTTGATGCGCGTTCGAGACCGACCGGCTGTTCGCTGGTGGTGCACCTCGTAATTCGCGCTCCGCGACGGTTTACACTGCACAAGAATTGACTGGCGAGGCAAACTCGCGCTGTCCAAAAGCGCCTTTAACACACGGTGGATTCATGTTGGACAATAGATATGTACTTACAGGAACACCAACTTTTATGCATAAAGACCCTAGAAACTAAACTAGAATTGAAGCAAATTTTTAAAATTGACGTGAGTAGTTTGGAACCTTGCTACAACAAAAATTTCAAATTTTATTGTCATAAACCTAGGGCTCAATAGCATTATACAATGTGTCCAGATTTTGATACTTACCATTAATATCTGTTGTTAGAAGACATAGAAAGAAGCTTGAATCAGCAGTCATTACTTCTATCAAAGAGTACCCATAATAAGAGATTCAACGGCATAGAGAATAGCGTTGCATATGTATTGTGTGTTGCCTAACAAATTTTACTGCTTTTTCTCAATTTTATTGGCGTACGCTACGCCTAAGGGGCTATTCCAAGGCAACTACTTGTTTAGAAGTTTATAAATATCATTGCAGAAATTCCAGCGTTGCCAAATGTTTACTGTTTGCTTGTACTTATTTAGGTATCTATTATTCCTTGAAATGTATGATGTTTAGAGATATGTTATTCCATTCTACGCTTATGGCACAATTTATTAAGGTCCGAACGCTTGTTGGTTTGATTCATAGGTGCGAAGATATGTTCTTCGTGTAACAATAAGCCGTTTTTTGAGCGGTAAATAATAGATTTTTTAGTGTGTATTGTGTATTCCCAGTAAGCGCGAGTAATAAGCTCGCTTTGATTACGTCTCTGCCCTTTGTACACACTGTTCGTCGCCCTACCATGGACGGACGTATGGAAAAGTCGACCAAACTAGATCGTTTAGTTAGAGGAAGTAGTCTAACGAACGATATTTACCTCCAACTTGCGCGGAAATAAACGAACATTTTTTTTAAAAAAAGGCCAATAGACGTTTTATAGCATTTATTGTACAAATAATAAGATAATGAAAGATTCCCGGAAAAAAATGTTGCAATCACTTTTTAATTTTTGCCGGCCAAACTATAAACAATATAATAAATCCAAAATAAACTGCCTCAGCCCTCAATTGGATTATAGTTGTGATCGAATGGTTCAAATCAGTTAAAAATGTGAACTGTGGACCAACGCAACCTCTGACGCAACCCCACCTCTTTAAAAATGGTTTCTTTGCGATAACTGAAAAACTACTTGACCGATTTGGACCATATTTTTTACCAGTCGATGTGACTAATGTCCCCTTTAATCTCATTACATTTCAGTCCGATCGACCCACGCATTCCGGATATATTTAAACGCTCCAGAAACCCTATATTTGGAGTGGAAGCCAATGTTGTTGTCAAAAATGAGAACATACACTGCATTATTAATCGTTTAGATGGATGAATCACTAGCAGTACGCGGTGGCTCAAGTTGAGCGGCAAATTTAAATACATATACTTATGTGTTTTTTCCGCTACTAGCCAATGGTGATTGAAAAACATGTGTACGACGCTTAGTTGCTAGGAGATCGATGCGCGCTAGTGCTGCAGCTTAAAATGCGGGTCGAGAGTATTTTTTTTATTGAATTGTTTAATTGAGAATAACGTGTAAATATTTAATTAAATTTATTCGACGGGTGCAGGTTTATTAATTTATTATTTAACTGCACTATATATTTTGACTGATTATTGGATTAGACTGATGTTTTTTTTTCTGAGGACATAAGGATTATTGCATTGTAATGATTGATTGTTAATGATTAAACAACTCAGCGTATGTACGCATCTATACAAAATTAAAGCAAACAAAATTTCCTGTAAAATAATCGCTATGCTCATCATAAAATCCAATTTTATTTTAATTTGACTGTAGTAGACGATCTAAAAAGGATGGATAACAAATTTAATTTACATTTTTACAATTGTACCTGTTATTGGTTATTAAATTAAATAGTAATTACTGTCTATTCAATAGACGCCAACTAAACAGGAAAATACCAATGTAATTAACAATAGGTACTGAATCGTTGCTGATTTCTTTTATACTTAAGTAATGTTTTCTAATTATATCATGCCCAATTTTATACAGCCAATAAGAAAGAAAATTAAATGTGACAACCGCGCAAAAATTTTAAACCGAAATTCTATAAAGAATTCTGTAAATTTTCAATACGCGCCAATATTTAAAGAGGCGGTTAGTTCTGGCTTCCTCTACGCGAGGGCCCGCTTTTGGAATCCTAGCGGGCGAGTTCTGATAGCCAACATGCGTTTATACCATTGCGCTGTATCTCTTATTATGGGTACTCTTTGCTTCTATTCTTCTACGTGCTGAGCTTTCAAGAAAAAAAAATATCAAGAAAAAACGCACATTTTGGGACTTCAGGGAACCTCACTCCCAAATGTATTGGACACAATGTTTGTTTTGGCCCCTCATTACTCAATATTTACCTGTACATCTTGTAGAATGAACAATTTCTCAGCCTTTCAAACAGGGGCGGCTCTCTATAAAGAGCCAAGGAGCCATGGCACCACCTCAAGAAATCAGCTAATGATCAATTCTTAAAATATAATTAACAATTAATAATTGTGTTCACTAGACTCTAGAGCATATTGTGTTTTAAAACTTAAAACAAAAAAAAAAGAAATGATTTAATAAATTAGATACCAAGAATTCAAATGGTGCTTATTGTGGACTGCAAATACGGTCGAGCCGTGCCAAATCTAAACTGGCTCGTACTTTCCTACAAGTGTGGACTTCCGCGGGGAGTAGAGGGGTGGGAGGAGCGAAACCGCAGTAGCGTTTTATACGTACAACTTGAGCCACCAGAAGTTTGGCTCATAAGCACAATTGAATATTGTGTACGTGTATTACTATGCTTTGCGCTGTTTTCCGTGTTTCATTCTTGATAAGTCAAACACATTTTTTTACTTTACACTTACCGGACTAATTGTTACGTAAAATGCATAAAATAAATATTTATCCATGCATTCTCTGGAAGATAAACTTTAAATAAAGCAATACCGGACTTAAATATTGTTTACAAACAAAATGTGTCTAAATCTTCTAATTCTAAAGAATTGTAAGACACGACCATAGCGATAAATCCGAAAATGAAGGAGTATTCAAAGAATTAATAAATTTCAGTACTTGTTTAGTATAGATAAAGATTTGAATAGTGTTGAAAAGTGATAGTAGGGGCCTCATTAATAAAACTGCAAATAAAATTGATGCTATTGTTTATAGATAAGGTTAAAGCCATGGAAACGGATACTTCAAAAAATCGTGAAAAAAGTAACACTTTCCATACGATTATTGGTAAAAAAATTCCGCTAATTCTCATCTAAAACTACACAAAATGAATTACTGAAATGCAGGCTTTAAGTATATCATGAAGGGGCTAAACTTGTTTCCGTCACTGTAGGTGAAACTACAAAGGTGTCTCACCAACTCCAGCTTCCAGCCAGTAGACAGATTTTGGAATGTTGTAGATAAATATTAGAATTATTCTCTAAATCTAAACAACTGAAATAATATGGAAACAAAAATTTGTAACTAGTAAAATAATGGGGAGGGGCGAACAATTTGGCACTACCTTCAACGCAGCTTACGAGCCGCCACTGCTTTCAAAGCACCTCTATAGCCAACATAAATCCATCCAGATATGGTAATTAACATTCCATCTCTGACAAAACGTCCCCAGAGACGCCTGCACAAACTTTCACTTTTACCATCAAATACAAGTAAAGGAATGTTCAGTATGTGGCAATATTATGCTTCTTGTGAGTATGGAATATATATAACTACAGCTTCGAATGATGTGCTTCATGCCCCCTATAGCCTCCTTACGGAACTAAATAAATGGTTAACAACTCTTCCATTTATCTTTATAAATTCACATAAAAGCCAACAGCGCCCTATGGTGGTGTACCCTGTAAGCGTTATTTCCCATATAAAACCTTTTTCTTCATGCCTATCCTATTTGTAGCACATAATGGCATTTCTCAAGAATGTCAGTACCTACATATATCAAATAACAATGACCTAGAGATCCTATAGCACGCAGGCGCAAAGGGCCTAGAAAAAGTTGATGCACAAGCTAAACCCTCACACCCACAATCTACTTATATGACAAAATTTTGCACAGGTTTACCATGCTCTCCAGAAGCCAAACCCATGTACAAAAGATAGTCCTGAAAACTTAATTACAACAAATGTGGGATTTTGCTTCTGATGCTCAAAAAGTGTCATTCAGTGCTCAAAGGCTTTTGCTTAAATTAACTTTGAAGATAATGACCATGAGTTATTAAGTCAAAATGACACTAAAACCTTCAATGTAAAAGGTGGGTTTGATCCCTACCAAAAACAGAGCTATTATTCGTACCCTAAACGTCCATACGCCTTTCCGTAAGTCGGATCTAATTTCACAGCACACTCACAGTCTTCAACAACATATTCGTTAAGATCTAATCGACTATATGCAGCAGCTCGGTTACTGTAATAAACCGCATTATCTGGGTTTATACATATTGCCCTAAAACAAATAGGTAAGTACGATGAAATTAGCCCAAAAAGAACTTACTCAGTATATTTCTCAATTGCTTCTCTAAACAGTCCTTGTCGCATTAAATCGTTACCTTCGTTTTTGTATGTCTCCGCCTCCGCAATGGACTCTCCAGTTAGTGTCTACGAAATATTAATAATAAAAATGCCAATTATATCTCTTCCGTTACCTCCTTTTTGTTAGCTTGAAGACTTTGCGTGAATACATTAAACAGGTTTACGCATCCTGACTGACTCTCGCTATTATAATTCACTTCAAAAGCCGTTTCAATACATTGAATAGCCACCTCTAAGGATTCTTTCTTATCGGGGTCACTGTTTTGTGCTTCCTCCTGCAGGAAGCTCAGCATGGATAGGATCAAACTTCTTTTGGTTTTATCGAGAGTACACACGTCCTAAACATAAATGGGATATAAGGTTAGATCGCTAGACGAATTTACACTGTATGATTTATAATGTTGAACTTACCGGTTGTTGCATATTGAACATAAAATATATAGAAATTTAATATTAAAAACAGAACACGACGTAAATATTTAAACTTATCACGCTAGCACAACAAACTTAAAAGAAAAAACTGTGTGCAAGAAGCTTAGAGATTCTTTCATAGTCTAAGGCAAGAAGTCTCAAAAATTCTCACTTCTGATTGGTCCATTTTCCTTCACGTGATTTGCTGTTTTCATAGGCAGTGACGGACTGATCATTTCAACCGGCCCGAGTGTGACTTGCGGAACGTGGATAAATAAAAAATAAATGGATTCTTTATAGTAATTAAACGAGACACAAATTATTAGTGTACACCTAAAGGGATTTCTGGCCTCAACTAACAGTGCCAAAACCCCTTTTTTTGTGTAAATTATAAAGAAGCGGCAGCGTTTCTCCATCAAAAAAAATTAAAATATGCAAATTACTCCAATTTATGTTTACGGACAGTTCTACCCTTCATGGCAATCTAATGGCAGGTCTCATCGAAAGGAATTGACTTCTACAAAGCTATAATTGCCTTCCGTAATTCCTTTTCGAAATTTGCGGGTGTGGGGGCGATTGGTTTTATCTTTCAAGGTACTCCAATTAAAAATCTCAACGAAGGGAACTGTTACCCCTCATCAAAATTAAGGGGTAGGAGGTCAGACACTGGGCTTTATTCCTCACGGTACCCTAAAGAAAAGTCCCAACGAAAAGAATTTACTTCTACCCACTATCCCTTATCCCCCACGACCTACTATATTGGGGTCGGTTACAATTTCCATACCTTTTTGTAACGGGTACAACTGGTATTATCCATAATGGTATTCTTAATTAAAAGTCTCAACAGCAGGAATTAATTCCTACCGCCCGTTATAAATGATGAGTATGCGCATAACATGATCTTGAAATTTAGACAGTACAGGCGTAGACCTCCTCATTTGTTTACTGTTGATCCTAAAATGTGGACAATATAGCTTCCTAATAAAAGCAATTAGCTAATCCAGGGTTCGCAACTGATTTTAGCAAAAAAATAGAGACTTGGTGTCTAATTACATATTTAAAAATAGAGACCATTTAGAGACCTTCGAGAACCAATTTCCATACAAAATTAAGCAAAAAATATTTATTTTGTAATAGATGAGATACATAAACGGCAATATACCTAAACAAGTATAAATTGTGCACAACTCTTGTGAGGATAAAACGCATTTTTTTAACCCAAATAACTTTTTTTTGACATCACCAATGGATATATTCCTTGCAGACGTCCCAATGGCCCTTTGTGAGTACCCTCTTCCGACAATCCGTTCTCGAGGTATAAGGGAATATACCCGATCGCGATAAGAGGTCGAGGAGGAGGGCTATGGTTGGTAAAAATTAAGTCCTTTCGTTGAGACCTTTCATTAGAGTACCATGAAGGATAAAACTATTCCCCCCCCTGCCCCTCCACACCCTACTTTGATAAGAGGACAGAAAGAAGAGCAGTAGTTGGTAGAAAACGGTTGATTCGTTGAGACCAATTGGTTGTCGTATGTAAAAGTTATGTACGTTTTACTTTCAAAAACAGCATCTCAGGAAATAATTCGTGTGGGGGGCGGGGCCCTTTTAGACAGCGAAATTTGGTGGCCGTCTGGCACACCTTCAAAGTATAGGCTACCTACGGCAAAGAATTCCAGGACTACCTACCATTCTCCTAGAAGTAGTTCGAAACGGCAGAAGTGGGTCCGGACGGACCAAACGCATTTTTTTTAATTCTTAAAAAATGCGCTAAAAATGTAAAATTTCTGCGGTTTATCAATTATGAATTATACTTTTTTAACATGCAAAATTTAGAGACCAAATATGAAAAATAGAGACTTTTAGAGACCGGCATTGAAAAAACGAGACCAATGTCTAAGAAAGAGACCATTTGCGAACCCTGCTAATCGTAACATGATCTTTGCATACACCCATATTTAAACCCTTTTCACTGCCTCCATGTAACTAAGGTCATCTGCCTCTTATAACGTAGGTGGAAGCGCAACTTATTTATATGGAAAGGCAGCTCTAAATTCTTTGCCATTTCGAGAGCAAATAATGCGATAGACACTAGGTGAGGTAATCCTTTTGTAGGAGCATTACTTAAATCGCTCCCGCGGAAGAATCATCAATTTCACTACTAAAAAGAAGTGAACCCAATGTGCTACCCTGAGGAATCCTACCATTGCAATAATGGCAACTTTGAGAATCAAAGTTGTTACATTACATTGTACTAATACCTGTTGTTTCCATATTATACAATTCTTACATTGGGAAGTGCAAGAATAGGAATGCGAACAATGTATCATCATTGTTGCTAAGCACTAAGTTTAAGTCAATCAAAATCCATTCATCAATTAACCGTCTGGATTAAATCATTAAATGGTACAGTACATAAAAGGATTTTAATATTAAATTTTATTGAAAAAAATTCAACTTCAATGGAATGTTCTCTTAACCAAATTTAATCTAGGTGCATTTGACAATAAATAATTGAAAATAAGGTTTTCGATATGTTATTGCAATAAGGAAAACCTGACCTTCAAGAAAACGTAGACTACAAAAACAAGATAGGACTGAATGTATTTAAATACGTAATACACCTCATTCGCATTGTCGGAAATGGCATTTAAAAGCATGAAATACTGCGCTTATCGATAAAACTAATTTCACTAATTTGATACTTTTTAATGACATTTACAACAGGTACTCGCACCTATAAAACTAGAAACACAAAAATCACATTAAAAGTATACGAATATGTTATACAAATTAATACTGTGATAAACTTAGCAACAAAATAAGAGTAGGCACTGTATAGAAACATAATTTAAGTTCTTCGCACCTAGGAATTTGAGCTATCAAAAATTCCATTAAGAAATCAATAAGAACATAGCAGATGACAAAAAGTAGCGACTGGTTTTTTTGAAATACATTTTTCTAAAAATTTGGACTAGTGGTTGAAGAAACGGATTCTTTCAATACCGTTCTTGTTCGAGGATTATAAAAAATATATATCTATGTTCATCGGGTTCATTTGAAGTATGTCTGCATCTTTTTGCATCTGATATACATTGTATACAAAATGATTTCAGAGAAACTGCCATAATAGAAACAATACAAAACAATGACTGGATAATTTATCCAAACTTATAAACTATAAAAGAAAAAATAAATAAAGTGTTTGCCAGTGATATGAAAATATAATCGTAATAGTCATCGACTACACTTCTAACAATTTTATATATTTAAATTTTTATACAACTACGTAAAAAACTGTACACTCTACTTATATATGTACAAAAGTATTCTATTCATACAGTGTGAATTTTATTACACATTAGCAAAATAGATATATTTACACGTTGAGATCGAAAAATTTGGATATGCAATAGAAAACAAAAGTAACTGGAAATACAGGTACCTATTCAAACACATTTTAAAGATAAATCAATTCATACTGAAATATGTAACACTACATTATTTCTATAAACAGACGATTAGTAAGCCTACCGTCAACCTCCGAGTAAGTAAAAGGTCGACTAGTAATTACATAGCAAAACTAATGACAACATTTGTATTGTCATCATCTATCACTGCTCTGCTTACATTACACCACTTTACAAGGAAAAATCATGCAAATTCTCCAATTTTTATCTGGGTAAAGAGCTTCATTTAATTTAAATGACGTACATGATTTCATCCAAAATATATACTTCCTAAAAATGGTACATAATTGTGCTAAACATTTGTGTTACTGATTATTAAAATGTCAGTTGAATCAAATAAAAATATTTTTTGGGTTTTCAGACATCATTGGATAAAGGATATCTCGCAGTGGGTGGGTTTTTTTTTGCAAAAAAGTTTCAAATTATTTTCAACTTTTAAATAAAAGTACAACACATTCTTTATACAGAGTACATTTGTACAAAATCCCATACATACTTCCACTGTATTAAAATGTTTTGAAAAAGGAGGGTAAACTAATTTTTGATTTTTGTGTGTTTTATGTTTACGTGTGTTCAATAAACAGCTTGGTAGATACGCTATTAATGGCACTTCTTTTAAGCTTTTCCGCATCAAATAAATAATAAAAATACTGTTTTTCTCTTTTAGTGCACACTAGTGAATCCCGTCCGTCGTGGGGCTCACAAAAAACTACAAGATTTTTTGTAATATCATTATGAAATGTTTGCACAAAAATGTCCATTTTTAAGCTGCCTAAATCTGCTTGATAAATATTCGTAATAGTAGATATTTACAATACCAGAACTACTGAATTGTTTAAAGTGTGCAGTAAATGGTTTAATAATCACTTTTACCGAATTTAACTAAATGTTCGTGAATTTGCAATCAATGAACTACTAAACGTAGAACCAATTTTGACTATCGCATCATTATTTTACTAAAACAATAAATACTCACCACCTTCGAACGTTTTCAGACGAGTTCCTAGATAGAATAATGAAAAAGAAATTTAGTAGGCCCATACCACAAATATTACCGCACATACTATTAGTGATAAAAAGTGATTACAGTTCTATTGAGATTCAAAGTGTCTTTGAACGATCTTGAATTATTGAAATGAGAAGGTACAACTCTGGTCCCAAGTCAGGAAATTCAAAGTAATAAAATGTGGTCGAAAAATAAGAAAGTGTTTCATCATTAACAGTATGCACATTGCACATAACCTCACCGAAAGACGAACACAAAATGTGAATTAGAATAAGTACCTTACGTTAATTAATAAGAATTTCTTTTAGGTATTCCAATTGATATCGACAAAACAAAATAATAACTAAAGCATTAGAAACAATAAATAAAAAAAATTCTAATTTTGTCGACCATAAGGAAATGACACACTTGCTACAAGTATGAACTGACACACAACAACTTTTAACACTTTGTACAAATTATAAATTACAACTATCGCTCACTTAGTTTTATTTTCGTAAGTCATTTTTGTCCATGTTTTTCAGTATATCGCCCAGGACGTCAGATGACTGCGATAATCTGGGCCGCTTCGCAATTTTTTGGATTTTTTTCTGAATTGCCACTGCCTTTCGGTCCGGTGAAAACAATTCACCAATATCACTAGATTTCACTTGATTATTGTTACTACCGACACTCGCGCCGGCAAACTGTGCGGTGGTCGTATTTAAGTTTTCTTCACTAACTCTCACGTTCGAGTTTACGTTACTCGTAGAGTCTGGCACTGATACATTGTGCGGTAAGGAACAATTAGACGAAAATATTGACTCGTGGTTTACTTTGACTATTTCAGGTTTTTCTGGAGAGACTTTCACTGAAATGTCGTCTGCTGTGGGGGTTTTTGGTATTGCTTTATCCATTTCCTTTTCGGAGGTTTTACATTTATCAGAGTGGCTCTTATGATCGCGTCTGTGTTTATCAGAGTGGGAGTGTTTTTTCTCATAGTAATCTTTATCTTTATGAGAACTACTGTGTTTGCTTTTATGTTTTTTATCTCGATGACTATCGTGATGGTGATGTTTATCGTTATGTTTGGAATCCTTGTGTTTGTCATGACTTCTATCCTTATGTCGGTCACTACGATCGTGCTTCTCCTGCCCTGACTTGGCTTTGTCAGAGTCGTTCTTTTCCCGTCTGTCGTGCACATCTTTTACTTTTTTCTTTTCCGTTTCGTCTTTATCCTTCCCATATTTATCCTTGTCTCTATCTTTCACTCGATTATGTTTACTACTGTGGTAATAATCGTCACTTTTGTGTTTTTTCTCAACTGACATTTTATATTCTAACTCCGGTTTTGTTTTATGTTTTTCATTTGCTTGTACATGAGGTCTCTCCAAATGCTTTTCTTTTTTCAAGGACGTCAAATTTTCCTTATTCTCCTTTATCTCATTTTGAGAACAATTTTCGTCGTTAATATCATAGTACTGCTTCAAACGAACATGCCAAGCTACATAAGAAAGATATCAAAATTGTAATCCGGCTAAAAACTTTTAACTTACCAACACTAGTCACCGCGGTCACAGTTCTAAATTGATGAATGATATTTCTCGGTAAAAAATAAATATCATTATCGTACAGATTTATTCGAGCATAAGTAATACCATCACGACGTAGTTGGTTTAACTTGGCATCTTCGATCCACGTAACACACTAAAAATTAAATTAATTTTACAATTACTGAAGCAACAATCCGAGGAGTGTGCAAAAATTTAATTTTGAATTCTGATTCCAAAAATTTTGATTCTTTTATAAATACCACAACTGTATTTTGCACCTGGAAACACTCAATCAATAACTGTATCAGAAAATTTGAAAACATACAGGTCTGTCTAAGGCATACAGAGCGTAGTACAAACTAGTCGCACTCCTGTGGTGATAGAAGATATAAACAGATTTTGCTGGGTGATGACATAGTAAAAACGAACTGAATGTTCGAAATACTATTTTCAAAGCACTTTAGGTTCATGCGGAAGTGAATCTAAATTTCAAAATGTAAATGGCACACCCTGTATATTTTTCCATTTCCCTATATATTTTTACATTGTTTCATTTTACAGCCACTTTTATACCTAAGAGGATGAACAAAAATTAATTTTATTGTTTAATCTGCCTCATTTGAATATTTTGATACGCCCTGTATATTGACTGGGGCTGAGGCTATTCAACCTCACACGGACCCAAGTAGTGCACCGCTAGAGTCAGCAACCAGTGCAGTCAAAAAATCCAGATGAGGCTGGAAGTATGCTGGCCAAAATCCAGCTGAAAATCGGGCTCCCCAACATGAAGGGTGCTATAAGGAAACAGTACCATTGGCTGAGGCAACACATTATAGATCTCGACAACAAGGTTAACTTGGACAAAAAAAGAAAAGATCCCGGTCTAACGATACCACATCCAAGGCTGCCCAGATAAGGAAGCAGCCATGTATGGAACTGACAGGTCCAAGTGGGAGTACGGTTCCACAGGACCCTGTGAAAGGAGGAACGGTGTGTCCTCAATTCCTAGGTTCTTAGTTCACACCAGGCTAGTCATCTGAGCTGATGAGACCACCACAGAATGGCTCAAAAGAGTGGTGCCAAGCATCAAGCCGTGGGACACTAAGAGCTGTTGGAAGGTTGTACACTGCCTGTTTTTGAGGTCCTCAAAAAAATTGTCTCAGATAGACCCGGAAAAAAATTTTTCTTATAGAATGTGGCCTGTAGAATCCATAATTTCAAACAGTTCCAAGATTGGGCTACTAGTCCAAAAGTTACAGCCTTTTGAATTTTCTAGTCTATAACTTTTGATTGAAAGTCTGATCGAAAAAGTACGAATTGTTTTGGATTCTACGCACCAAAATTAATAAGAAAAAGTATTTTCCCGAGAAATTTTGGTGCAGTCGATTTTTGGTAAAAAAGGAAGGTTATACACTGCCTTTTTTTGAGCCCCGAAAAAAAATTGTCTCAAGATCGACCCGGGAAAAAAAATTTTCTTATAGAATGTGGCCTGTAGAATCCATAATTTCAAACAGTTCCAAGATTGGGCTACTAGTTCAAAAGTTACAGCCCTTTGAATTTTCTTTCGAATTTGGTTTCTAGTCTATAACTTTTGATTGAGAAATTTTGGTGCAGTTGATTTTTGGTAAAAAAGGACTGCCTTTTTTTGAGGCCCTCAAAAAAATTGTCTCAGATCGACCCGGAAAAAATTTTTGTTATAGAACGTGGCCTGTAAAATCCATAATTTCAAACAGTTCCAAGATTGTGCTATTAGTTCAAAAGTTACAGCCCATTGAATTTTCTTTCGAATTTGGGTTCTAGTCTATAACTTTTGATTGAGAAGTCTGATCGAAAAAGTACGAATTGTTTTAGATTCTACGCACCAAAATTAATAAGAAAAAGTGTTTTCCCGAGAAATTTTGGTGCAGTCGATTTTTGGTAAAAAAGGAAGGTTGTACACTGCCTTTTTTTGAGGCCCTCAAAAAAATCGTCTCAGATCGACCCGGAAAAAAAATTTTCTTATAGAATGTGGCCTGTAGAATCCATCATTTCAAACAGTTCCAAGATTGGGCTACTAGTTCAAAAGTTACAGCCCTTTGAATTTTTTTTCGAAATTGGTTTCTAGTCTTATAACTTTGTTGGAAGGGAAGGAATGCAATCCGCAAGCAAAATTCTCAATCCGGGTTAAAAATTTTTTTTTGCGGGATTGTTAGATGTTAACTTCTGTATTAAAATAAATCGCTAATTATTAACTTCTGTATTAAAATAAATCGCTAATTATCACAATATTTAACAAAAAGTACCTTCGGCCTAACTTAGAACTCAAAAAAACCTTACCTGTAAAGCACAAAAAGTCTTCTAAAGTGCCTCAAAAATCATAGTACATTTTTAACGAAAAAAGTTTAACAATTATTTAAAAAATAATTCGCCGTTATCAGTTTCATTAACAAAGTAAACAGAGTCGTCCCCTTGGTCGACAAATTCCTCAGTCCCGCAAATCCCGCGGGATCCCGCTCCATTTATGTGCGGGATTAATCTCGCAAGAATCCTGCGGGATTCCGGTATTTCGGGATCCCGCAATTCCGGTATTGCATTCCCTAGTTGCTCTTGATAAGAAGAGTATGCAAGCGACCTGGCCATAGTAATCTCTAGTAAACACAATACAGTGGTATCTGAGCAATTGCAAAAGGCTCTGCACATCGCACAGAGGTGGTGGTCTAAGCATTATTCCACTTAAAACGGTGCCGGTGCCTCAGAAGGAGGAAGCCCAATATAAGGGCACCGACTATGGCGGGACACCACCATCAATATTAGTGAAGAGGCCAAATACCTGAACTTTGACCAGTGGGGACCCTGGCATTCCAGGCCTGTGGAAAGCTACTGGCCAGGAACTGGGGCTTAACGCCTAAAATGACCTCATGGTCACCCATGGTCACGCATCCCACAGTTACATGGTGACCCAAACTGCCAAATCTCGAAATCACTGGCAGGGCCAGGCAGGCCAAATTGTTCATCATCACCACATCACCAAAAACCAAGGAAGGTTGGGTCCTCAATAGGAGGGGCCCATTTAATGATGCTACGAACATTTTCACATGTGTCCCTTAAGGGTCAATATAGAGCAACGTAATTTTATCAAATAGACACCTACACTTTTTATTAAATATTCTTATTTTACATCGGAAAATAATAAACTTTCATGGGAAACCTTTTTCTCTACACTTACCATTTTTTGAAGACGCTCTTCCAAAAGCGCGATTTTTTGGTTTGAGCTAGGAAGCTGTTCTGTCAATTTGTAATGTTTTCCTTTATGTTAACATCTTGTATATGTGTCTTTGCTCAAAGACAAATTAGTACACGTAAAATTGTCTGTGAAATCCAACACTGTAAAAATACACAGGGTGTGTCGCTTTAATTTGCGAGTTTATGGTATTTAGAGCATTCAATTTATTTAATCACCCACCAAAGTTTTATAATCCTATCACCAATTCCACAAAAAATAGCAGGGATGAGCCTAGTTTGGTTTTCACACGATATTCACAAAAATACCAATAAGCAATTGTATATCTATTTACCCCAATTAAAAACAATGCAAGTACCTGTGAAGTAGGAGGTTCATGTAAATCCAACTGTAGCTTTTCCGATAACACATCGAAATCCTTTGCCGAAAAGGCAATTACATCTTTGGTAACGCGATTGTTATCGCCATCTTTTTGTCCCCCATGGATGGCCTTTAATATACCGACGGCGGCCGTCGTTTTACGATCTAAACCGTGGCCGACGTGGTCGGCATGCGCTTTGGTTCTGTCCTCAAAGAGGTACTCCCTCGCCTCGGAGAATCTTGGTAAATACTGAAGATTTCGTAACTCGTTAATGCCGGTCCTCTTTCTTTTGAAGGGCGACTTCCCACATTCCGCTGTAGGAACGAGTTGTTCTCCCGGCCTACACCACAAGATTGGCCCGTCGTTCGAATCTTGCCTTCTCATATGAACTACAGAAAGATAGCCCCAGGGCATGGTCTACGCAAAGAAGAAACATTTATTTATTTTTCGCATTCATTAAAGTCAAACGGATAAAAACATGGCGATGGTGGATATCAATTAAGATCGCTACTTTCTACCCCAATTAAAGCAAGTGTACACTGACCGGTACTATTGCTCGAGATCAAGAATGAAGTTATAAAGATATTCAATAAAATAAAATTGTTTAATGGCAAGTCCTGTATTTTGTTACACACTTTGAAGGAATGGTTTAAAAATCCGCCAGTCTGTCCGTCCGGCCGTTCGCACGATAATTCAAAAACGCTTTGACATAAATATAACGCTCATATGTGGTTCACAAATAAGCGATAGGGGAAGAACTGATTAGGTTTTGAGCTTCTGGAGGGGCCACGTGAGTTAGAAATGTGTAACATTATGCGCATGCGCATGCAGCTTTTCTCATGTCGAGTATAACCAAGCGATAAGTTAGTTTTGCGCATCCGCACACGCAGTTTATCACATGTTTAATATATAATAGATCGATTTACCTTTACCTAAAGGATCTACTGTTAAAATTCAAGAAGACATTTTTTCAAATAAGAAATTTACCTCTGCGCATGCGCGCGCAGCTTTTTTTTTTACAATTTTATTATACTTGGCCGGTTTGTCTACATATATCAAAAGCTACTGTTGAAATTTCGTTAAGATCGGTCCATAACTAAGAAAGTTACTTCTGAGGATGGCGTCTACCTGTCGGAAAATTAATAGGTGTCTTCTCCAATGGGTCTACACGTGCAAAAACTTACACTCTTTGTCCTATTAAATTTTGAGTTATCGTGCTAACAAGCAGAACAACTACTACAACTGACTTTTTCTTGTGAAACTATAATGTATATCAAAAGTATGGATAGGTGTTGAGCAAGAGTATTTTTATCGTGTATCTCAAAGTAAACCCGAAGGAAAAAGAAACTCCTCTGCACATACAAAAGACCAATTTGAATTACTCTGAAGAGTTTTTCATTTCCCTGTCCGTGATGCGGGAAAAACTTACCAAATTCAAAAAAATATTTTCCTCCAACTTGTCAAGAACGTCCGGACAATATCCCCCAACTTCTTCATGAGCGGTATCAACCAAACTTATCTGATGTAATGGTCCATATCGGTAGGTACCGTGGTTGTAATGTTTCACAACACTTTCATGGTACGCAGTTAAGGTAGTCGTTTCTAAATCCGAGCATCTGGTAAGCAGGCCGTGCTTAACAGGAAGGGTTGGCCGCCTCTCCGCCATATAATCTAAGAGATCGGGGAGATAGTTAGCTGCTCCGTGAACTATCGCCATCACATAAAACGCTTTCCCGTTTTCGTCCTCCGAAAACGCCACCTTAAAGAATTCTAAAGCTAATTCGCGCATTTCTTGTTCCTTCAAATGTTTTATCTCGTCTTGATAGGCGTGCAGAACCGACGCGCCGCCATTGCAATGATATTCGACGTGAAAATATCGTTTCCACTTCAGTTTACACTAAAAATTAACAACAATTTGATTAAAGACAATGCGACCATCGTAATACTTACATCGGTGGGCGGATAAAGGTAATTTCCACTGGGCATAAGCGAAGGTCGAGGCGATAATGTTTTCATATTATGCTTAATCCCGTCTTTAGAGCATCGAGCTTGGATACCGATCGACGCTCTTGATGATTTCTTGGACGAATTGTGCCGATCAGATCGAATAGAATCTGATTTCCTATCTTTTCTATCTCTATCCTTTTTGTCCACCCCTTCTTTCCTCTCTTTCTTTGGAAAGTCACATGGTTTCAATTCGCCCTTCTTTAGGTCGGCGAATGGTTTAAAGTCTATTCTTTGAATCTTATTTTTTGAAAAATAATTTAGATCCGCAGATCTAGCCCTTTTAATACCGCGGTTGGTTTCACCATTTTGCTTTTCGTGAATGTTAGATACGGCGCACTCTACAGATCTTCTTCGTTGCCATTTACGTGGGATATCTTTATTTAGTGAACCATTGGTAGACAGGCTGAAGGTACGTTCCCACTCCATTTGCGCTAACTTCACTGTCGTTTGTTCCTCTATAGCAGTGAGTAAATCAAGACCACTCTTACCTTCAAGTAACTTATAATCGATGGTTTCGACCAATGGACTTTGATTACATGTTTTAAAATTATATTTTACTACATCCTCATCTCGGTCAGGTTGGCTCTCTTCCTCGGATTTAATCGAAATTACATTTTTAGGAAAAGCGGAACAGTTATTCGTCGGCTCATTGCCATTAACAGCGTCGTCCGGCGCTGCCCCATGTTTAATACTCGGCGTCTCATCTTCACATTCTTCAGCATTGTTGGAGATGGTATTATTCAGGTGGGGAGAGCTTTTGGGCAATACTCCATTTGCAGACTTTTCAATTGTGACGCTAGGCGATTTGGGGCGGGTGTATTTATTACAGAATTCTTGAAGCGTATCTTCAAAGAATTTATCCAGGGAAGTATCTTCAACGGGCAAATTAATCTTTTTCTGGTAGGGTAAAATTTCGTTATTCGAATTTAGGCACTGCTTTTTACAATAAACCTCGTCTTCTGACAAATTTGCGTTACCTAAAAATAAACAAACTTGTGTAATATTAATGTGGGGTTTAGTCTAATTAATTTTCATTCAAGTTAACTTGTGCAGACAAAAACACACCAAATTCTTGATTTTGATCTAACACCCTCAGACAAACAGAATTCATAGCTATAATTTTTATGGCAAATGCACTAAAAACAAAAATTGTGGCTGATCCTTGTTATAAGTGAAAGAAAATTATTCAAATTACTCCAATATGTCACTCTGATTAATTAACTTCGAGAGGCAATTCAATTAACAATATTTTTCAAAATTGTGTAGCATTTTATATTTAAATTCAATAACGATTTTATTATCAGCTTGTGCGATGAGTCATCAGATTTTTGCAGGGGGTAAACACCAGGGGAAGTAATTGTACAGAATGGAGGAAGTTATGAGGAAGTACAGGGAAGTACGGGGAAGTACTGGAAGTCCAGGGAAGTACGGGGAAGTTGGAGGAAGTACGGGGAAGTAACGAGGAAGTACTCATTTGTTCATATGATGCGTAATGTGACAGAAGGTGACCGGAGAGGTAAAATCTGGTAAACACTTAAAAAGTAATAAAGCAGTTATTTCTGAGTGCATAAATCCCGCCTCGTTCCAAAAAAGTCAACACCTATGATTGTGATTATCTATATAGATACCTAAAATCAAAACCTGTTGTTTCACTACTAGTGCCTGATAACATAATTATTAACCTTTTTTCCACTTGTAAAGCAGGCTTTCTCGTCACTTGTTCAAAGTAATTAATAATGTGGTCATTATTAACCAGTAGTCAATAATGAGAACTGTCACGCTGTCAATTTTAGAAATCACAACCTGAAATTTCGCTCAATAAACGTTCAGATAAGTTCTCTAAAATGAATAATTGCCACCATCCGCCATTTCAAGAGAAATTACATACAATTATCACATTTCGAAAAAATTCGAACGAAACTACTCTTTGAAAATATGTCAATAGCAGAAGAAAATACGGCCTCCTTGACTGTTACTTCCATCCACGTAATTGACATATTAAATTAATAAACCAAAAATTCTGTTCAACCGTTCACTTTTTTAACAATATAGATCTGTTAATTTAGAGGACTTCAAGTAGTATGCGATCAAAAATGAGTTGCTGTCGAGTCGCCTTTGGAATTTTTGTTTACATGGTAAATCGTACTTAACTTGAATTTCCAAAGGCGATTCGATAGTAACTCATTTTTGATCGCCCGTTACTAGTAGTGGAAGAAGTAGTATACAGGATGTCTTAAATTGAGTAGATACCTTACATGGCCATCTTTGTTATTATTATACTTACAGATTTGGTTAAATTGGAACAGTTGTATAGTTTTTGATGCTAATGGATATTCCGATTCCGATGCGAGATTTTGAAAAAATAAATGGTTTCTAGGTAATTGATAAAAAATGGAAAATCGCCATTTTTAAAAAATTCAAATATTTTAGTAACAAACAAGAGCTATCGAAAAAAGTTTCAAATAAAAGTTGCAAGATTCGATGGGATAAATTCAATGAGTGTAGAAAAAAAATTTCAAAATGCCGGATTTCCAGATATTGACATCAACTTCCTTATTTTAAATGGACGCCATATTTGACTTTTACGTCACTCGATAGAGACAAAAATACAAAACCAGCTAGCGAGACAACTAAAGAACGAATTTGGTTTCAATCACAATCGGCCATGGAATTATTGCCATAAGAAATACATTGTAAACTTCGAGGCAAAAATGCAAGGTTGATTCCCAAATGAAATACTAGGTGTTTAGTATATCACTGGTTTTGTAATTTTTTCTCTATGGAGTGACTTAAAAATCCAATATGGCGTCCATTCAAAACAAGGAAGTTGATGTCAATATCCCGAAAACCGCCATTTTGAAAAAAAAATTCTATTGAATATCCGTTGAATTTATCCGATCGAATCTTGCAACTTTTATTTGAAGCGATTTTCACATTTTTCCAATTATCTACTACGAAACGAATTATTTTTTTCAAAATATCGCATCAGAATATGCATCAACATCAAAGACTACACGTAAACTTTGCCAATTTAACCGAATTTGTAAGTATAATAATAACAAAGATAGCCATGTTATCCTACTCAAATTAAGACACCACGATAGAGAAGTCTATTACGCACCTTACATCCCTCGGCGCAAGCGCCTCAGGGTGTAATCTTCGTGCTTAGGCAATAATACTAGACTTCTCTACCTTGGTATATAATGTACTGTTACATAATCACATAAAATATCAATAATATCAACCCCTAACCTAATAATGATTTAAACAGAAATTTTGAAAAATCTTGAATAGCTTGAAAACCTTTGATGCTGGGTATAGGGAAATGTGGTATCAAACGACGTAGATCTTCATGTAGATGACGGAAATAAAATATAGGGTGTTCTATTTAAAAGCTATCCACATCCGTTAAAACTGGAAGTGACACAATGATGATAATATTTTCTTTCGATAGATCATGGAAAACTATGTTAGTATGCACATTTTCAGATTTCAATTATTAATGGGAGTCTGAATACTTTTAGGTAACGGTTTGCGTGATTACCGATAAATTAGTATTGTTAAGTATCCATCTATAAATTATTATTCCGTACATATGTTTTTATTATAAAATTTTGCAATAAATGCTGGCAGGACAATTATTTATGTCTTAATTACTTTCATATTAAAAATTCTTTCAAACCTCATGTAAATACAAAGGTAAATATTAAATAGGTAAGTGTGAAAATAAATAATGATTAACACTTATCTAATTTTTCATTTCATGTATAGTGTGCATTTCACATCCATTCGCATTTCGCATGTAATGCATTTTCGTGGGCACGTTATAAGCGTTACTACGTATAACACTCAAGAAGCAAATCTAAAGTCTATATAATAATAATAATAATCGTGTTTATTGTGTAAAAGTAATTCTAATAAATTACACACATTCACATATCAATGTCTACTTACAGTAGAATTTCGGGAAAGTACAAGGGAAGTTTGGGGGAAGTACAAGGAAGTACTGGGAAGTTAAGAGGAAGTACTGGAGGACTTCCCCCGAAGGGGAAGTATTGTACAAATTTTAGGTCTAGTGATTACCCCAGGGATTTTTGTTTGTTTTATTTGGAGGAGGGAGCGGGGTAATATGTTTGTTCAGTTTGTACCACAAACTTTTATTAATTAGTAATTAGTAATTGCTAAAGGAATTCAGAACTGACAGACAGGATGTAAATGAGAATCATTCACCCTGATTCGGTAGGAAGTAATTTAGTATTATATTATTTAGTTTTAAGTTTGTGCCTATTACAGAAGTATTTATCGGATCGAATCGAAATTTTGGATTCAGTGGTTTCTAAGAATTCATCACAGAAACTAAAATCAAAATAGTGAAATTTTTTAAAAAAATCTAAAACTGCATTTCTAGTCTCCGCCACCAATGTTTTTCCAAGTTAACCATAATTAGTTGGTGGATTTTTGGCAGCATTACCAACAAAAAATTTAGATTTAGATGGGCTTCACTTCAAGTGCAAGAATTATTCACGATGGGCACTGTACAGACACCCTGTACCAATTCAAGGGTGCCCATTAGGATTTTGTAAACCGTAAGAGATTTGAAGTCGGTTAAATGGAAGCAAAGTTGCGCTGCTTAAAAAGTGAAGGAATTCTGAAAACTTTTGGAGATAGGAAAAAACCGAAATTCCCCAATTTCTTTTTTTGTTGCAAAATAATAATTTTTTTTGCATACTTTTTCAAAAAAAAATTAAAAATTTCGCTAATATTCAAAGTATTCGAACGGTTAGCACGGCGATCGAAAGAGGAAGTATGTGGTCATTGTATGACACTTTCAGCGCCATACAAAATTCAAAAGCGTCTACACAAAACGACACCAAACTGAAAATGAAAAAACTATCAGAAATCGGCGCAAAATGGGCTCTTGCGGGTGAAATGATTTGAACTTTTTCGTGATTACCACTTCTGTAACATATGCTTACCAACCGGACAGTCCAGTCGCAAGTGCATTAAATCAGAATCGATATGAAAAACACCAGTTTTTTAAAAAATAATTTATATATTCTTTTTTTGCTCAAATCGACGTTAAACTAAGAATGCAAAATGCAAAAATTAGCTATAAATTGCATTAATATTTACATCATCGCAAATTAAAGGTAGTTTCACAGGAATAATAAATCGTGACCCAGCGAAAACGTAGCGCTTTGACAGGTGAGGGTTTGCGCTTTCGTTCGAAATGCAATTTGCATAGTCTTTATATTTATTTATCATCCCTCTCTTGTTCTGGGTCCTCAACAGGCTTGTGCCTAATTACAGAGTGACCCGCATAATGCTGCGGTATTTACCTTACGAATTAGGAAAACTGCAGGAAAACCTAATTCAGAGTAGCCGGCAGAATGCTCGCAACTGGTCTAAGGTAATTTTCCAGATGAAAAATTCACCTCAACCCAGGTTCGAACACCCCACCTCCGGATTTATAGTCCAATGCTCTACCACTGAACCATAAAGCCGGGAACAATGCGGCGAGCTGTTAAGCATACGGCACGTCCTGTAGGAATGTCGCGCATTACAAATGTACAACAGGACTGTGGCGTGGGCGGTGCACTCGAACTACTAGATAGAGGTCGACTCTAAACATTGCATGGGAAATGGAACACCTCAAAAGGAATATTCACAAGCTCTGCATGGGCGTTCACCTAGTTGTCCAAAAAGTCCACTAATACTAGCAATAATTAAATGGAATAATAATAATGCCTTTACTATTATTATGGTCGGTGTTTCTTGTGAGAACTCAGGCCTAGCCTGGTTAACTAATCGCACGGATTAAAATCAAGTAACGATTAGTGTCTGTGTCTGGTGAAGTTATGTAGGGTCCTTAAAAAAAAAATAAATAAATAAATAAATAAAAGATAAAAAAAATCACACACGTAATTCGTACTTAACCAACATACCTATTGATGGGCACAATAGCCAACGCTATCAGGAAAGAGGAAAACAAAACAAAACAAAAAAAAATCATTATAATAATTCCTGTAATTTTATTAAAATGGAGTTTATTGTGTAAGTGTTTCTTTGGCTTTGCGTTTGGGTTGAATACGAGTGGGTTGTGATAACGTGGTGTGTTTCTGTGAAGAAGGAGTTTTGTGTTTTTTAATTGTATTTATGGTGTTTCTTTGTTCCTGAGGTCGTATTTGTGAGGTTGCTTGGGTTTTTGGTGGAGATATTGCAGTATTTTGTGAGCCTGTGGTGCTGTTAAGGTTTTTGCGTTTCGGTTGTATACGAGTGGGTTGTTTCTGAGAAGAAGGAGTATTGTGTTTTTTAACTGTGCTAGGGCGTGTAACTTTATTGGATGGACCTGTCTTTGTAGTACATGTTGCGTTACTTGTGTTTATGGTGTTTTTTTGTTCTTGAGGTTGTATTTGTGAGGTTGCTTGGGTTATTGATGGAGATATTACAGTATTTTGTGAGCTAGTAGTGCTGTATAGGTTTTTGCGTTTGGGTTGAATACGAGTGGGTTGTGATAACGTGGTGTGCTTCGGTGAAGAAGGAGTTATGTGTTTTTTAATTGTGCTAGGGCGTGTAACTTTATTGGGTGGACCTGTCTTTGTAGTGCATGTTGCGTTACTTGTATTTATGATGTTTCTTTGTTCTTGAGGTTGTATTTGTGAAGTTGCTTGGGTTTTTGGTGGAGATATTTTAGTATGTTGTGAGCCTGTAGTTCTGTTAAGGTTTTTGCGTTGCTGTTGAATACGAGTGGGTTGTGAAAATGTGGCGTGTTTCTGTGAAGAAGGAGTTATGTGTTTTTTAATTGTGCTAGGGCGTGTAACTTTATTGGGTGGACCTGTCTTTGTAGTGCATGTTGCGTTACTTGTATTTATGATGTTTCTTTGTTCTTGAGGTTGTATTTGTGAAGTTGCTTGGGTTTTAGGTGGAGATATTTTAGTATGTTGTGAGCCTGTAGTTCTGTTAAGGTTTTTGCGTTGCGGTTGAATACGAGTGGGTTGTGAAAATGTGGCGTGTTTCTGTGAAGAAGGAGTTATGTGTTTTTTTATTATTATTATTATTATTATTATTAAACAGTATTAAAAAGAAAACAATAAAAACAGGGTGGACTTTAGCTTGTACTTTCTGCTCTTCCACCTAACCCTACTTTCTCATTACAAGCTGGGATAATAATATTCTCAAGTTCAACATTTGGGTTTTTTGAAGCCACCATCAAGTTTATTTTAAATACGGACCTGCATTTTTATTTTATAATTTGGATGCTTGTCATTTAAAAAAAAATAAATGTATCACGCTTGCATAGGTACTTAGTTACTAAATGCTACCACCCTCAAATTAACAATAAAACTAAATTTACACCAAAAAATATGGTGGCCACGAAACATTCACAGCAAACTGTCTTTAAATATTAGCGTTTCATTTACTTTTAAGCGCATTTTTAAGAACTAAAAAAATGTGCTATTATTTGTCTGCGGTTTTGCACTCATTTTAAGGGAATTGTACCGCATTTTTTGCAAGGTGGCCTATACCATGAAGGTGTGCCAGACGACCATCAAATTTTGTTGTCTTAAGGAAGCCCCCCCCCCTCCATGAATTATTTCCTGAGATACTGTTTTTGAAAGTAAAAAAATTTTTTTTTACAATTTGACGAAATTGGCTGGAAATGTGCTTTATCTGCACAAGATTTGTGCACAATTTATACACGTTTATTGTTAATATTTATACATGTATTGTAATTATACCGTATTAAAAAGGACGTTTTTAAATGTAAGCAAACAATATTTTATTACTACAAATCACAAACAAAAAGAACTGATAAAAAATATCAAAAGTATTCATATATAATAATAATAACAATAATTGACTATTGAAAGTGAAGAAAGAGACAGCATGATTCATTAAAACAGGGCGAGGTTCAGTCTTCCACCTAATCCTGCCCTTCCACCTAACGTAAACATAATATTGGATATTCAAATTGAAGTATTGCAAGAATTAATTAATTAACAAATACGTTAAGACAAGCCGACATAAATGCATTTCTAAAACAATATTATTTTTAGCACATTTTTTAAGAATTGCCATTGTTTGCGTTTTGTCCGTCCGTCCGGACCCACTTCTACCGTTTTGAACTAATTCTAGGGGAATGGTCCTAGAGTCCTGGAATTTTTCGCAGTAGGTTTAGGTAGCCTATACCTTGAAGGTGTGCCAGACGGGCATCAAATTTCGCTGTCTAAAAGGGGGACCCCCCCACGAATTATTTCGTGAGATGCTGTTTTTGAAAGTGAAACATGCATAGCTTTTACCTCGGCTTTTACATACGACAACCAATTGGTCTCAGATTTTGCATACGCATGCCTGCCAAGTTAAACTTTAGAAAATGGGGAGGGAGGGGGGGGGGGTAAACACATGTTCTACTAGTTATATCCTTCATGGTACTCTAATGAAAGGTCTCAACGAGAGGAATTAATTTCTACCAACCATACCCCTCCTCCTCGACCTCTTATCATGATCGGGTATATTCCCCTATACCTCAAGAACGGATTGTCGGAAGAGGGTACTCACAAAGGGCGATTGAGACGTCTGTAAGAAATGTATCCATTGGTGATGTCAAAACAAAAGCTATTTCGGTTTAAAAAAATGCGCTTTATCTGCACAAGAGTTGTGCACAGTTTATACTTGTTTAAATATAAAGAAGTTGGAAGTCTGAATTTGCACATTAAGTAGCGCGAATATTGGTTGTCGGTTTTGTGGGGGCTGGAGGGAGGGGTTTGCTGAAGAAGTAAGTTGAGAGAATTAATAAGATATCCCTTGTAGCGATTAAAATAGAACCTCGTTGTCTAAACAGCTGTCATTTTCGACATTGTTAATTTAGCAAATCTAACGCCGTGAAAGGTAGTGTTAAATTTCCCCCGCCTCCCTAACCCTGGGGGTTTCTCGCTACCCCTCGGTTCATTTTACAACACTCACAATGCAAAAGTTTCTCAAACATTTCTTTCCCACACAAAATTTAATGGTCAGCTCTAGTCCTGTATAGATGCTTTTATTCATAGCCACCTTATATCTTTGTACAAATGTTCCTAATTTATTTCCAAAAAAAGCAACTTCACATCTCCTACAGCTTCCGAGATCACAATGGTCACCCTCGAATTTGGGACACCCTGTACATCTTAAATACATCTCATAATACATATACAGCCAAAAATATTTTAATGCGGATAAAATTTGCTTATCTACTTTCTGCGAAGCAGGACAGACTTAACTGCTCCTAAGTAAATTCCACTACAAATCCCTTCCATAACATTCTGAAGGAATCCTAGTAAATCCTGATTCTGAAAATGACCAACAGCTCAAGATGTATCTACAAAAAATCGGATTCCTCCACAATGTATGAACCCTCTATTTTAAAATAAACACAAAGTGAATCCAGTTGATGGTCGTTGCCGAGATCGTTGCAATGTAAGAGAGATGAGAAAGATCAGCTCAGTCTAACACACTTCCACTAGTCGAGTCTTATGGAATTTTCTTACGAAAGTCACGATCACTGGTATTTATTTAAAAACGCATGCCAAACCTAAATAGATAGAAAAAAATTTATAAACCCATTGGCCGATTCTAGAAGATTCTAGAAGCATAAAAACTACAAGAAACATTTTTTTAAAATGAGGTCCGGTGAAAAATTGGCACCTCCTTTCTTGAGGTATGATTAAAGAAAATTAGCCGAACTTTCATTTAAACCTGCCTAGAACTGTAATTCTCGTCAAGTGATGAAAAATAATTCCAAGTACTTAACTCCGAACATTCCCATGAGTCATTTCGAACTCATGAGAACATGACTAAGTGTTGTTTGTTTTATTAATAATACATACACAAAGAATTCGTCTTAAAGAAGCGTACTGCAAAAACTCCCTGATGCAATATGGCTTGTTACGGTTTTGTAATAATGAAAGTGAGTTGTAAAGCTCGATGCAAGGGTAGTGACATCCTTTTCCTTACCAACATATGAGAAAGATAACTATATAAAAACAAACAAAATGTTTACTAGTCTTCTCTTTAAATTATTTGTTCTTGACCAGAATTATTTTTGTTTACAAAATTCCTCTTTACCCGCCCCTGTTTAGAAAATGACCTGAATCCAACAGCAATTAACTAAACATAAACAATGAAGTAAGTTCGAAATTCCTTATTTCTGCCCTATGTGTCTGTAAAATGTCTATTTCTGAGAACAATAATAAATAATTGAAGAAACAAAGCAGACAATTAATAACTTTTCGGTTATTGTAATGGTTCCCGAGAGCAAAGGATCTTTGACAAACACGACAGTTCCCACCTTTCTACCAATGGAAGGATTCCAATTTAAAACATGGCAATAGAGAAAAATTGCACTGCACATGATCACACTCTTAACTACAATACAATAATCTCAATATACACTGATTTCAACGATATCGTGGCCACAAATTTCCTGCATTTCACATATTTATAACACTTGAATTAAGCGTGATAATGAAATTAATTTCTTAAGAAGTTGTAGTCACTTCTTTGATAATTACGTTACAAACGTGTCATTCTGATGCAAATTCGTTGTGAATTATACAAAACGAGAAAGTTGCATGAGCACGACTCACATGAATTCAAGTAACTGAAATGCTCGAACTCACAAAAGTAGTTGTTTATAAACATTGTCTTACCAATGCCATTTTTGTTACCATTAGATACACATTTCTCAGTGTTGCAGCTACAAGGTGCAACACTTTTTCCACACTTCTCAATTGTAGCATTGCTGTCAGTTAGTTCTTGAGTCATAATAGGAGAAGACACTCTTTCATCTTCTAGTGGGCTATCATCACTAGACGCCATAATATTTGTTTCTGTAAGGGGTTATTTTCAAATTAGTTGTGATAAATAATAATAGCGTAACGTACGGCGATTACCTGTATATGAGACACATTTAATCGAATTATTTATAATAATTTGTACCAAACTTTAGGGATACTCTTCATGGGAAATGAATGTCAATATATCATTTTTGCTATAAAACTGAAGTTGCAGCCATATTGCTTTTACGTAAATTGTTGTAAATGTTATCCATTGCGGTTCTGTTCCTGTTCCATACATTACCATTCTAAGCAAATAGCCATTTCGCATGTATAAAAATCGCATGCAAGCCCAAAAGCATGGAATTGAATTTAAAATCTTAATAAATAATGTAACAATTGAATTTTAAAACAATAAATGCAATGAATTTAACTATGAAAATTATCTCTTCTACGCCACTGATTTTTCATACCAACAGTACAAGGCAGCCAACCTTGAATTGGTCACGTAGGCCATTCGCGGGAAAAATGCTGTTAATTATTATATTAAAAATATTTGTAATTTCAATATATAACTGCATATTACTCCTATATTATCAAAAACGCTTAGAAAAGCGCATTGAATATATCATTTCTAAAGAAGGCATCTCCAGATGACACGTATTCTTAGAAAAGATACGAAGTTATGGAGGTGAAGTTTGCCAGCTAAATTTACTGCGCAATTCGCCTAAATTACTAATTTTCCTGTCTTTTTATCAGAAATATTAATGATTCCAATACATTGCAATTTATGAGATATTAAACAATGAAAGACGATTGTAGAAACATTGCATATAGGCATGTAAAACCATTGTATACAATGGTAACATACGCGCACTGAAATAGGCAACTGGTGACACACGATGAACAAAGGTTTCTAAAATGAAGTATTAGGTAGAGTTCACAATGAAAACCTACACGTACAGCAAGCAACCAACAATACAACGATATCATTTGATTTTAACAATATGCGATATGATTGTCTTTATTAGAAAAATTTCAAAAAAATATCTAATTAAGAAAGTTGACATTGCGCACTCTACACATATTAATCGTCAAAATCTTTCTTGGTTGAGATGCCAGTAGTATGAGCTACCAAATTCAAAAAGAACAATCTAAATAACATCTTGAAAACTGTAGATAAGGCCTTGGACGGATCAAGTGCCCATAATAGCGCCTTATAACAGAAGTTGGAAAATACAACTTTTCGGTTCGGACGTGAAATTGTTTCCTTTTCAGCTTAAATTGTAGGGCTGCCCACTCGTAAGAATGAACATTTAAAATTATTACTGTTTTGCCATTTGAGTTGATGGGATAAAGGCAGATTATTGACTGAAATATTTTCTTGTGAAATCCTAGCGATTGTCTGTGTTGAAATTAAATAATGAAATAAACAAGTTATGAACCTATATTTTTTTAGGTTGGTATTAGTAACATTTCCGGAAAGTCCTTTCACTTAACATTTAACATGTACAACTGGATTACGAAAGTAATGTCGTAGAAGTTCTCAATAGTTTATTAAACAAAGATAGTACCTACCTACCTTGCTTGGCTTTGATAAATGCTCCTTTTGTAATGAAACAGCTACAAAGTCGCCCTCTATCATGAAGCTATTAGAGGATATTAAATTTTAATATCCCCATTAACTACTCCTGTTTTATCATAGTTGATATGATCAAATGCTATTCATCATTATTGATCAGCAAAAGCAAAATGTCAATAACTGATGCATTGCCCACTGGGGTCAGACGTTGGAGACAATGAATCAGGTAGGGTTGCGCTCACCATGATTATTTTCAAAAAAATGACACATGACACAATCAGCACTCTGCTCATTAAATATTTGCTTCAATCCAGTAGCAAACCATGTTAGTTTTCTGATCTGATTGATCTATTAAAATGATCGTCTTATTCGATTTTCTTTCTCACTACCAAAAAATTACTTCAAAAATAGTTTGTTTAACCTTTATTTTTCATTCTCCACATGGAAATACATCCGTTACCCGCCTTCGTCTCAATAGTATTTAAAGGCAATGTGAGATCGTAACATCTAAGCGCAATCTTTCGCGATTCTGACTTGGTACTCTGCTCAGTTCGGTCTTCTTGGTACATAACAGTAGATCTAAACTCGCTTCACTTATCCTGGAAGTAACAGTAGAGCCAATATAAAAATTGCACACTCCCGAACTTAAAAGGAACCATTTTATTAAAAAAAAAAAACAAGAATATTAGAACTTGTGTTACATCACAAAATTTAGTGTCTTCTCGATTAATGAATACCACTCACTAACACTTCCTATACTCGCATATTTCAAGATAGTAACAAATTCAAGCAGCATAAATAATGTTATTACAATGGCCACGCTCACAATATTTCAGAAACATGGTTCATAATTATAAAACTTATTCTAAAACTAAATTACTAAAGAAGCCAAGAAATGTAAACAATGCGCAATTAGAATACCTTTACAAAAATGATAACAAATTATTAGCTTCGCCGAACTGTGCGTCATAAACAAATTACCCATCACTCATTTAACAAAATATTACAATATAAATAAATTTCGTACAGTTCGAAGAAACTAATAAAACAAAAAAAGTTACTACTTCGATCGAATCATTTAAAATTTTAAATCAACACAAACCTGATGGATAAACGTTACAATTTCGACAAATATTTACAATTAACTAATTTTAAGTTCCATTCATACAGCAGAAAAAAAAGGGCCATGCGAAAGAAAATAATAACTATTTGACATAATGTTAACAACTTTCAGTTCAAAATAACAAAATACTCCACGCTTGTGAAGTAAAAACCTACCTAACTCTTTCTATCCTTCGAAAATAAAAAGAAATCCCAGGCTTGATCAAAGTTAAATTTACAGTATCACACTCCAAGCAGTTCATATGGGGGTACAGCAATAGCTAATCTGAGAATTGTTTTTATTATTACCTGGTTCCCATATCTAAGTTGCCATTATGTGAATATTGAATTGATGTGAAAGCTGAACCACCCAGCAGCAATAACCATAAATTTGTCAATAAACAGGATTGAAAATGCATTTAGATTCAATTAACCCTTCTATATACAATTACAGTAGAAAAGACACGACACCAAGCTTGAAAGTTGTTTGTAAATTAAAATGAATTATGTAACAATATGAAAGGTACTTCCAAAGCATTGGTAAAGTATCAGATTTCCAATAATACAGTCAGTCAAGTACGAAGAAATAATTTGGCTTTACATACAAAAACATAAGCGTTAAATTCAAAAGTATATTATGTATATAATATGACAACGGCACTTTTAATCAATTACACTAAAGCAAAATTTAAGTTACATGTGATGATGTCAAATTTGATTCAAAAAGCCCTGCTTTAGTAACTTGAAACTAATATCATTCAAGTGTAAATATGACCTACTTACGAGCAACATGTAAATACACATTTCAAAGGGCCAAATAATTTTTATTAAAACCATATTGTCATGACAGCACCACATGAGTAGCCAAGAATAACTGTAAAAACTGCAGACTAGTAACCTTTAATCAACTGCCGACTGCCATCTAAAAGTAGTTACTCTTTTTTTACTACAATTACTAATAACATGATTATTCACTTTTTTGGCTACTAGAGGTGTGTGCACCAATGTAACAGACTGAAACATTGTTTTTCATTATTTTTTGAACAATTATAAAACGGGGACTTAATTAACCGAGAGAGGGAAAATCACGTTCATCATCAACCTTCGGAGCATTCCTATGCGAGACGTCTTCTTGAACATCGTTAACCTGTGACAATGATTACATTACTGTCGGATCAGATAATTTTCAAGTAAAAATAAATCACTTGAGGTAATTCACAATGTGTCAGTGAATAGTATGTATGTGTCCTTTGTAATCTGTTGTTGAATGCCATTTACCTTAACCCTGGCTGGATTTGATAAACCTCTAGAATAAGAATCAGTCTTATGCGATACGTTTGCCTTTACTAGAAGAATCATTGGTTAAAATTTAAAAAAAATATCTCCATAAATAAGAAAGTTGACATTGCGCAGCGTGCGCATGCGCATATCTTTTTTTTACAATATGCGATATGCCTGTCTTTACTAGAAGAGCATCTGCGGTGCAAATTTCAAAAAATATCTCCGTAAATAAGAAAGTTGAAATTGCGCAATGATTTTTACAATATGCGATAGAAAGGAGTAGAGTAGTAGACCAGAGCAAAAGTAACATGTTTCCACAATAAACGACGTTTTTTTTTCTCTTCCACTTTATTTTTGCCTCATAGCGTAAAATAAAGGGAGGTGTGTTAAATACTAATTAAACTGTAAGAAAGAGACAATCTATCATATTTTGACTAGTGGAATCTTATGGTGTTTTCTTACGAAATACACGATCGCACGCATTTATTTCAAACGCAAGGCAAACTGAAACAAAAACCAAGTGCCAAATTCTTAACAGAACAATTTCCTAGCTCAAAGCAAATATTTAAAAAAAAAGTTTTTAACATTCTTAAGCCTTAAGACTATGCATTTTCTTCAATCTTTTCTCGTTTCTGATACAAGAAAAAAATGTATAGTCCTACAGCAGAGAGTTTCTGGTACAAGAATTTGTTTGTCACAGTTTCTTGTAGAAGAATTACGCCAATTTCTGCGCAAAGGCGTAAAACGCGATGTTATTATTAATATAAAATAAAGAAGTGATTAATTTATGGTTCTTAATTTTCTATAGTTTGAGGTAGACATTTGGTTTCATATGAAGGGCGGTAAAATAAATAACGGGTTATATATGAATGTTTTGCAGTAAGCATTTTTGCCCAGAAAAGATATCAGTTTCAGGGGATGATTTATTGGGGTTTACGAGAAACGAATTGGGATATACCCGAGCGTAGCTCTTTTCTTTTGGAAGTTACGACTATGAGTTCCATAATCTTTTCAATATCACCTAATTTATATACAGGGCAGATCAAAAAATGATTTATATAAAATATTCTTCATATGAAGAGGCCCATAATCACGCTATGCACATTTTCATGTAACTACACTGTTCACTTACCATTTTAGCGGCGAGTTTTACAAGAGACGGTTATGCTTTTTCCCAATATTGTCCTATCGCTCCCTTGATGGCTTCATGTCCAGTGATTTAAAAGAGAACGAATGGACCGATTACGATGAAATTTTGGAGGTGGATTCTTTATCAAATTTGTAGATTGGACTGGATTGACATCTCCGATAGTTATGAATTGAATTGCATGAAATTTTGTATGTAGGCACCTCGAATAAGGGTAAAACCAATACCGAATCAAGAAATTTGTTTTGTGCATGCGCAATCCAATGGCACTCGACAGTCAGGGATTTAACAACTCAGCTGACCCACGCTATTTACGAATAGAGACAGAGATGGTTCGTTTTACTTGAATTTGTGCCTCAGTATTATTTTTCCTTTGGGTTGTTTTGTAATTGTATAATTTTTTTTTAATTGCATGGTTTGTGTAATTTGTTTATTTAGGTTTGATGTATGGATTTAATTGTGTATATGTGAAATTGCGTGTTAAAATGTAGGGCAATCTGGTTGTTTACGATAAGAGTTTTTGATATCGAACGTAAAACGCACGTGTTCCGGTGCTGGTAACAAAAGATGCAGTTGGTCAACGACGGGCGCATTATTTTCGGCGTAAATGGGGACGCGTTTCTTCGCCGCCGGCGTTATCTAATCTAATTATGATTGGCGCTTTACTTGTAACACTGGAAGAAGATTATTCTGTTGGAGGTCTACAGTCGTAGTAGACACCGTCTTGAGTTTACCTCCACTGATTAGAGCAACCTTTAGACTTAAAATGAAGAAGAATGGGAAGTAGGGGGGCCATTGTGACATGAGAGCAGTTGTCAAGCAACCGAAATAGCGCATGTTGGACAATGCGCTAAAAAGGAATGTATTTTTCTCTTAGACAGTACAGAAGGATAAACCAATCACCATTAAATCCTCTAATAACACTAGTCCTCCTAACTTGTCAAGTCACTGTAATTGTTGAAAATTTGTGTAAAGTCTGTTATCGTGAATTACCAATGATTTTTTTACCTGCCACATACCTGATCATCGTGGCCTCTAAAACGCTGCCTATCTCCTCCTCCTGCTCCCCCTCCTCCTCTGTTAGGACGTGGATATCGTCCCGCTCTCATTCCCCTACCTCGCCCGCCTGCCCCCCCACGTCTAGTATCGTTAAAGTGAATGTCTATGTCCAAGATGTGCTTTTGTCGGCCTACACGTTGTGGGTTTTCGGATGCCTCAAATTCTTCCTCCTCGCTCTCCTAACATAAACATTTTAAGTAACCACCTCCGAAGTCATCACCTTACCTCCTCGGTGTTTTCCTTCTTTTTCAATTCGTACATTTTCTTCCATTGAGTTTGATCTTCGCCTTCGCCAGCTTTACGTATATTATATTGTGGTTTAACGCGACCAGCGCGTTGTTGAGCTTTATATTCATCTAAAGTTAATTCTTTCGGTTCCACTTCGGGCGCGGCTTCGACTTCCCCTTCGGTAGTTTCCCTATAAATTTATTATCATACAACAGCGTTACCATCATAATCTGTTTACTTATTCTCCACTGTTGATATGCCAGAGTCATTTTTGTCACTTTCAACTCCCCAAGACGCGTCAATTTCAACAGACTTGTCCACTTCTCTGAGAACAAAAATGAACTTTAGGACAACAGACATGTAAAAGACTATTGCAATATGGTGCAAATATTTGAAAAACTTAACTACCACATAACTGCACAAAATAATCTAGGGGTTAAGCAGCAAAAGTGTCCACGTAACAATGAAGGAGGAAGTACAACTGACGAACTGATGCAAGATTAACAAATAAAAAAACAAAAAAATTATAATAAAGCTTTTAAAGGGGTGACAAGCGATACACCGTGGAATTGAAAAGACTTCATTATTATTGCCTTCCGATTAAGTGCTACTGTTTCATTCCTTCTACTCTTTAAAATTTAAATTTTGATCCAAACGTTTTTAAAAACTTGAAAAGAAACCAATTTGCACCATAATGCACTAATTAAATTATCTGATTGTAAACAAAAAACCTACTCAATAATATCCTTATGAGAACCCCAATTATGGGCACCGCCTCCATCGCGCTTTTCCACAGGTTTCACTCCACTGTAATAAAACATTTCTGCCATTACTTTAAAAAAGCCAAACGAAATAAAACAAAATAGAACAAAATGAAACTAAGAACAAATGAAGAACCTTTCGCACCATCGTTATCATTAGTAATGACGGGAAGGTTGCAACAAACCCTATCAAATCTATTTAGCTAAAGGAAGCAGAAATACACGCAAATGAAAAAACGAAGCTACAAGTATTCGATTATCGCATTCTATCGTAAATACTTACGTCTTATCGGATCCGCTTTGCCTATCAAATTCTCGTTTGCCACGTCGATTATCAAAATTACGTCCTTTTGGTCCTCCCCCGGGTCCCCTCACTCCGCCCTCTTTATTCTGGAAATTTCTAGGTGCGCGGTTTCGGTTTTCAAAATTTTCGCCCAAATTTTCTCTCCTAGGTCGGTCCTCACGGTCACTAAACATAACCAAATCATGAAGCTACTACAAATATGCTTTTTTACAATCAAATATGATAAAAGACACGGTCAAGACTCTCAAATTACCTTATTCCGAAAAATGTTTTACTCTACTCTGTGCCATAATAATTACGAACTCCTGCAAAGTAGCCGTTTCAAGAAAATTACAGACAATGGCACAGTAACGATGCATTCATTCTTTCATTACGTTATTATTCACGAGCACAAGGACGTGATTCAAATTGACCAATTAATACAATTGAATAAATTCAATTCAAACAGGTCTCTATATTTCTCATAAGAAATCCACAATCCATACACCACTTACTGAAAATTTGCTTTTCTCACAATGCCTTTTAATTTAAATGATCATAGTATTGAACTTTTGTGCGATTTAACTTTCCAAATAAGATTATAGGATCAATTAGAACTGTCAAAAAATGACGTCGTATATATCTCCTATTTTTTGTTGTGTAATTGCACTGTTCACAATTAAAGACTTTTAAAATATTACTTATACGTTCGACGGCGATTTCTTCAATTATCCTTATTGTTGGTTGCATAATTGCACTGATCACATTTAAAATTCTTGAAAGTAACGTGATAAAATTAAACTATCCTAACTCTTTGTGGTGTAAGATTACATTGATTGGAAATAAAACTTTTTTGCAACAATATTGATTACTCGTGGCCATTGTAAATGAAAAAATGGCGCTCTTATCCCACCAATAGTAATTACAATGTGCTGCCACCAGAGGTCCCACTGTTAATTTGAATCGCGAATTTGCAGTTACGTACAATGTTTTTTATAGACATAAACCTTAGAAAAATTAAAATTAGTTTCTGTGATTACAGCGCCACGTTACTACGACAAAAAAATGTTACCAATAAATTCTTCATACCTTTTCAAATTTGCCCCCCTTGCTTCCAAGAAGTAAGGATTAAGGAGGGGAGGGGTCAAATTTTCGGGCCATTCTATACAGAACAACAATATTAATTTCTTAAAAATTTGTAAGCTCCTGAGTTTTAAAACAAGTGGAACCAGTCACTAGAGCGACTAAGTCATTGTCAACATCGCAGCCAGCCCCTTCTGTAGTTCACTCATTTAAAATTTTCTCGAACTAAAAGAGTAATAACCTATAACCTATGTTTTTATTATGTATATGTATTTAAAAAGCAAAATACTACCTAAAAAAAGGGCCGCAGAGTCTAAAACTTTTAAAAGGTTGAGATCCACTGCCATATGCGGTACAAGCGGGGATTCCAGCTTTATCAACGGCAAGTAAACACAGCCACTTCCCAATAAATTTTCGTCTTACTCAACGAGAGAGTTATTGTGATACAATTTAAGTTCGCTAAAAGTAAGCAAAAACACCGCAGGAAGACAATTTACAAACTGATGTGACGCAAGGTAAGTTGGAAATAATAACTAAAAGCTGAAATAACAGAGATCTAACTGTATACTGCCAGTAGAAAAATTATTTAACACAAGTTTCTGCCACCAATTCTAAACTGCCCAGTACGGCGTAATACGCATACATCGACAATTGTCTGAGAAACACCTCAGAAGCTATAAAAATTCAGATTCTCAAAATTTGTTGAAAAATTGAGCTTTTTTGTTGCATCTTTTATTCTAAAATTTTTCCAGATTCCAATTAACATTACCTGATACTCCCATTGTAACAAACAGGCACTAAGAAAAATTACTGGTATTACATGGCATTATGGATTATTGTGCACGGAACGCCCTTGTAATTGGCAAAATGATCTGACGGTGATGGACCTCTTGAAAGTAGGACCATTCGCAATTAATATTGAAAAAACCATAGCAGTCAGTTAATTCAGAACACTGTCGGGTAGAAAACCGACCTTGAAATGCACGTAGCAGGTACTTGGGATTTACTTAAAACAAAACTGTTTGTAGAAGGTACTATAATCCTTCAGATACACACAACTGATCTAATTAGTAATTTGTAATTGGAGATGTTCAATATCTACTAATGTAACAAAACACCAATATAAAATTTCCACATAAGTAAACAAACGAGACTACCCGCAGTAGAAAAAACGTATACCTTAACCTCGAAAAATGATAAGGATTATTTATAACCGACCAATTGCTAGTATTTTTTATCAATTAGTTTTGCAAAATAATTCTTGACCTTTCAGTGAATAACAAACAAAGTTGATAGCGGCTAAAAGCAAACTTACCGATTGCCTTCCACAGAACCATTGAAAGTCCTTTCCTCCCGATTTCTCCTATTATTTCGTTCCTCTCGGTTTTCATTACTAAATTTATTGAGATTTCTGTCTACTTTACCTTCAACATTCGTCCGTGGGTGGGCAGGTTTAAAATCTGCAACAGAAGACAGAAAGGCGAATTCAGATCACAATTAAAACACTACACTTTTTTTATAATCACATGTGCAACAAGCCGCTTGAGTATGGCTGCCCAAAATAAAGTCTTACCTTCACGATCACGTTTATTATCGACGACCGCCGGTTTCTGCACTGGCGTTTCTTTCACTACCTTTTTCTGGTTGATGACCGGCTTGCCTTTAAGTGGAATTTCCGTTTTCGCTTTGTTTTCTTTTTCGGCTACTTTAGTCTTCTTCTTCTGTTCTTTTTCCTGCTCTTTTTCTTTAAGTAATTCTAAGGGATCGGATTCATCATCTAAAAACAGAGCGTATCTATTGCGTACACCGATGCCGTAGGAATTCTCCATTATATAATTTTACGGTTTTTATCTTCTCAACTTGCCGATGTTGGAAGAATTATTTTGGCTCTATATCAGCCAGTGATTTCACGAACTCATTCGATACAATATGGCCGGAAAAATTATTTAACGCCTATTGGCAGCAAAGCCGAATGACTGCGCATGCCCACAATGAAACCCTCCAATCGTAACGAAACTAAATTTTAAAAAAGTATTTCAAGTTCACCTGTGCATCACTGTTCACATGCGCGGGAATGTTTGTCTTTTCCAAAGAAAATAATTACTGGAAGCAATTTCTTTAGAAAATGCATATCTAGGATTATACTAAAAGTTCATTTATACAAAAACATTTATATCAACCAGGAGCGTAACTTGTAATCGAGGGACATCGATGACGCAACCAGTGGCGTTCCCACTTATTATTCCATAGTCGACCTTCAAGGAAAAAATTATTTGCTTCTAAAGCTAGCGAATAATCAAAATTAAATGAAATGCTAATTTAATCCCCCAATTAACATTCATTGTTCCTATTAAAGATTTACACAACATTAGTAACCAAAAATGAACATTGTATTAGTTAGATTAATTTTTAATATGCAACCTTCTGTGATACCTACTCAATTCATTCTAGTGGAATCACAAATGATCACGTATTCATTTTTTCCTAAAGTATGAATTATTTGAAACTACTGGAACTGGAAGTTTAGCTACTGAACCAGTAAACCACAATAATTTAATCAAACGTCACGTTTCAACAACATTGCTGTCATCATCAGCGAACAGCTAAAAGAGATGATGATGTCAGCTTCAAAATATAATTGTGAAAACAGAAGACAAAACATTTTTTATTACGGAAGTGGAAGTAGAAACGGAAACAGAAGCGAAAGTTTAAATTAAAGTAACTTATAAATTTTTGATAAAAAGCAGTGTGTACAATAAAAACATGCTATAAAACGCACGAATTGAAAGGAAACAAAGACAAACAAGTCGCGATACGACTGACGGCCGACTCTCCTGACAAACCCCGTCCGCGGCTCGCGTCACGCGGCGTTCCGTTCGACCAATCAGAGCGCATATATTTTAACATTTTTGGTACACATAGGTAAACATGTAAAGGCCGCCTGGAATGCATGCTATATAATGCAAGAAGTATCATCAGTCGCTTACTGAAATTCTCTGCAATATTGCATTTCCCCTTTCCCATCCTACGACACTCCATTTTCGAAATATTCACACTTAAGTTATCACATCGCCAGTAAATATGTCTCGTCTAGACGTTTCAACCACCCTTTGAGAGTATACCCTCCTCTGACACTCGATTCTGCAGATATTTGCACTTAAAGTTTTGACATCACCAGTAGATGTATCGTATCGTTTTCGAGATATTCGTTTCAACCTCAGCAATAGTCATTTTGCCTTCTGGGATGTGATCCGCTCTGTCTTACTAAAGGCCGAAGAGTTATAAAGTCACTCCCCTGGGCAGGGAGCAGTGGCTGAACACAAACCTGAGGAGCTCGTGTGGTTTACAGACGGGTCCCTAATGGAATGTGGAACGGGCATGGGTGTATATGGTGATCGACCTAGAACTGACAACAGCTTTTCCCTTGGTCAGCATAGCACCGTTTTTCAGGCAAAGATGTTAGCCATCATGACCGGCAAAGAGGTGTCATGGGATAGGATATTGTTGCAGTAGAAAATCTTGTAAGGAAGTGTTGCTATCTTGTGACTGTTCTTCAAAGCTGTTGTATCGCTGTATTACCATATAGCAGCATGTAACCTGTATTACCTATTTAAATATACTGACAACAAAGTTGAGATTTGAATTACGTCATTACTTTGCACCAGACACAGACCATGATACTGTCAGCATTATATTTAATCACCGGAATGTGATATTATGCTTCCTATGCAAGGAGTCTTTTAATTCTTTCAGGCCATAGACCTATTTATTTTATTATTTTAACGCCTTACCTTTGCCCAATTACAAACTTTATTTGAATTTAGCTAGCAATGAAAATTAAATAGGTACAGTGAGAAAATATAACTGATTATGCGTATAATTTCTAACGTTTTTGTTGGATTAGCGGTACACGTAGACCGTTTTAACACTGCTTTAGCAATTTTGTGTGGAATTTACGCAAACAAGGTCCTTTTGCGCAATTCACTAATGTGGGAGTGCTGTAAGTATAGTGTATTTGTAAGAGAAAAGATCAATTCCATCCATACTACCATTGTAAATAAAGATGTATATTATATACAATGATACTTTTTTTTGGGCAAAAGAAAAGGCAGTGTATAACCTTCCTTTTTTTCCAAAAATCGACTGCACCAAAATTTCTCGAAAAAACACTTTTTCTTATTAATTTTGGTGCGTAGAATCCAAAACAATTCGTACTTTTTCGATCAGACTTCTCAATCAAAAGTTATAGACTAGAAACCAATTTCGAAAAAAAATTCAAAAGGCTGTAACTTTTGAACTAGTAGCCCAATCTTGGAACTGTTTGAAATTGTGGATTCTACAGGCCACATTCTATAAGAAATTTTTTTTTCCGGGTCGATCTGAGACAATTTTTTTTCGAGGCTCAAAAAAAGGCAGTGTATAACCTTCCTTTTTTGCCAAAAATCGACTGCACCAAAATTTCTCGGGAAAACACTTTTTCTTATTAATTTTGGTGCGTAGAATCCAAAACAATTCGTACTTTTTCGATCAGACTTCTCAATCAAAAGTTATAGACTATAGAAACCAATTTCGAAAGAAAATTCAAAGGGCTGTAACTTTTGAACTAGTAGCCCAATCTTGGAACTGTTTGAAATTATGGATTCTACAGGCCACGTTCTATAAGAAAAATTTTTTTCCGGGTCGATCTGAGACAATTTTTTTTGAGGGCCTCAAAAAAAGGCAGTGTACAACCTTCCTTTTTTACCAAAAATCGACTGCACCAAAATTTCTCGAGAAAACACTTTTTCTTATTAATTTTGGGGCGTAGAATCCAAAACAATTCGTACTTTTTCGATCAGATTTCTCAATTAAAAGTTATAGACTAGAAACCAATTTCGAAAGAAAATTCAAAGGGCTGTAACTTTTGAACTAGTAGCCCAATATTGGAACTGTTTGAAATTATGGATTCTACAGGCCACATTCTATAAGAAAAATTTTTTTCCGGGTCGATCTGAGACAATTTTTTTTTTCGGGGCTCAAAAAAAGGCAGTGTATAACCTTCCTTTTTTACCAAAAATCGACTACACCAAAATTTCTCGGAAAAACACTTTTTCTTATTAATTTTGGTGCGTAGAATCCAAAACAATTCGTACTTTTTCGATCAGACTTCTCAATCAAAAGTTATAGACTAGAAACGCATTCAAAAAATACTACATCTGAACTGATTCGGCACTGGGCAGTCGGCAGTTCCGCACAGAAAAATCAGGAAAATTCTCTCTTCGCTGACCTACTTCCTTACTTTACGAAGATTGAATTACTTTTATGGCTTGAAGATAAAGCAAAAATCTACGTAGGCGTAGATGACGATCACATTACAAGGCCATTTTCACTTTTATCTATAATTCTATAATAGAATTTGAAGTCGGACGTTTATGATTATGTAGATTACTTCTTATGACGTATGTGATGAAATTTTTCTGAAATACTTCTCGTCAATTTTCTTAGTGTAATTTAGTCCATGGTGCTAAACACTCTGGATTTTGTTACATGGCAAATTTACCGAGTCTATGGCGTTTCAAAGCAAATCGTTGACGAAAACCTCAAAATTAAACCGAATTCTATACCAAGGCGCCAAAGCATTGAAATTTCTTTTTTTTTGTAATGATAATTAAGCTACAGAACAAAGCGATACAAGCTTTATATAGGTGGTCGATGGTGTCCGTCTGTCCGTCCGTGAACACGATAGGTAACTGCCAAACGCTTGAGCAGATTTGGTTCAAACTGTGCACAGTTGGCCTATACTTAATACTATATTTTATCATGTGTAATAAACTTATTAAAAACGGGCCAAATCCAAGCACCCCGTACATGCATGTATTTCTCATGTTCAAAAACATGCACACAATAAATATGAAATTTTTTTGCCTATTGCGAGCTAACAACATTAACAAGCAGTGTTAGTAATAATTTAGTACACTATTCTTGAATTCAGAGGGAGCGTCGGCATTTGCTTTTCGCCATCTATGTTCAGGGATAGTCTCTCACTGCCACAAATTTATACAGCATGGAACCTCTTTATATTATTTACTCTATGCCGGTGTACAAGAGAACTTTTCATTAGAGATTACCGTAATAAGCATATATAAATATATAGGCCGCGCGCTATAGCATGGCGAGAGCTTTAGGTGCGCAGTGAACAAGTTTGCACAATTTACTTGAATGTTTCCAGTGCCGTAGTCATGACAACGAGCATGATACTATTATATAGTAAGATACGCTCAACTTACCACCACGGAAGTAAGAATCTCAATCAAGTTTTCTCGGTAGTTGCTCATTGTCATATTCGGTCTGCTCGCATTATTCGCAATGCTATAGCGCGCAGGCTGTACGTAGTGACAGTCAGGCGCACTGTGGAATAGGGGGCGAGAAAAGGAGGACGAGCTGGCTCGCGAAGGCGTCAGTGGTATGGTCTTCGTCGGACCCGATCCTACTCTAGGAATTGCGCTCCGTTGTACTGGACTCAGACAGTCCAGAGCCTCCTGGAAAATCTGGGCCTTCTAAGCCAGATTAGGAAGACCAGCGGTGCTCTTGCGTGGCACAATTAATGCCTGCACAACATTAGGCTTATAGGAGAGTCCACGTGCAGATGCAAATGAAACTGCAGAACATGTGGTCTGTCACTGTGACGATTTGGTCAGAGACAGACATCAGATCAGGTCCTTGGCGACAGTTATCTGAAGGCGGGGACGGTAAAGCAACTTTTAGACTAAACAGTTATTGAGAGGAGCAAACTCTGAACCTGGTTGCAAAAGAAAGGGGTTAGGCACAATTACAATTTGCAGTCATAAGAGGGCTCAAAAAAAAGCTTATGTGCGCATAGACCTAAGTTCACCCTTCACCCCGCCTTCTCAATCAATGAATTTCCCCTCTCCTAAAACCAAACTAGAAATAACAGAATGCGATTTAAAAAAAATTTCTAAATACGGAGCGTTACGCGCAGCCTGGCGCATGCGCACACCTGGTATTTAAAATATGCGATTGCAATTTATTCGTTGGATGTTTGCCTTGACTACAATCTTTGGTTAAAATTTCGAAGAAATTAACTAAGAGTTGACATGGCGCCCCCAACTTGGAAAATTGCTAACTAGGGGCAGTTCAGTGGTCCAGACTTTTCACACCATGAACTGTTAAAAGTATGTGTATTCGAGATCTTACACCACAGTTCTCATGGATCCTCATATGCAAGATTACATTGCACTTCACTTGAAAACTAAAGGTATTCTAGGAAACACAATTGTGGGAGAAAGTAAAATCATCGAGACGCTCCACAGCACAGTTGCATAAGTAACAAAATTATTTCCGATAGCCCTTTACTCAGCAGTTAAATACATAGCACAAGTAAAGTGACGATTTATAGGAAGCAAATCAACAAAGGTAATTTTGCATATCGTGCACGTCTTTAATGATAATAATCATTACAAAATCGATTAAACTTTTATCCTATTTCAAATAACCAGAATGAAGAATATAAGGCAATAAACAGTTAGATATCTAAATTAACTTAAAAACTATAATTTCAATAAAATAAATCTATAAATAAAGCACCCCTTTGAAATGGGACAAGTAGAATTCTCCCAAATAACAGCACTATAATTACAACATTGTGTTCATACACAATCGGTTGACTCTTAAATTGCAAATGGTGTGTACGATACGGATATACTTTTAAAAACAATCAAAATGGAAATTAGTCGACATTTCCAATATTAAAAGTTAAAACATATCGTAAATTACATTTGCATATTTATATGAAAATCTAACTAGTGTTAATACAATATGTAACAAAATTGCTATATACAGAAGTTGCATTTTTATCTTAGTAATGGTGTGTCAGTCACTTTCCAAACGCTCCCCCTAAAGATAATGACCTTCGATACTCAAAACAAATTGAAGCCAAACTTACTGCGTATTATTTACAAATGATACAAGTTTATATTCTATAGTTAGAATTTATCCCTTAATTTTCACAATAAAATGTACAAATGTGGCTTCCGCATGCAACCATACAGATGATCAATTGATACTAAAACTGGAGCATTACTAAGCAATTTTTGGAGCAAAATTAACGAATTAAGCACAAAATGAAACCACACCTTTTCACTGATTGTTACTCTCCATCAATTGTCCATAATCGACTCGCAGCGTTCATCTCTATAAACTATTTTACATATAAAACTTTTTTAAATCGAGAATTTACTAGAATAAAAGAAATATCACAAAACAAGTAACAAGGTAAATACAAAAATTATCGATTGCAGTCAATTTAACAGAGTACAAATTATGAACTTAAATTACGACAATCACTTAGTGCAGTTTTGTTAATAAATAAAAAATTGTGAAATTATATTTACAAACAGTATGTCAATTTTGAAATTACACCTTAAATTATTTACGCCATAGTCTGTAAAATTATCTGCCAATTCAATTTACTTGGCCTAACGCACGAAAATATTTGTAGATTGCGTATGCCTCAAACTTCCCATTTACAGTGATATGGGAAAACAAATTATACAATTGTTTAAACTGGACAAAGAAGCGGTGTTGATGATGAGGCATTGGGCACGGTTAGCTCTGCTTCTTTACATGCAACTTTAGAAAACCAGAAAGTCCATAAATGCTCATCAAGCACTACATTCATATCAAGGGGTAGTGGTAGAGTAGTCAGAATGAAAGTGTAGGTTTGAAACTGCTTCTTTCCAATTCCACAACAGAATTTACTGAAATTTTTCATAATGGCAAGGTACAATATCGTTTTCAATTTCAATAACATTTCAGAACTGGTGTTTATTTTGATCTCCATTTTTATTGATATTGCATTAAACAAGTGTAAACACATCACTTTTAACTAACATTTACAACAGGTAAGTAAAAGTACGGAGGAATATGTACAGCATGAGTAAAATAAAACAAATTGCCGCTATAAATCATACAAAATTAACACTTTTATCTAACTTTTAGATATGACATACATTTGTTCTATTCGTTGAGTTATTTCACAGTTATTTAATTACATTTCTTTTTTTCAATTGATACTGCAAACTATTACAATATAATCAAATAAATAAAAACAATTATAGAACGATGTAAACTTTAAAGCTCTTGCAAGGAGATATCAAAAACTTTTAACTGCACCATCTTGTAACGAACTTAATATAAGCTAGTCTTAATGTCTACAATAAATAATCGTAGGTTATAAAAAAATCCAATGTGCTGCAAGTAGAAACTTGGATGTTCGAGTTAAGTCGCTTTCACACTTGTTAAGATAGCGAAATTATCTACTAAACAGCAGATCACGTTTTACTTAGACTATCTTGTGTATATTTTCGACCAGTGAAATGGTAATTTAAAAATGTAAATATGAAATTTAAGTAGAAATATAATACTTTGGCGAAATAACAAAAAGATAAAATGTTTAAAATAAAAAAATCAATGAATTTAAAAACTTATGAATCCTCCTTATCCAGTTTAAGTTTCTTTACATTCCCAGGTAAATTGTCTGTGCTACGTTTGGCAGTTTTAGTTGCCGCTTGAGGATCTATAAAAAAGTATTAGCGCTAAATGAACACACAAAAAATCCCGTACCTTGTAACCACCTAACTTGAGTAGCAGGTCCGTAACCCTTGTCGTTTCTTGCCGCAATACGAAAAATGATCGCAGCTTTTGTTGAAGTGTCTAAAAATGCGGCCGAAAGAGACGCATTAGGAACGGTACACGTATTACTAGCCCCACAGTAGACCCGTACAAACGCCATTTGACTAGCCGTCGTCGATTGCGAGGGCTTGTCCTAAATAACGATCGTTAATAGAAATAAATGTTACGCAGACGAACCTTACCTTTGGATTATTTCGAACGGCTAGATACACGGAATATTCTAAGATTTCGCCTTGAGCGGCACTAGGTGGTTCCCACGATAAATGGGCTCCATCTATTGATTTCGCTATTTTAATAGCAGAGGGAGCACCCGGAAATCCAGGTAGGCACGTCTTGAATGCTGAAACCTTTACGCATTTCTTAGAAAGAGTTGAATAAAAAAGGTTTAATTAATATTAACATTAAGCCTTTAAAATACTATACATACTATAGAACTTTTAAAACTTTATCATTAGGACACAATTGAGCGCTCTCAGCCTTTGTGTCTAAGTTGTCATGAATGAAAATAAATGCATTATTATTATTATTATTTTCGATGCATTGATCAGTACTTCCCAAAAGGTCATAGCTATGGGCGCTATGTTTTTCCTTATTAGAGGCATCTATAGTTAAAATTTGAAAAATCTCCATAAATAAGAAAGTTGATGTTGCGAAATTCGCGCATGCGCACATTTAATTTCTATATGCGATATGTTTGATTTACTAGAAACGTTTACGGTTAAAATTTTAAGGACATAAGTAAAAAGTTAGTATTTTGCAGTCGGCGCATGCGCGCATTTTATTTTTACTATGCCTTTCCCGACGTGTCGTTTTTGATTTTGACTACATGCGATATGAAAGTATTACTGATCTGTATTACATTTGATTAATAAAATAATTTAAAGCATTTTGCCCCCCCCCCTCTAAAAGTAAAACCGCAAAAGTGGGCAGGAACGGACAAATGGACGAACATACGGAGATATTCGTATTCGTTGATGGATGTGTGCCTTTTACTGAAAGGTCATAATACCAAAATTTCCAAAAAATGTTTGGCATGATAGGTCGATAGAGGGTTATTTCAAGGAAAAAATGTTTAATAAAAATTATAGAAACAATTACGTGCAGCATTCTTGAGACTATAGCATCAAGACTTCAGTGAAACTTCCGATAAAACAAGAGATGAAATTTTTTTGGAACACACTCGATTTCAAATTGACATTCTGTCGTTATTTCAGTGTACCTTTTATTAATAAAAATCTTATTGTATGAGTTATGAGTCATACGTATTTAGAAACTATGGTTATGAAATGTTTCTATTCCTCAAAAAATGCACTCAAAAATAACTGAACATTTTAGGTATCCCAAAAAGGAATTATAAGCTGTAATCGTTGCCTGAAAATTATGAACAGGAAAAATAAAAATACATTGCGATAATACTGCCATCTTTGATGTAGTGGTTGAACTACGAAACAGTATGGACTCGTCCCATGTTACGACTTTTTTGGTGTGGATGTACTTCCACTTCATTGCACTTTCTTTCGCACTTCTACAAAATGGTGCAAAATCATTACATTACAAATAAATTATATCAGGTCCAACATATTTTGTTTTATAAAAGCAGGATTGTTGGAATGGCGAACGTCTGATTTTTATACATTCGGGCGGTCTTAAATGGAAGATACAAAAATTCAAGGGTTATATGTATGTTACTATTTATAAAATAATGTTTATTTCCAGATTATGTTTTTGTTTGCACTTGCGTATGGGAAAAGTATGCACAAGCAGGCATATGAGAAATATTACGTACTGCGCATGCGCACTTTTACAAAGTCACATCGGGCTCTATACCAAATGAAATACAGAAACCTAAATAAAAATTGCGACGCCTTTTATTACATTGTTTTCAAGAACGCGACGCGGTCAAGCTTCAAAAAGTGAATTGATCTTTCTTACCTCACTCCAGTCACCTCGTCCAACAGAATTGATAGCCGCCACTCGAAACTTATACGCAGTTCCTGGTTCTAAATTGATGCGGGGGAAATGAGAGCAGTCTGGCACGTCGTCAATTGTAAATGAATCGTCGTCCTCCCAATAAAAATAATTATGAACGTCGAAACTGGTGCCCTTGATAAATCCTACAGTATACCACACATCCTTCTCTTCTTTCACACTTTTTATAACATCAGTCTTAAATTCTTTTGTATGATGTAAAACGGCAGCAGATGCCAACGCCGATAGAGCGTCACTAGTTTCGGACTTTTTATCATCTTGAGATAATTCCGATTCAATCGCGTCCGAATTATACACGGAGTCCGGTTTCATCTTTGAATCCTCCACCATCGTCGAATCTAAGGGAGGCAGTTTTTCACACGTGGTATCCATGTCCATTTTAAATTCTTCCGTTCCTTCCTCTAACTCGGCATCCTCTTTTAGAGGAATAGTACCGTTGACAGTACTTTCAGTGGTCTCGTCGACAGTCTCTTCAGGAGGAAGGGGATCATCTTTAGTTCCACCAAATAAGCCACCTCTATATGTTACAGGTTTAGTGGGAAGAATAGGCGCGCCTCCAAACAGACCGAGCCGAATCTTCGATCCGCCCTTAAGACCTAGTATTTTATTTACAGGATTTCCCCCAAACAGTCCAACATTAGCAGTCTCCGTAGGTGCAACAGCGTCCACATCCGAAGCAGTCTCTATGTTGGCATGATCGTCCCCTTGGAGAAATGTAACATTTTGTTCGCTAGGAGACTGATCGACGTCCTTTTCAATTGTTACTTCTTTACTTGGCTCGGGGTCTATCAGTCCGGCTTCGGCCGCTAATGCAGCTAAAGCCGCATCAGTCGTAGCAGGACCATCGAACGATGTGGGTGCTACAAGGAAAAAATGTTTGCGTAAATTATTGGCAAAATTTCTTACGCAAGCTACAGAAAATGACTTATTTATACAGGGTGTTCCAACTAGAATTTCTACTCCCTGACAAATCGGTTTTCGGCAAAATGTAAAATTTATATCTATGGGGGATGAACTTTAGCCTCATTTTCAGGCGTTATGAACTCACTATGAGCTCGTTAATAACGAATGACATTTATACAGGGTGTTCCAAGTTGTATTTGTACTCCCTGACAAATTAGTTTTCGAAAACGTAAGGAAAATGCTTGAATATGTAAAAATCTGCATTAATAGGGGATGAAACCATTTGAAAGCTCATTCCATACCCCGGTACTATGTTCTTCTCGCAAAATAGTTAATGATAATTTTCAATAATTTTTTGAAGGGTAAACTGGAAGGAAGAACCGGGGTTCTGGGGGTATAGCAGTACCCTGGGCAAAGGAGGACTCAATAATCCTTTCTCTATTACCCTAGCGCTCTCTTTTGTAGTAGTCTTTGGGAAAAGGTAACCGAATCCTTGAATACTGGGGGGGTATTCCATACCCTTCCCCCAAAAATGTTTAATGATAATTTTCGAGAAAAGACCACAGCACTTAGAACCAAGTTACAATAATCATGATGAGAGTTTTGAACTTGAAGGATGCCAGGGAATGCTGTTACAGCCCCCCGGGGATTCAAAATGTTACTAGTAGCGTATTTTAAAGGCAAAAGGTACAATGATCACTATTGGAACAATTTTCTTACACCAGCAAAAAATCAAACACTACAAAAAATAATTAATGACTTATTTATACAGGGTGTTCCAACTAGAATTTGTACTCCCTGATCAATCAGTTTCCCGAAAACTTACTAATTGTTTGTGTTGGTCATAATGTGTTTGTTACTATATACATTTAGGTGTTAATGACAATTTAAATTCAGATTTGGAATATCTGACAATAAATATTATTATTATTATGGTGGGGTGATGAGTTGAAAACGCAGAAACCACCTTTTTTGCGCCTCTCAATATCTTTCACCATCTCCACTACCAGTTTTTGAACAAACAATTTTGAAGTGGTTCCTCGTGCTCAACCGCGAATTTTCCTCAAGTTGCGCCCAACATTCCTACCTCCCTGAGCAGGCGCCAAACCTCGTACCGTCTGGGAGCGCGTGCGCACCAAAACGCGATCACTCCGCAACCGCTCAAAAGAATTTCCTAGAGCATTTGAACAGCAAAACACCAAGGAAGTTTAACCTCATTTTTAGGCGGTACATTTGATCTGAGAAAAGACCACAGAGTTAAAACCAAGATACAACTGTCTCTCTCAAAAACATGAGAATTTTAAAGGCTAAACTTGGAGGAAGAACGTAGTGGGGGGTATGGAACCCCCCCCCCCCCTCCAGAGCAAAGGGGGACTAGATAATTCTTTCTCTATTACCCTAGCACTCTCATAGTAGTCTTTTGGAGAAGATAATTGAATCTTCATATAGGGGGGCATTCTGCACCCTCCAGAAGTATGTTCTTCCCCAAAAACTTTGATGATAATTTTCGAGAAAGACTATCATTTCCCAAAAACAATTTGAAAGTTGGCGAGGCAGATGAAACTACCAAGCATGTGATCTGTCACTGTGACACTTTGATCACAGATATCAGCTCCTTGGTGACAGTTATGTGGAACCGGCGAGGGTGAAGCTAAACATGGTCCTATCCTATATTGAGAGGAGTGGGCTCTGAACCTAGTTCCAAAAGAAAGGGGGTGGGCACCAATGGCCCTTCGGTGTCGAGCTCCTCTTATCAATAGAACAGAATACTCTTTAACACACATTATATGTAAGGTATTGAAATTACCTACACGCACACAATCGTGTGCAATATATGTACATTGCATTTGTTCCGCATTAGGATTTCCCTAACGTTTTTGTATTTGTGTTCTTTTTATTCCGTGCAGAATTAAAAAAAAAACAACTTGACAATCTGATATAAACAAAAATTGCGATCTTCGGCAACATTGTATTTACCTATGGTAGCGGTTGGCTGTTTGGGTCGCTGTAGAACCATTAATTTTGGCTGTTCATTAGAAGATGCAGTTGATAACACAGTCGATGAAGAGGGTAGGCGGACAATTTTTCCCACAGGAGAATTTCCTTGTAATTGATTTCCTACTAACGTGAAAGTTTTGTTTCCCGTAGCCGCCATTTGTACGGTGACCGGCTTACCGCCGATCATTACTTGCTTCTACAAATTTGTAACGATAGGTATATATTAATGTAGAGAAAGTTCACTTACCGTTCCCTTAGACAAGGTGACACTTTTGGTTGGACCGACCGGCATCGAAATTGTAATAGGTTTTCCTGTCAGTTTAACACCTTGTAGGTTTGCTACAGACGTAACGGGTTGCATGTGTACTGTCGTCGTTTTAGGTTGCGCTAGCGTTACCGATTGTGCTTGACTAACCGTCTGTATAGTTCGTAATGCGGCATTCGTGCTAACCACTAGAACTTGTTGATTCGTTATTCTTTGCAGCTGGCCAGTTGCATTTTTGGATAAGACAAGTTTTCCTGTCGCTTTGTTCATTTGAATTACATTAGAAGGGAGAGTTTTAACGGTTGTTAATACTTTACTACCTGAAGTACTGGGCAAAATTTTTACTATTGCATTTTTTCCTTGCTGTTGAATAACAGTATGGCCCTTTGGCTGAGTTTGTACTACATTTCCCTTTGGTAGAGCGGCCACGGTCATACCGGTGCCCGTTTTAACCAAGGTAACAATTTGAGGCTGCATATTGCCTTTTTGCAACATAGTCCCACCTTTCTGTAAAATTAGTTGCTTTCCTTGAATCGGCGAAGTTTGCCTTATTCCCGTCGTCGGCTGTATTCGAACATTGGACGTTGCTGCAAAACAAAAAGGGACTGTTTAACTTTTCGTAACGTACAAGTAAGACATTCTGTACCGATTTTCAAAGGTGAGGTTTGTTGTTGTTGAGTTAGAGTTATTTTTTGGGTCGCTGCAGCTGCTGCAGCCAATGCTTGAATGCCAGATAAACTAGTTTGCGTCGTTTTTGCGGCTTCTATGTTAGGAGTCGCTCCTGGAGATGATACCGCAGTCGTTAAAATGACAGGTTGACTTGATACTACGACCTTTGGAGGAGGGGCCCGTACTGGAACAACGGCCCATTCATACAATCACATCTTCCAACATTTTTTTTTAATAACCAATGTTACAGTGAAACTAAATGAATACCAGACAGAATTTTGAAAATCAAATAAAAGAGAAGAACGAGTAGTAGGATACAAAAAATAGGTGATTCACACTTCACGCGCCGCTTTGGGCAATTTTAGATTGTTTGGTTTGTTTTGGTCCCTTCATTCTAACACTAATTTGTTTTTATTTATTTATTTATTATCCCTCTCTTGTTCTGGGCCTTCAACAGGCTTGCGCCCAATTACAGAGTGACCCGCATAACCGTATTATTTTCATTTTTCATTTCATTTATTATTGTAGATATCTACATAATGCGGTCCTACCAAGTTATTACTTATCGGTAGGTGCCGATCATTGTTGCAAATTTACATAGAAATATTAAAAAAGAAAACTTAAACGCAGTGAGGTTAGTGGAGTGCCATGATTGTGACAAAAAGGTGCAATTTAAGGTTAATAATTACAAAAAAAAAGATTATACAACAATTATTCATATATCGCGCCTTAACTGATTTTTATACATTGCTGCAAATTGGGAGTTGTTCAAGTTCTAACGATCAAAAGTCATTTGATTATAGTTATTATTTTTTATTTATTATTAATAATAATAATAATTGAGCTACACCTTACCCGAAAAAAAAAATTTTTTTTTTACCAACTACTCACAACTCAAAGGGCGGGGTTCAGATTGTAATAAAAATTATTACTCCCTGCTCTTCCATTCAACCCAAAAAAATTATTATTATTATGCTTTTTAGAGGTGTCTCTGCAGAAGGTCTAAGTTGTTCTATACTAATTGTCGGATCAGATATCGAAGTGAAAAATGTAGGTGTCATAAATATGCATCACTTATCAGATCATTGCTTAATATACTGTCACTATCCAATTAATGTTAACGTACGTGTTAATCCACATTTATATACCTTTAGAGATTTTAGATCTTTTAATATTAATGATTTCAAAAATGATTTACACCAGATACAATGGCAAAATATCTATAACGCTCCCGATATAAACGATAAAGTTTTACATTTTACTAGAAACATTTTGACTTTGTTTAATCGCCATCCTCCTATAAAAACATTAAAAATAACGAAACCTAAAGCTCCATGGCTTACGAATAATATTAAATTAATGATATCTCTAAGAGATGCCGCCTTTAAGCGATATAAAAAAGTCAAAACAAGTGGTTCTTGGGAATATTATAAATCGCTACGCAATTATACAACTTTTGCTATTAGAAAAGAAAAGAAAGCTTATTTAGAATTTTGTGCTCGAAGTAACTCTAACACTATGTGGAAAGAACTCAGATCATTAAATGTATATCATGCAAAGAAATCTAACAATGCTATCCCATTTGATCTAAGTAATGTTAATAAAATTAATGAAACCTTTTTAAGTGCTGGAAGGACATCTGCTTCTGGAAATACAGAATTAGAACAATTTTATAATAATTCACTTATCAAACCAATTGGGACCTTATTTTCTTTTAAATTATCGGATGAAAATCAAATATCAAGCATACTATTTAATATTAAAACGAATGCGGTTGGTTGTGATGGTATAAGCGTGTCTATGCTTAAAATGAGTTCTCCCGATATTCTACCGGTAATGACGCATATAATTAATTGTTGTCTACTATCTTGTGTGTTTCCAGAAATATGGAAGACTGCTAATGTTATACCGTCACCTAAGATAAACGAACCTAAATTATTTAAGGACCTTCGTCCCATCAGCATCTTACCAGTTATGTCAAAAATTTTAGAAAAAATAATGGTAGAGCAAATCAATAAGCATATTACGCTTCATAATATCTTACCTGAAACCCAATCGGGTTTTAGGAAAGGTTATAGTTGTGCTACTGATGGCCCTCTTGAATATAACGGATGATATACTGTCTGCTGCCGATAAAAATAGAACATCGATTTTGGTCATGTTAGACTATTCTAAAGCATTCAACACAATTTCTCACCAAATTTTGTTTAGTATCTTGCGATTTATTGGATTTAGTGTCACTGCTGTGGAGCTTATGCAATCCTACCTCACTACCCGTTTTCAAAAGGTAATTTTAAATGGAGAGAGTTCTACTTCCTTGCCTATTATAGCTGGGGTGCCCCAAGGATCTAATCTAGGCCCATTACTATATTCGTTGTACACGTGCAACTTCAGAAATCATGTCAAGCATTGCAGGTATCACTTATATGCCGATGATACACAGCTTCAAATAGATTTTCAACCTGATAATGTGGCTTTAGCTAACAAATTAATTAATTCTGACATTGATGCTCTTGTAAATGTTTCTGAAAAGCACTGTTTAAAAATTAATGCAGAGAAATCCGTAGTCATGGTATTTGGGCAACGTAAAGCCAGAAACTTAATTAAACAGGATGTGGATGTTAAGGTGGCAGACTCGGCTTTTCTTGTGAAAGAAACTGCCAAAAATCTGGGCCTGATTTTAGATGATAGTTTGAAATTTTCCCATCATAGGTATTACTTCTTTATTACGGAAAGCGTATATAAATTTGAAACTTATTTTTAACCAAAGATACTGCCTAAGTGGAAAATTGAAGATGTTGTTATGTGAATCTCTAGCACTGTCGCACTTTAATCATTGCGATACTGTGTATCGACCGTGTCTTGGTAGCTTTGATGTGAAAAGAATTCAGCGAATGCAGAACTCTTGCCTTCGGCTCATATATGGTATTAAGAAACACCATCGTATCTCTCATAAATTAACTGAATCTAAATGGCTAAATATGTATAACCGAAGAGTTCTGCATTCAGCAGTTCTATTTCACAAAATTATAACTACTAAGAAACCGAATTACCTTTTTGACAAAATTAAATCTAGATATGATATTCACAACGTAAATATTAGAAAGAAAAGTTTTATCACACCTCCAATCCATAAATCGCATTTGTTTAAAAAATCATTCTCATATAGCGTTAGTAATTTATATAACTCACTGCCTGAATGTGTAAAAACTCTTAGGACTGCCTCTTTCAGACATCGCCTTACTAAAACTATTTATGAAAATAAAAAAAAATAGTACTTAACATTTCTTTTATTTTTTGTTTTTTTGTTTTTTATTTATCTTGATATTTTTCTCCTTTTTTTAATTAACTTCTTCTCTTCTTCATCTATAAATTATTATTGCCATTTATTGCAAATGGCACGCCACTAATCAGTTAAACAACCAACTAATTCATATTAAATTAATTAATATAATTTCAATTTTGTACTCGGGACGTATTCTTTCTTTCAATAAAAATTATTGTTAAGTATTAGGGTTAAGTGGAAGAACAGATTATGAAACTTCGTATTCATAAATCTGAACTTCGCCCTATTGAAGGTGACTCTGACGTTAGTTTTTTATTTCCTATTTAATAGTCATGAATTCTGTTTGTACAGTGTTATCCTTCAATAAATGACCATTATTATTATTATTATACTACTCCTGTATTTACCTTACGAATTAGGAAAACTGTACGAAAACCTAAATAAATAAGCGCTCTACCACTGAATCATAAAGCCGTTTTTTTTAATACTTAGTATTGCATTGTCGTAAATGGTAAAGGGAACAAGACAATCCACCTACAGCATCAATGGCTGCAACTAAGGGGGCGATCTCCTCCTCCAGACTTTCAGTTACTTTAAATCCTACACTCTAAAAATTGATATATTCATGTAGGGATCATAAACTAAGGATACCCTCCATCCGTACTCTCTATACTGGAAGTAAAGCTATGCAAGTTATTTTAGATGAAATTTCTTCCTGTGTTATAGTTTCGTCATTTTAATACTCACCTCTAATTATAGGAGCAACTAATCGAGGAGTTGTTCCACTTAAAGGTGATGAAATTTGAACTGGTGGAACTACAGGCGATGGAGCGACCATAAGCGGAGTTACGACTCCCGCTTTCGGAGAGGCCATTAATGAAGGTGCACTTGTTTGTGGAATCGTAGGTTTCGAAGCGCTACCAGCCGGTAAATCGTATTTTTGAATCTGGAAGACATTGTTACTCCGCGTAATATTTGCGCACAAGCTAAATATTTACCTGCAACATGTATGTTTGTATAGATGGCGTCCCGCTCCAATTAACTTCTAAAGAATGTGTTCCCGCTTTAACTAATGAGACTCGTCCGGGCGTCTGCGGTTTGTCTACTTCGAGGTACCACAGATCTTTACAACAAACCTGCAACGACTATTATTAAATGAAAGTATTACGAATAATTATAATTACTTGATTATTCCACGCTTTCCTATAGCCATCGCGACCTGACCATACATACAGACGAGTGTTAATACCGACCGCGCAATGACCCGCACGTGCACACGGTACGTTATTGTCAGTATTATCAAAAACTATATCTTCCCACGTTAAAGAGTCAAGGTTGAGGCAAGCCATGGTACTCGTACATTTCCACTCTTTTTCATTTGTCGCCGTTTTAACAACATCAGCTACAACAGGTACCCATCCGCCAAACACATACATCTTGTTACCGATTAGCGTCGAAGTATGAAGTGATCTAGGAAGCGGTGTAGGTCCCGCCACTTGCGGTTTAGTCCAAGTTAACGTGTCAGTATTTAACAACCATAAATCTCCTAACCTACATCCACTCATGCCGCCATAAATGACGAGGAATGATTTCCTTTGAGCTTTATCTACATGCGCTACTCCAGTATGAGATTCACGAGGTGGGGGAGTCGGTCCCTGTGTAATGGGAATTTCCCACTGAACGGGTGACACTCTGATATCCAAGGCGTATAAGTCGTTTAGATATCGAGGGACATTATTTTTGGGATCCGCACTATCGTTGGCTAGACCGCCAAATAAATACACCTTATTATTAACCAATGTAAAACTATGTCCTAAACGGGGACAAGGAGGCGGGCCGGTTTTTGGAGGTTTTGGCTTTAACTTTTTCCACTCCCATCTTGACGCCTGCAAACAAAACGCAATATTAAGTTCCTTGTAACAAATTATCTGCAACAGCAGAAAAAAATATGAACTTCACCATTTTGCGTCGTTGAAATTACGGATAGTGTAATATGATTTTTTAGCAGATACCGATGTCAGCCATATTGCTTATTTTAGAGAAATTTCCTAAGCTTAAGGAAAGTTTTATATCACGGGACATGGCGCTGAACTGCAGTATAAACTTCATAAATATTATTATAAAAGGTGATCCATCAACACTTGAAATTGTTAGGGTGTTTGAAGATCTGGACGCTTTGGCGGATTTTTCTTTGGTAGAAGAAGAAGGAATAGAATCGACTTGGCTTCTTGAAACAGACTATTAATAATAAACCTTTAGTCCAGGCTATATATTTTTTGACAAAATAAATTGGTTCCCAATCCAAACTGGGTTTTTTTATGTAGGTAAACTGATTCGAAATCGGGAAAAAATAATTGCTGAATTTTTCGGCGGACAAAAAAGTTGGATGTTGCACATGCGCAACTCAATTTTTTGCGCATGCATTTTGTTTTCTTTTATTAGGAGGACCTACCCCATCCAAATTTCGTTTTAATTGTTCCATAAATAAGAAAATTGCATTTCTGCGCATGCGCAACACGATTTTTGCGCATGAATTTTGTTTGCTTTTATTAAAGGGACTTACCATAGAAATTTCGTTTAAATTGCTTCAGAAACAAGATCGTTGCGTTTTGCACATATGCAACACAATTTTTTGACTTTGACAATTTTTTCTCCGTTTTTTGATAATATAACCCGGCCCAATTTTTTGTAGGTTGTACACAGGAAAATAAGGTCTTCCAAATAATAGAATAAAAATTTTAGGTTGCTATTTGAAAAAAAAAGTTCGATGCCGTTACGGCGCTCCAAAATTTTTTTCAAAAATCCGGCCCGTTATTTTTCTGTTCGGTATGCCTAAAACATATATACAAAATTTCAACAAAATCCGTCGAGCCGTTTTCTCAGAAAATTGCCAACAAACGTACGTACGTACATACAGACGGAAAAAAATTTTATTCTTTAAAAGTTGCTTAAAATGGTCTAGAACGTCGACATTTGATGAAATTTTGAAATGTTCAAAAAACGGCTATCGCAATAGCTACCTAGCACATGCTAGGAAGCTAAAATTTCATAACCTCAAAATTTTGAGAGAATAACTGGTTTTTTCGTTTTATTTTTACGAAAAAAAGTCACAGGGTCTAAAATTTTGAGGAACACAGCTTTTCTTTTTATGACAAAGAAGACAATTTTTTGGGCGGTTTTTGAAATATTCACGATTTTCAAGGAGACGAAAAATCTATTTTTTTTTTCATCATACTGAGCTGCGCCGGGTAGGTAAAGACATGTTAATCAAAAATAATTCAGTTAGAAAAATCGCGAAAAACTGAAAAAACCTTTTCGACATACATGTTTTATGTCTCCCCGACCCCAACGCATGTCCACAGTGCAGTTGTTTATTGATACTCGCTTTTGGTTGCCATAATGCCATCTGATATTTGAATTCGGAGTAAATAATGCAATTTGTTCCCAAAATTTGAGTTAAATTCTTCGACTTTTTTTAATTCGCGAATTAAATCACCGACTTAATTCACATTAACTCGTACCAACCCTGTTTATATAGCATCCAAAGTGATAAAACGATTACATATGTACTTTGTGATAATAATAATACTTTATTGCTCAAACAGAAACCATATTCCAATAATAGAGCAACAATATATTGTTTACAGGAGTGAAATTAAAATCGTACACTTAAGTAAAGTAATATTATAAACATACAGTCTTTGTAAAAATGCAATGAAAGATAATTAAATCGAATTAAATTACGCAAAGTAAACCAAATTATATATAAATTATATAAAACGTACAAATGAACAACACAGAGATATAAGTAATAGGAGTAATAAAAAAAAAATGTAAAAAAAATAATAGTAATTATCTTTGAGAATGATTGAACTTAGTAATTAGTTGCCTAAGTATTCATTTCGTAAACAATACTATCTACAGCACTGCCCGAGTCATAAAACCATAAACTCATAATTTTAGGTGAGTTACCCTGCTCGGACACCCCCAGAAAATTTCATGTCTTCGTCGCGCGAGGGTTAAAAGTACACTTTTTTTGATAGCATAAAAAACATATTACATAATCAAATTTAAGGGAACAATTCAAATTAAGGAAAATAGTTTGTTAATTGATTTTATAATTTTACTAGTTTTCAGCATGCTTTTTAATTTTTTTTAAATGATTTTTGATACAATTGCTTTCACATAACTACCAAACAATAACGTTCTTTATGCTGCTATATCCAAAAAAGTATACTCTTTAAGAATATGTAACACAAAGTAGTGGTTGAAATTAAAAACCATGTGCTCCAGACAAAATTTTCACCCTGTATAAAGCAACAGAGAGATTTATGGAAGTTTTGATACCTGAAATGAAAAATTGTTTGAAAGAACCTTCCATTAGATATCACACCTTCTCACCCATCTGTAGCTGAAAACGAGTTCTGATTCAACCTTTAAAATTGCATATCTTCCTCCATACTACAACCAATGGACCAGGGATAAATCAAAATATCAAAGTTTCTTACAGCAAAAATGTTTGAGAAAGTGACGCAGGTAATCGAGATATTGTGAAACTTTGGAAAAATGCCATAGTCATGTTGGAACAAGTGAGGATATTAATATCACAAAAATCAACATCCTCCTAAAATGATCGACTCCGATGCGGTAAAAGCTTTCTCAATTGATCGAGGAAAATAATATAAAACTGCAGAATATACTACTATGAAAACATATTAAAGAAAGTACATTCGAATCAAGTAAAATAATACCAAAACAACAAAAGAAAATTGATACTTTTTTCAAAAACACGAACAAAGCAGATTCTATATAGTGTGTATGTACATAAATATTTGTTTATATTATATTATATAAGTAATAAAATATCAATGAACTACATATTTACATATAGTATAACTATTTAGTATTAAAAGACTCCTGTGCCGGATACTGTGTAATTTGGTTTCCTTGAAGACTATATCTGTCCGGACCAAAGAGGTGGTACAGTATTTAAAACGTAGAATTAGAATTTAGAACCAAATACTGGGTGTTCCACTTTTGGCTACCTACTTTATAATCGCATCCAGTATAATTTAAAATATTCCACCATACGTCATTTAAATTTTTGTAAATTCAAAAAAAGGTTCTTTCATCTCCTGAAAAATACATGTATTCAACAGATGTTTTATATTAAAAATATGAACCATTTGGATATAAAAACACAAAATAACAAAAAAAAACATTAAAACATCAACCCTGTTTGATATCTTGTCCAAAATCTTCATTTATACACCAATTTTTTTGGTGAAAAGGTAACACATTGCATCGATGCACAGGAACTTTTCCTATCTTACTCTCCTGGATATGCTGTACAATCTACGAAAAATCGCAATCACCGTGTGAAATAAACCCTCGTCTGAAAACAAAATTCGAAAACTCGCTTTTATTCTCGAGTTGACGCACGAAAGGACAGACGTACCCACAGACACAACTAAAACAGGCTAGTCGCTATTGCTCAGCACAGTAATAAAACAATATATTTAATATTTTTATTTAGTATCCAGTATGTTTTAATTAGTTCAAGCGGTCATTATTGGTTTTATTATATACCGTTACCGAAATCAGCCTACGAAAAAACACTATGGTTACAAAGAATTGATAGCATACAATGTAACTTGCATGATCAGAACACGCATTTTAACCAGGATTCCAAACAGTATTTAAAATAGCAACAAACTAAGAGAGAAAGGCAGTAATTTCGAACAAAAATATTTCTACTTCGCTGAATTTTGAATAATAATGTTTCAAAACAGCGTTGCCTTTATCGAAATCCATTGATGATATAATAATGACGCTTATCATAAACTAAATCAGTAATTAACGTCGTATCAGTAAATACGTTACCTGTAATTCATATAATTCGTTACTATATTTTCCATATTCTATCATTCCACCAAACACTAAAAGTCTCGTTCCGTCCACCACAAATCCATACGCTGCACAACCAGGAGGTATATCTCCTTTTGTAACGGGAACAAACCATTGATTTGTAACTGAAATCATAATAATGATTATTAGCAATAAACAAATAGACCAAACTGATAATAACCATTAAAATCACAGTCATTTCAATTTGAAATTAGGTACATAAACAATCCTCAGAAATGGTTAAAATTAGCAGATAAACTTAATGGTGAGAATGAAAGATGGGCTTAACCTATAAATTGGTATGTCGAAGCTTCTCAGCTGGAGAAAGTACGCAAGTCGAACAAGCACCTAATAATTGTTTTTCCACATTTGATAGTCGAGAAATGCACTTAATTATGAATTGAAACAATAAAGCACGCATTTACTTTTAATATCTGTTGTCAGTACGTGTTCGAATACAAGCATCTCGGACAGTGCACAGAGATTTACCCCCACATGCTCAACTTTAGATTTTTGCAGTACGAAATTTGCGAAGTATCTTTCTCAACACTTACGTTTGTTTAAAATAGAAAGCTCAAATTTAAGAAGGGCTATTGAACCAGAATATGAAAAATTTCAACAAAAAATCAACAATAAACGAACTTCAAGATAAAGCTTTAGGCTAGAAGATACATATATAGCAGATTAAAATAATTATCTAATTTGTTTACAAAACAATATCATCATTCGGCATCTAAAACCAAATTATAATATAGCCGCCATGTTTGTAAAAATACAAACAATGATGATGTTAGGAATTTGGGTTGAATAGGTACTTAATCCGGGAAAAAGTGCGTAGGTGAATGGGTTTACGGCACGAACCCTGCGTCTTCAGGTAGGTAAAAGTAATGGAAAGTACGTGAATGCAAAATGAAAAATGGTTGACATCGCGCGCCATATTTATCCGCCGATAACTAGGCATAGTCGTACCTGTATTGTACACATGCAATTCGTCAACGATTCCCTCATTTCCTCCACCGAAAACAACCATCAAGTCTTTAATAGCAACGGCACGATGGCCATGGCGAGGTCTTGGTTGTGGACCGCTAGGACTTGTTACAGATTTCCAAAGCAACGCCTTAACCGCCATCACTTGCTCACATTGCACTGACCACTTTACAACGCCAATCTGATCATGCGTCCGAATTCAAACGCTTCAAATTTTTCAAAGTTACAATTACGTATATTTCACTCTAGCCAAATGTCTCGGGACCGTTATTTTTGAGTATAGTCGGGAATTCGACACTGTTTTCCGAAATTTCTGAAAAATAGCAACTACCAAAGGCTATATATGAAAAATATTTAGTTTAAAATCAATCACTGCCTCACATCAACTACATCAACTAGTTAGTTGTATTAGGTGGGAGAACAACAGTCGCTTTAGTTTATCTGTCACCCGCTAGGGGGACCGCGAGCTAAATATACGGAGAGCCCCGAGTCATTTTCTGCTAGAGTATAGACAGGGTAAGTGAATAATTTCGTAACACGTAATTGGCATTCTCATTGAGCTATGTCAGCGTTTTAAAAGTGTTTTGCATCATGCTATTTTTTCTTTAAAGACATATAATAATGCTAAACTAAAGGTGAGATCTAAGTGCCGATCCCATAGAACAGTTTGGTTTAAATAATGCCGGGTATTGGGCAATCAATAGAGACGATACATTGAAACTGTATAGTTTATTATTTTGTCTGTCACACTCTAGGTTGGCGATAAATAATTTGGTCTAGGGACTGTAATAATTTTGACCATCCCGCAAGGTAAGATAATTTTACCTTACGTGCGTAGCGAACACGCGGACCCTTAGCTAACCAGTGGCATTGAATAAATGACTTATTCAATGCCAGCGGATAACTGTTAGACCCCGGTTCAACACACGCTGTACCATTCAAATGCTTCATGCTTGATGGCAGAGCTGGGCAGTATTCGATTTTGCAAATACTTTTTAGTATTCAAATCCTTTAAAGTATTCAAAATTTCAAATACTTTGTAATTAAATACTTTTATGGAAGCAGTATTTGTTTTTGTAACTCAAATGCTTTCACAAATATTTAGTATTCGAATACTTCGCAAAGTATTTGGAAACTTCGTAAAGTATTCGAATACTTCGCAAGGTATTTGAATACTTTGAGAAGTATTCGAATACCTCGCATAGTATTTGAATACTTAACCTAACTTTTTTTACCAAAAATCGACTACTCCAAAATTTCTCGGGAAAACACTTTTTCTTATTAATTTTGGGGAGTAGAATCCAAAACAATTCGTACTTTTTCGATTAGATTTTTCAATCAAAAGTTATAGACTAGAAACCAATTTCGAAAGAAAATTCAAAGGGCTGTAACTTTTAAAATAGTAGCCCAATCTTGGAACTGTTTGAAATTATGGATTCTACAGGCCACATTCTATATGAAATTTTTTTTTCCGGGTCGATCTGAGACAATTTTTTTTTCGGGCCTCAAAAAAGACCTTCCTTTTTTACAAAAAATCGACTGCACCAAAATTTCTTGGCAAAACACTTTTTCTTATTAATTTTGGTGCGTAGAATCCAAAACAATTCGTACTTTTTCGATCAGACTTCTCAATCAAAAGTTATAGACTAGAAACCAATTTCGAAAGAAAATTCAAAGGGCTGTAACTTTTGAACTAGTAGTCTAATCTTGGAACTGTTTGAAATTATTGATTCTACAGGCCACATTCTATAAGAAAATTTTTTTTCCGGCTCGATCTGAGAATGTTTTTTGAGGGCTTCAAAAAAAGGCAGTGTACAACCTTCCTTTTTTACCAAAAATCGACTGCACCAAAATTTCTCGGGAAAACACTTTTTCTTATTAATTTTGGTGCGTCGAATCCAAAACAATTCGTACTTTTTCGATCAGACTTCTCAATCAAAACTTATAGACTTTAGAAACCAATTTCGAAAGAAAATTCAAAGGGCTGTAACTTTTGAACTAATAGCCCAATCTTGGAACTGTCTGAAATTATGGATTCTACAGGCCATATTCTATAAGAAAATGTTTTTTCCGGGTCGATCTCAGACAATTTTTTTGTGGGCCTCAAAAAAAGGCAGTGTATACCTAACCTTCCTTTTTTACCAAAAATCGACTACACCAAAATTTTTCCGGAAAACACTTTTTCTTATTAATTTTGGTGCGTAGAATCCAAAACAATTCGTACGTTTTCGATTAGACCTCTCAATAAAATGTTATGGACAAAAAACAAATTTCGGAAAAAAAATTCAAAGGGCTGTAACTTTTGATCTAGTAGCCCAATCTTCAAACTGTTTGAAATTATAGACTCTCTATCGATCTCGATCTCAGACAATTTTTTTTTCCGGTCTCAAAAAAAGGCAGTAGGTACTTTTAAGTTATTCAAATATTTGAGAACAATTTAGAAATGTTTCCATTGTCACAAAATCAAATATAAAAATCCGATACATACCGAACTCGATAGTCTACGTAACTAATTAAAAACAATAGGGACCTTCCTTATATCTATAAAACCATGTGTACCAATTTTCAAAGCGATCGCACGTTTCTAAACAAGTTATCATGCACACGGACAAACGGATGGTCAAAAATGGATCTGTTCCAAAATCGCTAGGATTAATTTCAGACGTACGTATCATGTGCACCAGAGTTGGACTGGGTCACTGGGTCAACTGGGTCACCTGGGTCACTGAATTAAACTGGGTTACTGGGTCGCTGGGTCACGTCATACTCTTTTCAGTTAGACCCAGTAACCTAGTTTGATCGAATAACACAGTTAAGTCAGTGCCCTCGGTTCAAGTGTACAGATTATGAAATAAATGAAATGCTGGTTTGTTGAAAATAATACTCGATTGCTTGACAACTGCCATTTCTGTGATGTTTGCTTTAATACTGCCGTAAAAAACTGTCCATGTCCCGAATTGTATTAGAGTAATGTTATCTCTAAACAGTTCCCTCCTTCATTTCTTTGCTTCAGGGCTTACCAGTTTGCTTCACATTTAATTTTTTTCTAATAGTTAACTTAATCCAAATAAATCTTTTCTCTAAATACTTTCATTGACTACTTGACTACAAACTATAAACAAATGCATTTGATTTTTTTAGGGATTAGTTCTCTTGAATGAAATTGGGCTACGTGCTTGTTGCCGAATATTATTGAGGAAGTTTTTAAATTAAAAGTTACTTGAAATTGTTTTGGATGATACCTAACAATAATTTAATTACTGGGCCACCGGGTCAAGATGGGTCACTGAGTAAAGCTGGGTCAAGATGGGTCACAGGGTCAAATTGGGTCACCGGGTCAAGCTGGGCCACAGAGTCAAATTGGGTCACCGGGTCAGACTGAGTCACTGGGTCAAGCTGGGTGACCGGGTCAGTAAACTAACTGGGTCACTCTATGCTTGACCCAGTCCAACTCTGATGTGCACGACGTACGATCGCTTTGAAAACTGATACACGTATTCTTAAGGATATAACTGGTATAAGAAAGGTCCTGGTAGGTACCTCCTATATAATAATAATAATATGCTTTTACTCCCCTTAAATTTGTAGGTATATAACAATAGAAATATAAAAAAAGCTAACCCCATACAAAGTATAACTTGATTTTTTAAGTAGTATTAAGCCTTTTATCTAGTATACTATTTTAAATTTTTAATGTATTTGAGTGACAAGTATTCAAATACTTTTCAAAGTAAGATAATGAAATACTTTTCAAAGTATTCGAATACTTTTTATAGTATTCGAATTCCTTTGATAGTATTAGAATACTTTTGAAAGTATTCGAATACATTCTAAAGTATTTGAATACTTATTTTTTAAAGTATTTGAATAGGTACTTTTCTATGTATCTGTATCTAGTATTCGCTTGTGCTGGACGTAAAAGTATTCAAATACCTACCTTTGATTTGTGTAAAGTATTTACTATTCAAATACTTTTTGAAAGTATTCTGCCCAGCTCTGCTCGATGGGAAGTCATCTAACGATGCTTTGTGGACAAATTCTAAAGAATTCCCGCTGATCACTCATTAAACGTGTCTTGGGTAGATAACGCTATCCCAAACAAGCGGGGTCCTCTGCCAGCCAACACCAGTCAAGGTTTTAATCTAGCCTGGGAAACAGGCGCGATACCCTTCAATTTTGCTATGGAGTACAAAGAGGTCTTAAAAGGCCCTCGATGACCCCAGGATTACGCACCCCTGCCCACTGCAGATGTCGGACTCTGAGGGGTCCTAGTGCTGCTTAAGGTAGGATTAGAGAGAATCAATTCGTGTTGTATATTCTGAAAAGGGACAAAATGAATGGGCTGACCTGTCTGGCTTGTATTTCTTGGCGAGGAAAGTAAAAGTTTCCCAGAGCCTTTTCAAAATCTTTTCGTAGAGTAGGATTTAGAAAGTTAGGCATGGCTAATATATGGCATTTAGATAACATTGGATAATCTTTAAATCTGCTTTATAAATGTTATTACAGCTTCAAGAACTGAATCTGTGTAAAACATAATTAGTTCTCCATAGGTGGACTTAGAACACCTTTACTTGACCAGCGCCTAAGCTTCAAATAAGGAGTTGTTTGTTGTAAAGACATATTCATACAATAAATAGAACTTTATTATTGTGTATTTAATAAGTAATCTTGTAGTGCTGCATGTTGAGAGCAGGACAAGTACACACATTCATAGTTGACTGCCTATCACACATCAGCTGCACATAGCTGTTGTGCGTGTTCTTGCTCTAAGTAGGAATAACAGCACTGTTTTTATTTACAAAGTAAATTTAATACAGTCTATCTACAATACATTTGCATAACATTGACACCATACAAAGTATGTGTGTACAACCACAGGTATATAAATTTTGCGACATTGATATTTGTTAACTATAGCAACGATTCTAAAAGTCTAATTTAAGTCCCAAAAATGAGTTTGATTAACATGTTTATATACCTGTATGTAGTTACAACCTTCTAATGTTACTACTGCCAACACCAAAACAAATTATTGTATTTAATAACTGAAACGACAAAAGGACGATATACACAGGATAATTCTAAAGTTATTTTGCCGCATACATTTACACCTTAACATAGAAAAAATTTAGGTTAATGTTCTGTATATATAAGATGCCCCAATGCGAATTTCTTACTAAAGGATAAGTCAATTATCCATTTCCCAATCCTTGTGCGTGTTCACGGAACACACAAAGAAAGCAATCACACTTAAGACTTACCCTGTATATTCACCATTCTGCACTGCTATACTTAAGCTACAGCTAACATTTTACAACATAATATGTACATAATACAGAATTTCCTCATTTGAATACTTACAGCCTAAGTGCACTTTTATACATTACGTGAATATGTCAACTTAATATATACAAAACTATTATGTATATGCATATATATAAATTTCTAGAACAAATATAACAAGAAATATATACCCCAATAAGGAATATAAAATAAATAACTACAAACTGCTTGTCTCTGGTGTGTTTATTAGGCAGAGTATTTATATTTCTACAAAAAGTTTATACAAATTCTAAATTTTAAAAATACTATTGTCGTACACTTATAAAACCTGGGAATGCGATCGACAATTTGCCACTAATTGTATTTTCAAAGACCAGCAGATGAAGTTAAGACAATGAGCTATAAATATCACAATATCAACTAACAACTGCACAGTCTACAAGAAAACTTATATGAAACAGGCATTTGATATAAGTTCCTTTTATGTTACTACAGTGCGCGACTGTGGTATTTGGAAGGCAGGATTTAAATATCCGCGTCACAAACTTACATTTGAAATATTAAAACAGTGAAAAATTCAAACTTTCAACGAATATACTTGTGCAAAAGGCACAAGAGGTTATCATTTCCTGAGAAATATATAGACAGTATTATTTTAGTATTAAAAATGGCAACAGTGTGACCGGATTAAGTAGTTACGTTGTGTTTATTCTGTCGCGGTAACAGTTATAGTTTTACCCTTTGGATCATCGAAACGATCCATTGTTTTAATGTCCATCATCATTGTTAGGCCACAAGTCATTATTAAAACGAGAATAAACGTAACAAACAAACCAGACCATATTGGAGCAGACATAAATCCTACACAATCGTACGGGTATCCAAATTTCACCTTGGTTTCATTAAGGAAGGGTTGTATCTGAAAGAAAAATCAATAAAATAAGCGCGCGCGTGTTGTATCTACGGCTTACTTGTAACTCCTTGAATGATAAATTTTGATTCGGATTCCTTGGAAAATAGAATAACATATTGGAGCAATGATACGAAAATAATTCCGGAGCATAGAACTCCTTAACACGGAAATAATACTTGTTGTCTTGCTCCGGTGCGGATGTGTTAAGTACAGTAATGTTATCCATGATCCAATAACCGCCCGCAAAAAGAAATTCAAATCTGAAAGGAAAAAGAAACATTATTGTAAACATCTAACTATCGAGTTATCGATATACCGATAACTACGATTGTGGGTAACCATTGATGTAACAATAAAATTCGATAGACATGGGCATCCAATTGTAGAATGCTGAATAAATCTGGGCACTATCAATTACAATAGCTATCAATATATACCGATAAGTCGATAATTATCAATTTACTGATAACTGTAGGTAGGTATAAACTGATAACACTAATATATCAATGACTTATCAATATATAGTGCAGCTTTTTTACTCCCGACACATGCTAATCCGGACATCTCTAAGTAAGACACTTCTCAGTGTGGTCTTACGAAAATTACGATCGCGCTCGTTCATTTAAAAATGCACAAAAGCACCGCCAGACCATTATGTGGTTTATGAAAGCCTAAAGTATGTTGATTTTTTAATTGTAATTCATAAACCATGCGGCGAGAAAATCGTGTAAATTAGACTACTTACGTTAGTGTGATATGCGTAACAGTTGGCGACTTTAAAGTAATATTCATTCCTTCCTCCGATTTATTTTCCGTAGTAATCTCAGTGAAAGTATCTAAGCTGACGCTGTAACATTAACGATTATTAGAATATCGAAACGAATTTCTATTAACTTACGTTGTTCCGTTACACACGAGCAAAGGATTCGACATTGAACTAATAAGGATATCGTTGTTTTTAATTACTAGGTAACTTGGTTCTGGTTCAGTATCATTCGGTTTGCTAACATCACGAATATGCCGATGACTGCGAACATCTTCGGATATTATCTGTGAAGCATATACAGTAGTTTATAAACGTGTTCACAAAGTGAAAATGATAGGTCTGGACGTGTCATTTATCATAATTACAATTTTAGGAGTCACATGGTTTCTACATACTCAAAATGCAATATAGATCCATAAGACAAAATGGTAATAGGGTCAAATCTGCCTCGGGCAAAATAAAATATAATTACGGACTAACTTACCCAGGACGGACCATATGCTGTATATATCATAACAATATCTTTGTGATCTTTAACCAAACGTGCATAAATGGTGGCCATGTTGCGATCTACAACGGATAAATGCAAATAACCATTCTCATCATTCTTTCTATTACCGTGTCTATGTAGCATGTCTATTCTATCCTCGTCATCGTTAGCGTCATTCATAGCAATTAGCAAGACATCTCCGTGCTGAATTTTTAGCGGTTCATTCATAACATCTTCAAAGGAAGACTGAACAACGTTTCTTTCTTTCAAACTAGTAATAGACGTAACTGGGTTTTTAACGCACTGAAAATAATTAACGGTAGTGGATTCTTTTAAAAGATCCAACGTAGCAAAAATGCTCTTGCCGTTCTCGTCTTCGGAAATAAAATCTTCAGAGCTGAGCTGGAAGTTTAGAAATTATGCACTTACTGTAGAATTTGGTGGACCGTACTCACCGTTTGTTCTACAAAGACAACGATTAGGCTTTTCTTATCGATTTGATTTTGTAGGACGTCGTTGAAACTTTCCTGGTTCAGTTTTTTTAAGGGTGAGACCAATTCGTTGTACCTGCAAAGTTCATTTAAGGGATAGGTGTGGCTATTTAAAAAAATCCAAATAAACTTACTGGACATTACCCCACATAAAAACTGGGACACATTCTGCAGAACTGACGTTTACTAATGATATTAAATAAACTGCTAATAAAACCAAAATCGAATTATGCACACCCATTTTAACGAAAACCGACTAAAAATTAACTTGTGACCAGCAACAGACGAGATCACGTGAAATGTTCGGAATACACCTCTGCTGCAGTTTGAGAGCGCGATCATATGGTAAACTTCGCTATTGTAGCGACATCTACAATATAGTTTCCTATAATGTGTATGTTTCTTAACACTACAAGTTCTCAGGAGATGGCAGCACCAGGGGGGTTATTCTTGAATCTCTAGAAGCGAAGGTGATTTTCCCTACCTCCACGAGGTGAAAGGTGCCGGGTGCCTGAGGAAGTGCAGACAATAACCCTTTGTGAGCAGCAATGAGCTCCTGCACGCATGTTGTGCGCCTCTCCGCCTGTATCGAGGCAAAGAAGGGGTCCACCAAACGTCGTCGGGAATTAAAAGCTTGCGCCCGACACTCCCATCGAAGAGAGATCGTTATCTCTGAGCTTTCTTTCGACAGCGAGACCTTGAGCCTGAATAAATTGATCTCGGGTTCTAAGGAACCACTGTTCCACAAATGCCTTTCCCGCATCGAAACTATTTTCAGGAAGGTCCCGCATCTTGCTTGAGCTGCCAGCCTTGCCAGAATGGTAAGGGACATGCAGTCCTCTTTTGAGAAACTTGACCGTCCCATCTCTTGGCCCCCTAGACCGCTTTGAGAACAGCGTATCCCGAACGTGTAAAGATCCCATCGGGGCAGTCTCTTGTCCTTATTTCTAGGTTCACCATCGTTCTGGTACCTAACAAAGACAGCTGACGATATTAAAACGGCTCCTGGTAAAAGCCCAATATCCTAAAAGTCTAAGGATTACGGTAGACAATTCAGTCAAACTCGAATTTGAGAAAGGAAATTTCTCCAAAATTCCCATCAGTGATCTACGAAAAGCCGGACTCACAGGGAATTTCGTTTCTGTTCCTTTATTAAACTCTTCCTTAGCCACATCATCCGAAGGTGATTTTCCGTATTATCCTGCGTGAACAAAGAACATACCATTGAGTTTTTGAGTGCAAGACCACAATGCGAGTAGCAATAAAGTGCTATAGAAGTGCCAAGAATTTGGCTACAAACTTTGGATATAAATATTTTATATTCAAAGGTTTCATGTACTTCCCCCCCGTCCCCCTAACTTCCAACCCTATTGGTGTCCTTGAAGATACTTACCAAAATGCATGTTATTGAAATTTGAAATGACCACATAACAATATTAATAATGTATCTATTTCCATTAAATTAAAGGAATCAAAATTCAAGAGGGCTCGAACTCCTTCAAAATACTTTGACCTTATTACTGACATTTTCAAAATTATGGAGACGTCGCTCTTCATTGGTGACGTTTCCCCTGTACCTATTTTTTCCAGTTTGGTGCACATTAACATGCAACCTAGGCATAGCGGGAGATTCACATTTGAAATAACTTTTGTTGGGAAGCAGGGCAGGAATGCCAACATAAGTTTTACGTCACAACTAAACTAACCTATTAATGAAAATAAAAGATAGGGTATATTGTAGAATAATTTCGATGTGTCATGTATGTAATAAAAATAGTGTTCCAGTTCTCAGTCCTGCGCCGATGACTTTTCGGGGTGCCAACCTAAATAATAGGGGCTTAGAATCTACTAAACAACTCCCGTAGGAGTTTTCCAAATTCTTGGCTAATATTCTCCATTTTATGCTTAAATAAACGAGGCGTGAAATTTAAATTGAGAATAAATAAAGTGAAAGTAATCCAATTGGTTAATTTTGCACCGAAAAGGGTGTTAACAGTTTTATTTGGGGACTTTTATTTTTTGACATACTTGAGAAGTGTCGTTGATTACCAAGTGCGCAACGGTCATTGTGTTAAGTGAAAATTTTGACATTCGTAACCAAACAAATGATTATAACGTTAGAGAAAAAGTTATTACTAAAGAAGAGGTACGGCACGGTTTATATATTAATTTGAATCCAACAATTAATGCTTATTGTATATTTTAACAAGTTTGTATATGTGTTGTTTGTCTTTTTTTTTCTCCAATATGGCGACTGTAGCGTACGTATGATCATGCAATGATATTTGCAAATTTTATGTCTAGTATTACTTCGTTAATTTTTCGCGTTTAGAACGTTCTAGAAGCTTATAATTACGTTGCAGGTATTGTTTAATGGCTTCCTTTCAAAGATTATTTGTGGACATTTTTTAAGGGAGGAATTTAATTGCAGGTCTTTTGTTCAATTTGTGAGGGGTACCTTGTAAAGATGCGGATTTAACGTTTTCCTTTAATTAATTGTAAGTATTTACCTGATATTTTAATCTGTGTTAATTCAGTTTTCATTTGTAGTGTTGCTGAGCCTTAAAACAAAAATGGATCAGAAATAACCTTACAATAATATGATAGTTCTGCCAATGTCGGTTAGTACCTTCTTTTCTTTTGTATTAGTGCAAATGTGAGCTAAGCTTGTTAGTTCACAAGCGCATGATAAATGTATTTACTTTGGGATGCATTTGCGGAACAATAGTTTTCATTCAAATTAGCAGAATTTCCGGGGTATATGGTTAGTGATATGGTCATCCATTGGTCAACATTCGGGATTTGTGCACAAATTTTGTTGAAAACTCATTTGCAGTTTGTACATGCAATTTTTACCTATATATAAATATATAATAAGTTTGTTCGGTAGAGTGCCTTCAGACAGCAACCGCATACTTGAAATGTGAGTATTTACCGCCCCAAAAACTCGGGGGAACAAAATAAGACAGTTCTTTAGTGACATGGTTTGATCAGAAAGTCATATAGTTTTTTTTAATTGCATAGTAAATTACATCTGGTTAGAAATCTGCCCAAGTGTATATATTTACTAAAAAACATTTTATCTGACGTTTGATTTTAATATCAACAATTTCTTTGCTTCAGATTCTTAATATTCCTGCGAAGAATCTATATTGGCTTTAATCGCCAAGATGAAAATCGACCGTACTCGTTTGAGAAAGGGCACCTCCGAAATTCCGGCGGAGTGTCATGCCCTAATAGAACGGCTTCGTCAGTGCTCTCGTTCTACTCTGCTGGAGGAACTTTCGAAGATAAGTACGTGGACTTTTGGAAAATGTGAACTTTACCACTGGATCGGGGTTCTCGACGTTTTCGATTCCATTTTGGAGGAAGCCACCCAAAGTGCCCCCGGCCTTAAATGGGCTTTAAATTGTGATACTTGCTATGACGCTTCGGTAAGATATTTTATCAACGGATCATGTTTGCCTTAATTGAATTACGGCATTGTTTATATAATGCAATCCTTCTTAATTATCACTTTTGTAATCTTGTTTGTTTGAGTTGTGTTTATGTTAATAATGATGTATGGTGCATTTCCTAAGAACAAATTCCAAGTGAAATTTTTGCAATAGAATGTGTTTAAAAAATCATTCCCAATTGATTTTCTTGTTATAATAATGATAATCTTTTTATCCTGGAGACAGGAGCATAATTCTTTTTTTCTTAACTAGCTCAAAATAAATAATACAAAAAAACCAATGAAATGAAAAATTGGATTAATTGCACTAAACCAATGACTTTAAATCCCACACGATGACTTGAAGATTCATCTCATATGAAGTACTCTATCAAGAGCGAATTAAAAACAATAATAACTCATTGCACAACACCAAAAGCCAATTTTATAGGACAGTTAATAACATATAATTTTAATAATAATAGCTAATATCTATAATTACCATAATAAATAAAACAGATGAATATAATGTAACGTGTTACAATATCATGGGTATAACATTAACCATTTCATTCACCAGTTATACAATTAAAAATACCATTAAACCCCAAGAGTCTCATAAATAGGGATGCCAGCTTTGCAATATCTATTAGAGGACAGTATAATTATTGCGTGGCTAAAAAGGTAGGGAGGTGTCTGGAGATTTTTGGAAAAACTTTTACTTTGTAACTCTATTTTAAGTATTTTCTACTTCAAATGGATGAATTAAATTTCATGTACTCGTGTTTTTAATTTAAAGTAATAAATAGTAATAATGAACTGAACAAAATCTGTTAATAAATAAATATATAGGGTGCAGCAATTAAGTATTTAAAAAAAAATGGTTGGTGCAGGGGACCAAAACTACATTTTTCCTAATAAATTGAATGTTTGATTGTTAAACCTTGTAACACGTTACTTAACAAGTAAATAAATTAATGGAACGTGCCTATATGAGCAAAAATACATGCATAAAAAAGATAGTTTTTGGATATGCGAAATAAAACTTAATTGATTTTAATTGTATCAAAAGAAGTGGAGCAACTCAGGGTAATTCAAGAAAGTCCGACTTTTTGAATGAATTCGCTATTTTTGTTCTTATTGCAGCTAACAGCATTTCTTCTTTATCTTCGCAGAATCTTGATCCACTAATAGCTTTAAACTCTATGTCTAATGTCTAATTGGCATGGTTTGCTTTTCTTATATGGGGATTTTGTAACCGTTTTATCATATCTGTGCTTGTTTATTTATTTATTTATTTATTATCCCTCTCTTGTTCTGGGCCCTCAACAGGCTCGCGCCCAATTACAGTGTGACCCGCATAATGCTTTTTAGAGGTGCCTCTGCAGAAGGTCTTAAGTTGTTCTATACTACTCCGGTATTTACCTTACGAATTAGGAAAACTGCAGGAAAACCTATTTCGGAGTAGCCGGCAGAATGCTCGAAACTGGTCTAAAGTAATTCCCATCTCTGCGAAATTCACCTCAACCCAGGTTCGAACACCCGACCTCCGGATTTATAGTCCAATGCTCTACCACTGAACCATAAAGCCGCAAATCGCAAATTAAATGAATTTGATTTTGGGTTCCGTATTTATCAAGTCACAAAAGTAAAAGTATCTGGAAAGTCCTGCTTCGCCTCACTGCTTTAAAAAATTGTAGAAATTTGGAACTTAAATAGCTTCCACCACCGACTGTGTTACTTACTTCAAAAACTCCTTATCCTTTAAGTTAAACGCTTCCTTCTCGCCTTAAATTTTAATCCCCCTTTCTTCAAAAAATTTTGAAATTTGGAGCATAGCTTTCGCGGCAGTGCCGCCTCCCCGCGCGTTCAGTTCTGCACTGACCTTCACAGCGAAACCATGCGTCTTTTTGATTTCGTTTAGCGCCTGCCTGCGTAGAGTGCTTAGTACTACGTTTGTTTGGAAGATACAGGGTGAAAACCAAAAGTTTGACTTACTACCCATGGAAGATAGAAAAAGGGTAAAAAGTGCTTATTTTAGATATTTTTACATAGACTCCAGTGGTGTAGTAAAAAAAAATGTTTGCACCACCGTTCTGAGATTAGACCATATGTTGGTATTTTTATTAGCTTCCTAGCATGTGCTAGGTAGCTATTGCGATAGCCGTTTTTTGAACATTTCAAAATTTCATCAAATGTCGACGTTTTAGACCATTTTAAGCAACTTTTAAAGAATAAAATTTTTTTCCGTCTGTATGTACGTACGTACGTACGTTGTACGCAATTTTCTGAGAAAACGGCTCGACGGATTTTGTTGAAATTTTGTATATATGTTTTAGGCATACCGAACAGAAAAATAACGGGCCGGATTTTTGAAAAAAAATTTGGAGCGCCGTAACGGCATCGAACTTTTTTTTCAAATAGCAACCTAAAATTTTTATTCTATTATTTGGAAGACCTTATTTTCCTGTGTACAACCTACAAAAAATTGGGCCGGGTTATATTATCAAAAAACGGAGAAAAAAATTGTCAAAGTCAAAAAATTGTGTTGCATATGTGCAAAACGCAACGATCTTGTTTCTGAAGCAATTTAAACGAAATTTCTATGGTAAGTCCCTTTAATAAAAGCAAACAAAATTCATGCGCAAAAAATCGAGTTGCGCATGTGCAACATCCAACTTTCTTATTTATGGAGCAATTTTAACGAAAATTGGATGGTAGGTCCCTCTAATAAAAGCAAACAAAATGCATGCGTAAAAAAACATATGTTGGCAATTTTTGGTTTCAGCTAGGAAGCTATTCTGTCAAGAATTTGACACCTGGTTTAAATGCCTTTTTAAACACCTTGTATATCTTAACGTCATTGTTTTTCATTCTTTTTCCTGATTACATTGATGCATCACAACCTATATTTTTTCATTTTAGCCAGAAAAACCTTTTTTTTTTACAGTTTTTAAACAGTAGGCCATGGATTCATTGTGATTTTGTCTTGTTGAATATATCCATGGTAATTAAGGCAGCTGATACCAATCAATAAAAATGGCTGGCGGTAGAAACATGTGTTTAAAAATTTTGAAAAATTATGCTATAATATATTGGTTGTGATGCATCAATGTAATCACGAAAAAGAATGCGAAAAATTGACGTTAAAATATACAGGGTGTTGCATTAAAAAATATTAACTTTGTTAATATCTCGGAAACAGTGGTCCAAAAAATTTTTTTGATTACGTTGTATTCTACATACAAATATCTGAGCTTTTTACGTTTTTCTTACATGGCTAGTAAGATATGTTCAGATATTATCTTTAAAAGTCAAACTTTTCGTTTTCATCCTGTATCGAAGAAACAAAATCCAGATTGATTCTGTTTGTGGTATTAAAAGTTATACTAAAAAGTGGCGCAGGTCGCAGTCTCAACCAAAATGGGACACAAGGCACTTAAATCGTTAATACCCATCCTATGCTAATCATAGTAATTACAAAGAAAAATAAAGGATGCATTTACTTATTCAAACACATACATTGAATGCCATTTATGTTCTGCCTACTTTACTAAAACTTCGCAGTTTTTTTTATTTTTTTTATTCTCCTTTTATTTTTGAGTGGACGGGGTTTCAGCCAAGGCTGCTCTACCAATCCAACCCACTATACATTTACAAATATCCATGTCCGAACCCGGATTCGAACCAGGCTGTTTCATTCTTGCAAGAGCCGAAAAGCATCATTCACTTCTGAACCTCGTTCTTATGCAATTTGAATTGTTGCACTTCCCGCGCAACTATTTCCAGTGGCGTAGCCTGGGGTTTTTTCCTTTAATAAAATGCATAAAAGGGGGAATGATAAAATCTAAGAACTGTCAAAAGTAAAAAGCTTGACATTGCGCATGTGCAAATCTTATTTTTGTTATATATACGATATGTTTGTCTTCGTGAGAAGCGTCTTTGGTTAAAATTTCAAAAAAAAATATCTCGGACTGACAGACCAACAGAGAATGTGGCTGCAATAGCGCACCCAACTTCATTGGAACATGCACTAAAAAGAATCAACGACTAATTCGTATGGAAGCAGAGCTCAGTTAACCTCATTTTTTACCCCAACAGGATTTTTATAAACATTGTTCTTTGGAAATGTATAGTATCTGCAGCAACGTTAACATAAGGTTACGCAGGAACATCACATTTGAAATTGTTTTTATACAGGATAAGAAATTGCTGTTATGGACTTTACATTTTACCACTCTCCTCATCGAACATTCTTTTTCTCGTCACCTGTACAACTCCATGGAGCACCTTCTCACGTTGATGAGTTCTAGCGATATGAATGTAGTTCTGGCTGTCCTGAATTTGCTGTATATGTTTTCGAAGCGTAGTAATTTCATAACACGTCTCGCCAACGAAAAACGTCAAGCTTTATTATCACGTCTGCACTACTTGGCCGAGGTAATTGAGCAACAGTTTACGACGATCAGATTTTTAAGGTCCGTTTGTATTTTAGAGCTGGGGTGGAAAAGAGAACGGTTTCGGTTTAGCCGAATGTTGTATATCTCACCTTCCGATTCCTCATTCGGCGACCACGCTCCATTTTGAGTTCCACAAGGACCATTCTACGGACAAGGAAAATAAGGAACTGAAAGAGACCAAGTTAAAGAAAAGTTCTAGCTATATTCATATAGAGAATGTCGACAAATTAAACAAAACTCCAGCAGAAATAATGAAGGGATTAGTACATTTATATTTTATACCGCCCGATAAAGAGGTTAGGTTAATAATATCAAAAAATTTACCTAATTAACTCTAAATTGTTTTAGATGTGGCTATTCACACATGTACGGTTAGCGCACCATTTTGCAGAATATAAGACTCGATTGCTATGTGTTCAGGCACGTCTACAGGCACTGTCTGTATTGGTGTACTCGAACGCCTTGCAAGATTCTGCTCACACTCTTTTATATAACGGTTTTTTGGAGGAATTAGTCGAATTGATAGAGCTCGATAATCCGGAGATGGTCGATATTCGATCTGCAGCCCTGAGGACGTTGACGTCAATCATACATTTAGATAGGAATCCGCATTTTCCAAAGTAATGTTGTTTCGAATGCAAATTTCCTATTCATTGGTTCTTTTTTGTTATAGGAAATCGGGTTCTCGACTAGCCAATATAATAGATGTAACGGGTGCTAATCAGTATCACGGTTTTCTACCGACGTTAGTGCGCCATTGTATTATTTCGCTAACGCGGCAGACCGTTGTCAAAAGTGAACCATTAGCTTTGGCATCGACGAGCGAGGAAGATAAATCCGCGGATTTAGATATGCCACAAAGTGGGGACATCGGTTCGAAGTTTCCATTGCCATTAGCCACCGCGCTGTTCTCTTTTTTATATCATCTTGCCAGTTACGAAGCAGGTGGGGAGGCTTTGGTGTCGTGCGGGATGATGGAATCTCTCCTTCAGGTCATTAATTGGAATGGGGTTGAGCTTGAACACATTACGGTAATGTATTTATGTTGTTAGCACAGAAACGGTCAAAGATTCCAGAAAAGTGCTAAAATATAATATTGTTTTGACTTGAATTAGTAACCTAATTTGGTGTATGTGCAATTAGGACAGAAAGACAGGTTGCAAGAACATCGCCAGCTGACAGTCGAGTCTTGCCTTTCACTAGTGCTGCCTCCCCTTTCCTCCGCCACTGCGAGGAATCCATTTGGAACATACTACGGAAGTACAGAAAACTGATTGTTGAATAATCTGCAGTTTTCGAAAGTATACAAAGTCCGCTCAAAAAAGTCAACCGACCTAAACTCAGTTTTTTTAAGTGGAACACTCTGTATCTAATTTTAATCTAAAATGATTAAGATTAATTAAATTTCTTTCCAAACATATTACAATATTGATGATATTTAAAAGACACAAGTGATTAAAAAAATTCAAAAAAGGTTAAAAAATTGAAAAAATTTTGAACAAAATTCAAACAGATTAAAAAAAAATTCAAAAAAGCTCAAATGATTTGAAAAAATTGTTTTTGAATTTTTTAAAATATTTTTGAAAAGATTATTTAATATACAGTGTGTCCCAGATCGCCTGGGATTGCATGGGTAACTTTGTTATTATTAAAGATAGAGAATTGGTTAAATGGGCAATGTTTTGCAGTTTTAGATGCTTATTTAAAATTTCCTTATGGAAATTCAAAATGTCGCATAGGTTCGACGTAAATTCAAAAAAACTAAAATTGGTCATGTCTTATATCATCGAAAGTATAAGAGATATAAAAAAAAGTTTCATATAAAAGTGGCTGTCTTTGATACGCTTAATTTAGAATTGATGTAAAAAAAATTCAAGATGGCTACCTTTGAGGAACATTTACCAACTTCCTAAAGTTAAATGGGCGCCATATTGGATTTTTAGATTACTTGATAGATTTTTTAATTCCCTTTTCAACGAGCCATCATAACATAAGATTGAAAATAAGATACCAGTTATATTAACGGTTTTTGTATTTTAATCAAGTAGTCTGTGACGAATAAAAAAAAACAAAACAAAATCTATTCGAGGCAACAAAACAATGAAAATAATTACACCAAATGTTTAAAATACTGGCCATTATTAGTGAAACACACTTCAAGACAGTTTAGTTTAGGCAACGTGTTGCCATTGATGATTATTATTATTATTGTAGTGGTAGCTACTTCCACTTTACTTTTATTTTTTAATTAAGTACTTACTTTTATAATTTTAGTTTTTTTGAATTTACGTCGAACCTATGTGACATTTTGAATTTCCATAAGGAAATTTTAAATAAGCATCCAAAACTGCAAAACATTGCCCATTTAACCAATTCTCTATCTTTAATAATAACAAAGTTACCCATGCAATCCCGCGCGATTTGGGACACACTGTATATGATAATTTTTTAGATTAAAGTATACAGGGTGATCCAGTTAAAAAATGATCCTAGTTCTTAAATTGGGCAGGAAAAAAATACAGTGGGCGTCCGGTAACCCGGCGCTAGACAATCCGGTAATTCGCGACTCGCCTGACCTCTATAATCCGGCACATTTTTGAAATAAGTATATGAGATAAGGTAAAAAAGTTACCATTTTTTAAGGGAACACTGTATATTTTTATCTAAGAAGATAAGGATTAATTACATTTTTTTTCCAAAAATTAACACCATGGATGATATTCAAAAAGGAGTCAAGTGATTAAAAAAATCCAAAAAAGGTTTAAAAAATTGAAAAAATTTTGAACAAAATTCAAACAGCTTAAAAAAAATTCAAAAAAGCTCAAATGATTTGAAAAAATTGTTTTTGAATTTTTTTTATATTTCTGAAAAGATTATTTAATATATATGATAATTTTTTAGATTAAAGTATACAGGGTGATCCAGTTAAAAAATGATCCTAGTTCTTAAATTGGGCAGGAAAAAAATACAGTGGGCGTTCGGTAACCCGGCGCTAGACAATCCGGTAATTAGCGACTCGCCTGATCTATAATCCGGCACATTTTTGAAATAAGTATATGGGATAAGGTAAAAAAGTTAACATTTTTTAAGGGAACACTATATTTTTATCTAAGAAGATCAGGATTAATTAAATTTTTTTTCCAAAAATAAACACCATGGATGATATTCAAAAAGGAGTCAAGTGATTAAAAAAAAATTAATTTACTTCTGTAACTATTCTCGTTGCGTCATCTCTTCTCTCTGTTGTTTGGCGGAAAAATTTACACATGTACCGCTTCATAGCGAACATGAACGAAAATATGTCTTTCGTCAGGAACTCGATACTAGTGACCATTGGGAATATCTTATAGATTTGCAATTTTTTAACCGAATGTCAGTTGCGCGAACCTTTGACCGTTTCTGAAATCTGTACCTACTCTAGCTACACAGCTGTTTTAACAGAAATTTTACAGTTTGTAACTCGCGCCGTAAGGGTGATCGATCTAATTACAAATATGGACATGCAAGTGTTCCATAATCATGGAGGACTTCAAAGTTTTATTAATCGTTTAGACGTATGTCTTTATTTAAAACTATTCGAGTCTAAATAATGTTTGTAGGTGGAAGTTCAACTGTGTCGACCCGAACAAATCTACGAATTTAAACCTATAGCTTCGATTGATCTTACCATTTCCGATGTGGACGAGGATTTTATAAGTAATTACGAGTGTCAAAGCAATACCTCCAACTTGGGAAAAACTTGCCTTCCTCAACGTGCCGCCTTATTGAAATCAATGTTGAACTTCCTAAAGAAGGCGTTGCAGGATACCATGTTTTCTGATAATGTCCGCCATGTTATGGAAGGAATTTTACCTTCCGCACTAAAACACATCATCGCTAATGCGGAATACTACGGACCATCCCTGTTTTTGTTGGCGACGGATCTCGTTACGGTGTACGTCTTTCAAGAACCGACCTTACTGTCCACGTTACAAGATAACGGACTCACCGACGTAATACTGCATGCCTTATTAATTAAAGACGTTCCTGCTACCAGAGAAGTATTAGGTTCTTTGCCTAACGTATTTAGCGCCTTATGTTTGAACGCGAGAGGTTTACAGTCATTTGTCAAGTGCAAACCTTTCGATCGACTATTTAAGGTGTTAGTCTCGCCTCATTACCTATCCGCAATGCGCCGTAGGCGTAGTTCTGACCCAATAGGAGACACAGGTAAGTCGTGAGTTATTTCCGTTCGGATTTTTACTCAAGTTCTTTTCTAGCCTCAAACTTGGGAAACGCAATGGACGAGTTAATGCGCCATCAGCCGAGTCTGAAGGCAGATGCGATAGCCGCCATTGTGAAGCTTCTACACGAATTATGCCAGCTAGGTACAGATTCGAAGTACATTTGTTGGCGACCACATAGTAAATCGGAGTCGTCTCCTGTAACGGTGCGAACACCTATTAATAATGAAGGTATGCATGTATTTTGTCCTATAATTGGGTTTATCTTTTGTTGGATAAATTATCACAGATGTAAATTTACTCCAGATAGCTCATGACTAGTTGTAAATTGGCCACAGCAAATTGGATTAAAGCATCTGGTGAGTTAAATCCAAACTAAAGTACAGATTCCTTTTTAAAACTTACATGCACATGCGCAAATCTATTTTATAGTATGTGCACTAGATTCAGCATTAAATAAAAAAATCATAGTCTTCTATGAGCTCCCGGTGCTGAGATCTAAAACCGTCAGACGGATGAACAGAGTTTAGGTCAGTATGAAAATTGTAATCTCCGTGGAAATGAGCAGCAGCGTAATCCAAAATTCGCTTTAGTCAAGTGAAGTGTTAACCTGCCAGAGTGCCAACACACTGAACATTTAAATTTTTTCTTTTTAGAAAACTTGTAAAGTTAGTTGATTTTTAAAGTAAAATTTTCACAAGTGATTTGGCTCATGCATTTGGATTTAGTGGAATGCTGTTTTTTTTGCAGTAATAGAGTGGCAGAAATACCAAATGAATATTGGCTGATTAGTATAAAATTTGCTTTTATAGTAAAAGTGTACAGGGTGTTCAAATTTCGATAGGAAACCGGCGTTTCTCCATTATTATCAACAATAGTCAAGACTTGAGGTTCTCGCGAACCTGTGCTATCGTTTGTAAAACTTATGATGCCGTTATCAAAGTTTTCAAGGCCACCTTCATTTTTTATTTATTGGCTGATTTTGAAAATTTGCAAATTTCAGACTCACTAGATCTACACTTGAATAAATATACAGTGTGTAAAGCGATGGGGTATACAAGAGGGTATTTTTTTTTTAATATTGATTTATGAAAAAAAATTTATTCTTCATGATTTTGAAAATTTGCAAATTTCAGACTCACTAGATCTACACCTGAATAAATATACAGTGTGTAAAGCGAGGGGGTATACAAGAGGGTATTTTTTTTTAAATATTGATTTATGAAAAAAATTTATTCTTCATGATATTTTTTGCTTGCTTTGAAAGTACCAATAACGTTTCGATAATCTAAAATTTATTTATAGAAATCTGGAAAAATAATAAAATAATTTTTTTTATTGAAAATTATCATTCTACATTATAATTAAGATAAGAGTATTGCTATCAAACCACAAACAATCGAAACGTTATTGGTACTTTCAAAGCAAGCAAAACATATGAAGAATAAATTTTTTTCATAAATCAATATTTAAAAAAAAATTCCCTCTTGTATACCCCATCGCTTTTTACACTGTATATCAAACAATACAGTAAAAATCATAGATGTTGCAACAACTAATGGGTATATGTACTGCCTAAACTGCTGCAACAAAATCCCCGCTACGGGCTACGGGCAAAACTCATATGTGACCAAAATCCCTACTCCACTTTAAAATCGCAACCAACTCCCTTTTTCCTTAATTCTCTTGTCTGCGCATTTAACCCATTGTTTCTTTGCATTTGGTACCTTAAATATTTAATTTCTTTTATCTCTCCTATTTTGTCTCCCACCATTTCCATTCTTCCTTTTCTTTCCCAATACTCCCATTTTTCCCATTATTTCCTTCATCGTTCTACCTCTGTTGCCATGATTACTGCGTCATCCGCGTGTGCCAGGGACCATAATTTTTCTTCTTCCCACTACTATCCCTCCACCTTGCCACTGTCTTAATTCTTTTTCCATGTCTCTTAAGTAGAAATTAAATATCTTTTTTCTTTAGATTTTCTTTTGCACCTTTTTTTCTGTTCTGTCACTTTATTTTCTTCTATTTGTTCTCTTCTTTCTTTCTCCATCTCTTCTGTACACTCTTTGTCCCACTACCCCTTTCTGTTTTCTCTCCCCTACCTTTCAGTTATTTGTTTGTACGTTATTGCATTTTAATACTCTGCTTTATATTATTCCACTCCTCCTCTGTATCCCTTCCTATTTCTTCTTATTCCTCTAGTCCCCCTTTATGGAGCTCCACTGACCACTTGTCTTTTGTCCATAACTGTATGTCTTTGCATCTTCATATTTTGATCTTTTATCTTTCCTTTTTAGACTTTCAACCTCCCTTTCCTCTCATGGATGTGAATTATTTCTGTTTAAAATACATATTTGGACAAGAACACACTTTCCGTGCGATGGGTGTCGCTATTACTCACACTCGACGATAAGCGCAACCTAGTACCATATTTTTTATTTTATTTTCTGTGGTATACTGTTATCACTCTCATTTCCTTCCCCTTCACTTCTGCGTCTGGCTTGTATTCCTTCCTCTTCTTTTGTTTCTTCCCCTCATTCCCATCCCTTTTTTTTACTCCTGTTAATATAGGTCTCTTCGCAAATTGGTTGTTCCATGTGTATTCATTCTGAATCCTGTTCTTTATTTTGCCCCAATTCTTTTCTTGTATCCATGTTGTTACCATCCCCGCGACATCTTCTCCTCTTACAAACTCCCAGAATCGAGCGTCTTTACCAACTACTCCTGCTACATTTCAATATGTATTTTCATGTTCCCCTTTCCATTTTTCACCCTCTCCCTATCTTCTCTTTTGCTGTTCCATCCAAACCCCACCCTTTCCGTACCCGTTCTCTCCTCTCTGTTCTTACTAATCTTTTTTCTTTGGTACTCCATTCTTCATCTTTTACCATTAGTTTCCTATATCTCCATCTTACTTTCTTGCTCTTTCCCTTTCCGCAAACTTTCTAATTTCTCTCTGTACCCTTCTTTCTGTATATGTCAACTCATCACCGTTTTATATTGTGCCCCCCTTTAACTTTCTCCTTCCTTTCATAACCTCCTCCTTCTTTTCCCATGTTAGTTCCATGATTACTACCTTATTACCCCTTACTTCAAATGTTCTTGCCTCTTACATTCTCTACATGTAGGTTTTCTTTTAGCCATTTCTCCAGCCTCTTTCCCTTTTTCCGTCTACTCACTTATGCTCTTTATTTTTTCTCTTTCTTTTCTTTCACTTTGTTCTTTGAGTTTAGTTATCCTTTCTGTAAGTTCTCTTTTTTCTTTATCCCATTGCTCTTTGCTTCTCTTCATTTCCTCCCTTAATCCTCCTATTTCTTCCATCATCTTCTCTTTCATTCTTCTATTTGCTCCATTGTCTCAGTAGTCGCTCTTCTTATTTGTCCCTTTACTTGTTCCATCGGTTTCTCGATGTTTTCTCCCCCCAATTCGCTCCATTCTCGTTTTTTTATTTCGCGCTCTCTCTCTCTCCCCCCTGTGTTTCCGCTTTCGCTTTCTTTTGGACCGGTGATCTTATAACTTTCTTGCACCTTCGAACTACTCTTCCTTGTTTGCTTCTTTCCTCTTTTTACTCCCTAGACTCATCCTTGATTGCGTAAGGGACTTGCACAGCTAGGAGGCATTCGTCCCTCTCAGCTGCTTCAGTACTGAGCCCTCCAACTGACTAAAAATGTTGTATATATCGTTAATGCAACCTTAAATTCAGGCGTGCGTACGGCCCGGTGCGTACGACCTGCAAAGTAATAGGGACGATGGGACTGTTTTCTATCAAGATAGTCAGAAATGTATTGGGAGTAATGGGGCAGGGTATCGGATAGGTGTCAGCGTCACATGTGCATTGCCCCATTACTCCAAACGTATTTCTGACTATTTTTTTAAAATAATTTATTTTGCCTTTATTTTTGAGTGGGCGGGGTTACATTTACAAATATCCATGCCCAATCCGGATTCGAACCAGGGACCCTTAGTACCACTGTCCAGCTTTGACATCTGCTAACTTAACGATTTTAAAACACGGACGAAGACGAAGAAAGTTGCCATTGCGCAATCTGCGCATGAGCACATCTTTTTACTATATGCGATATGTTTGCCTTTATTTGAAGCATATATACATGCAATACATAAGCCAGCCAAGCGTATGGCAAGGTTTTTTCTAATTGTCCTGCATGATTTTCTAATTTAACACCGCACATGTAGTAAGAAAGAAAGAAATAAGCTTTCACATGACCTATGCTCAGGGGCGGACTGGGTAACTGCGGGCCAGGTGGAATTGCATAGGTTACGGGCCATTAAAGTATTAGTGTAGTAATGAAGGGGGCGGGGGGTTAGCACCACAAACATTTTAAGTACTCCTTTTCGAAAATAAATTACCAAAAAAATTGTCTCAGATCGACCCGGAAAGAATTTTCTTATAATGTGCCTGTAGATCTAATTTCAAACAGTTCCAAAGATTGGGCTACTAGTTCAAGAAGTTAACAGCTTTGATTTTTTTCGAAATTGTTTTCTAGTCTATAACTTTTTGCTTGAGAAAGTCTGATCGAAAAAGTACGAATTGATTTTGGATTCTACGCACCCAACCCAAATTAATAAGAAAAAAGTGTTTTCCGAAATTTTGGTGAGTTGAATTTTGGTAAAAAAGGAAGGTTATGACCAGGGGCGGAATGGGTATTACGGGTCCATTAAAGTATTAGTGGGTATTATGAAGGTGGCGGGGGTGGGGGGGGGGGTTTTAGTTCTGAGGTGCACCACAAAAACATTTTAAAGTACTTTCTCGAAAATCAATTACCATACAGTTTTTTTTTAAATTGCAGCTGATAATTAAAAGTCACAAAATATACAATCCACACGAGGTGCGTCGCCTATCATTGTATTTCAGCACTTTCAAACTACTACGACAAAAAATGATAAATTCATTGTAAAACACTTCAATTAAAACAGAATTTTTTAACAACCGAACATCAACCCCAATTAGAGAAACGTGTTAATAATTTATTAATAGTGCAAGAAACTAAATACAGCACATACTTATAAATTTCCAACGGGCCATTATGATCTACAGGCTAGGTGGGGCAATCGCCCCCCGCCCCCCCCGTGCCAGTCCGCCCCTGTCTATGCTGACATTAAAAAATCAAGATGGCGGTCGTATTAAAAAAATTTTTAACCTCAAAATATGTGAAATAATTTCAAATGGCAGCGTTATGATGCTTCTCTTTAAAATAATCAGAGTTTCCAACCTAAAGCGCATACATTTCAAGGTAAGTTTGGCTAGCTACAAGAGTAGCTTTTACGTTTCTCAATTTCCCTACGTTATGAGCTATATTTACATCTGTGCCATATTAACGTGGAAGTGTAGCTAATCAAATTCCCTTGGTATTTTCAGGCTCCTCTGACGAAGAAGACGATGACGAGGAAGAGGCGTCCACTTCATCTCACAATGCACAAAACGAGTCTCAAGAGTCATCAACGAACGGTGCGAATGAAAAAACGCCAATCGCACTCGTCGATTATATTCTCAACATCATGAAATTCATTGATGCGATTTTAAGTAATAATTCGACCGACGATCATTGTAGAGAGTTTGTTAACCAGAGCGGTCTGCAGCCGTTACTAAAAATTCTGGGATTGCCCAATTTGCCTGTCGACTGTCCCGTAACAATTTCCGCTCAAGCTGTCGCGTCCGTGTGCAAGAGCATACTGAATTTGGCGCACGAGCCTTTAGTTTTGAAATACGGATTGGTGCAATTAAACGACGTGTTACGAAGACTCAAACCCTTATATTCAGATTTGGATACCAGTAGTAGTTCGAGGTTACTTCACGAATTGGCGCACGCGCCTCACTTAGAAACTGCATTCAATAATGCAAACGCGACACCTTTATTACACGCTATGGCGGCGGCGCATGGATATGTCCTGATGTTTGTGCATGTCTGTCGAACGGGACAAAGCGAAATTAGGACTTTGTCGTTACAACATTGGGGTTCGGAGCCTGGCCTTGCTGTACTCAAAAATTTAGCGGAATTGTACACGTCGCTTGTGTGGGAAAGTACTCTTCTGCTTGCTTTATGTAGCGATGACGCTATACCAGTTGATTGCGATTTTGGGCGAGAAGATATGGAACGGCTAAATATACCTGTATTTGATAGGGTATGTGTTTAGCTTTTTTCATTTGCGTATCTATGACATTCATTGCAGGCCGATTGCAGTTATTCTGTTACTGATTCAACAGCCAATGTCGCTTCCGCCTTGGAGGGTCTGTCTACAAACCCAACCCAGATCCAAACAATGGACATCGATGGGGAACAAATAACATCGAAACCGACTAGTCAACAACTCAAATATATCAAACCCTTACTTGGTGCGTCATCACGATTAGGCCGCGCCCTCGCAGAGTTATTTGGTTTGTTGGTCAAGCTTTGTGTGGGTACACCAGTACGTCAAAGACGCGGACAAAATATAGTTTCTACACCGCTCTTTCCGACACCGAATGCGCGTGCTGTTGCAACAGCATTGAACTATCTCCTAGCGAACGGATTAAACTCCGCTAAACTTCCCCAAAGTCCCGTTCCTAAGTTCAAGTTAACCTTCCTAATTTGTAGCGTTGGCTTCACTAGTCCCATGTTGTTCGATGAAAAACGCTATCCCTACCATTTAATGCTTCAAAAATTTGTTTCGCTAGGAGGTCAAACTACGTTTTTTAATACGTTCAAATGGGCGCTTAGTGCCGGAAACACCATTAAGTTGAGCGAAGGCCTGGAACATCCCGATTTACCAGAAGGTAGGTGAAAAAGCATTTGGTACGATTAACTAAAAATTGCATTGTATACGTTATCACAGACAACATATACTACAGATGGTCAATCTTAAGGGGAAAAAGCACGCTAAGTTTTGTTTCAATCGTCCCCTTATTTAAAAACCTGCTATCCCTCTATTTTGCTCCATCTATTAGCGCATACAACAATGTGTTGGTTCTTCTACAGATTTCTTTTATTGGAATGGTTTTGCAAATTGTCTAGGGAAAGAAGTATTGATGCTTTATTGTTAGAAAGCTGTCCCACAAGAAATCCCCATAATTTACATCTGGGGCGAAGTGCTGATAATCTTAATAATTTTTTTATAAGTAGGTAAGGTGAGTTTGTAATGTTTATTCGGGAAATATTCTCCCGAATTACACTCGTGCATCAAAATAAACCTGATAATTTTTAGCGCATTTTCCAGCGAAGTTCGGTGCGCTATTGCAGCCACTTTGTCTGTCCGCCCGTCTGTCCGAGGCCTTAACTACTCCTACAGTTTTCAAGATATTTAGTTCGTTCTTTTTGCATTCGGTAGCGTATCGCTCTGGCACCCGAGTCAAAGAAAATCTTGACGATTGAACTGCGCATGCGCAGGCTGCGCAATGTTAACTTTTTTATTTATTAATATATTTTGTTGAAATATATCAATCAAATATATCGCATATAGTAAAAATCAGATGTGCGCATGCGCAGGCTGCGCAATGCAACCTTTCTTATTTATGGAGATATTTCTTTGAAATTTTAACCAAAGATGCTTATAGTAAAAGCAAACGTATTGCATATTGTAAATATCAGATTAATGAGCGCATGCGCAGGACGCGCAATATCAACTGCGCAGTAAGTGTCAACTTCCTTATTTATGAAGATATTTCTTTAAAATTTTAACCATATATGCGTCTAGTAATGAAAAACGTAGCGCACATAGGTATGGCCTTTGGGGAAGTATTGATCAATTTATGGAAAATGCGCTGAAGTTACACTTCATAATTTGTTAAAAGAGCATTTTGATGCACTTGTGCAATTACCTACGAAAATTGTCACAAAGCAAAGTTTTAATAGCGATCCTCGAGATGGTTTACAGTTTTGTATCTATTACTGTCTGCCGGTTTCGTGTGTTGTCACTTCACTCAACGAAACCATGTGTATTGTATGCAAAAAAAATCCCCTGAATCCGTAAATGACAGTGTAGCTGACCGGAAACTCCGGGAACATATTGCTATACACAAGAAAACGAAGAAAAAATGGGAAAATATTGTTTTTTCGCATTTGACTTAATTAGGTATCTCGTTAACTATTCTTCTTACCGAAAAAAATGAAGAGAACGATTTGTTTAGAATCGATTTTTCTATCAGATACAGTTGGTATGATTTTTATTAAACAGAGTGCTAAACTAATTCTAATTCCACAGTCCGTCGATTTGCAAAACTCATCGGGACAACAGACAATTGTTGGAATAGGTTGTTTTACGGTTCCACCATCCATAAAAATATTGTAAACGCTCTGGGAGTCATCCAGTTTTGAAAGACAAAGCATCGAGAAGGGCGTATCAACAAAAACAAATGTTTATTTTTGGGATTACTTTTTTGTATTTTTCCAGAAAAAACAACATTTAAAAATGAACGGTTCTGTACCAACTGAAAATTCGATTCTAAGCAAATTCATTTCTATGAGCTCAAGCAATAGTTGACGAGATAATTGGAAGTCAAATGCGAATTTTTCCATTTTTTCTTGGTTTTTTTATGTATAGCAATATGTTCCGGGAGCTTCCGGGCAGGGAACTACATAGAATACACCTGGTTTCGTTGTGTGAAATGCCAACATCTAGTTTAGAATACTTTTGGAGCTAATTTGACTGGACTATGTTGACCCTACACATTGACATAAAATAAAGTTCGTTAAGTGCTCCCTCTCCTTATCAAAAAATGTTGTGATGGTATTATCACAGATACATATAGGTAGGTAAGGTCGTGCGAGGGGGGCCCAGGCCCTGGACGCCAAGTCTGGGGGGCGCTGAAGTCGCCCTTCGTCGGGAGCGTCAAAGGCGTGAGTGAAAGATTTACCTCGAATTATATAAACGAATCCGTACATACTCTTGTTTCGTATTTTATAAATTCAGAATCAGTCAAAATTTAAAAATTAAAAACTGTCTCCTTTATAAAGTCGGTAATTCCATGGAGTTAGGAAATCAAACAAAAGCGCCCGCATTTGCCATGTTTGATCTCAAATTGCCATGGCACCACTGATTTTCTTAAAAGCGCCAGTTTTCAGTTATCCAATTTCTTGGATTCAAAGTTCAGAAAATTAAAAGCTGCAGTATGCATGGATTCGTAATTTTTTTCTCTACAAAAAACCTAATAGACTTTCTCTCTAAAATAATAATAATAAAATAATCAAAAATGAAAAAATTACTATTGCAATTCCTATGGTGCGTTGTTCAAGTCACCACCCGGTATAATAATGTATTTATTATGGAAAAACAAAAATTATGTTTATTATTCTAATAAAATCTTTCCTTGTCCAACCTCATAATTTTATATTTGGAGGCCAAATTTAGTTTCCGCCCTTGTATAACCAAACCCGCTTCATCAATTTTTTAAATGTTTAGAAAAGAGAAAAATGAACAATTGAAATGTATCCTATTTCATGTAATTTATGGTGTTATACAAGTGATTGCTTATCTTATCTACGTAAAGGCCGGCGTTGAAGCCGAGGAAATAAGGTTTGAGTATATGTATTTTATTTTTACAAAAATGACCCCATCTATTACACACTTTTACCACACACAACAGTTTTCTGTGCGTCTACCACATTTTATGACAATTTATTTCGACTGCTTCAAGGTAGACAACACACTAACCGTACTCTATTAGGTGTTGCGTTTATTTCTATAGCATTGCATTGACCGTCGGTAGTATATCTTGTCTGTGACGTTATAAATTAGAACAATGCAATTAGATATCAAAGTTAGTAGTGATGGGAAGCCAAGATGTAAAACAGTTGTAAGGGAATATCTTGGTTCAAGATCTATCATCTAGTTTTTTCAAATTCTATAGGACCCCAGATAACCAGGAGCTAGTACCAAAATCAAATTTGGAAATACAGGGTGGTCCACTGAAAACAGTCAACGCCAATGTTGCCCACTTACCGACAGTTTTGCCAGAAACGCTCGAACACGTCAATTTTAGTTTTGAGGGAGACACCTAAATTAAGTAATTCTTTCTTCTCAATTAAAATTTTTGGGGTGTAATTCACCCCCTTCTCAGGGTTAAAGTTATGTAAGTAGTATTACTTAATTTATGTGTCCCCCTCAAAACTAAAATTGACGTGTTCGAGCGTTTCTGGCAAAACTGTTGTTAAGTGGGCAAAATTGGCATTGACTGTTTTCAGCGGGCCACCCTGTATAGTAAATTGTCTCTTGAAAATTTGATGTGTTCTTAAATACAGGTTGTTTCATAAAAAAAACTTAAAACAATGTAGCGCCGTTATTCGATTTGAATGAAACAAAAGTTATATTCAATAATAATAGTATTTTTTGCTGAGTCTGGTAGAGGCTTAGCTTCTGAATTGCAAATTTTTTGGCATGTGCATAGCTGCTTGAGGTTTAAGGAATATTTATTATGATAGTACCAGGGGTGGTTTGAGTATGAGTCTCGCCCAGGTTTCAGTATGAATACAACTTTTACGTCCCTTCATGCTATAGGTATCTATCCCGTACATAATGTGGAGGCTAGCAGATCGAGGCCTTGTCTTCGCTGTCCACCTAACTTTGGTTAGGTTCACTATCTGTCGAGCCAAAACCCAATCTCCTCTGTTCCCCCTGAGAAGTGGTTCGAGAGTAATTGGTTCGTTGGGCTAGGGTCTTATGTGATTGCTAAAAGCTCTAAGTTCTCCTTTGCGGTCTCTGTACTCCCCTTAATTTTTTTCAAGCAACTGGTACCGTCTGTTCCTTTTTATAAGGCTTTGTGAAGTCTGGCACCTTCTGGAATTTGTTCAACTTCCTCGCAGTACCTCCTTCACGAGTCACATTTTGCCTTTCTTATGGTCTTATTGTATTCCGTGAGTGTAGTTCGGTATGACTCCACTCCTCCGTGTTTTTTGTTCTATTAAAAAGCTTTCTAGCCTGTACCCGAGAGAGGGGGGTGGGACAACTTGTCTCATAGGTACCTTTGCGAAGGTTTGATTCCATGACCTCCAGTTCCCCGTAGTTGTTGGCTCCTGTGGGACAGTTCTGGGAAAGTTATTGTAAAAAAAACAAAAAACCATTTTTACATGTTCCATAATTTTACACTTTTGTTTGCCGTTTATTAACGATCCTAGAGATCGTTTATAATTTTGTATTTCCTTTGTCTGTCTGTTCATGTATCTGTCTGTGTGAATGATAACTTTGCTTAGAAATGTCCGATCGCTTTGACATCTCCGTTAGTTATAAATTGAATTGCATGAAATTCAATATGCGCATAGCTTCAGCCATATAACACGCAATGCCAAAAGTTGAGTCAAATCGATTCAAAATTCACAGTGCCCTTTTCGCATCTCGACCATTTATAAAACGAATTGCAAACTTTTTTTATTTATAAAAGTATTTAAATGAAATTTGATACATAGGCACTTGGAATAAAACCAAATTTAACACCAGTTTCAAAATTTGGTTTTGCGCATGCGCAGTACCAACTTTTTTATCTAGGGAAGCATTTGATACATAGTCACTTGGAACAAAGGAAAATCTAACGTTAGTTTCAAAATGTAGGTTTGCGCATGTGTAGTGCCAACTTTCTTATTTAGGAAAACATTGAAATGAAATTCTTCATATAAACTGAAATTAAATTATAATTAAATTTTATATTTGTGGCCGGATTTACACGATTTTAATAGAAGTTGCATCTTACAAATGGGAAATGAATGCAAGTGGAACTTGTTTGCCTTTTTCGAGCTACTTTCTTTGGGAGTGCTGTGATCAGATCGGTGGCGCTTTTGCGTCCGCGAGGTCTCGGTAGGCGTTACCTGGTTGCTCAGAGGTTGCCCCACTTCAAGAAATGGTAGGTCAGGTTGCTTAGAGCCCCTGGTTCCTGTTTAATCTTTTGTAACTCCCATCGCGCGGCTCTAGAGAGATTTTTAGGCTCTACAATACCAGGTGCTCAGGAAGCAGTTTGTTAGGTTTTTTGTTTATTTTCCAAATGAGTGTAGGGGAAGTAAATATCCACACGCGTGGTGCCCCCTGCACACGTGTAAGGCCGAGGTTGGGGCGGTAGTTGCTTATCCTTTATTCAGCGCCGAGACCCCCTGCATCACCCTGTGTTCACCAGGTTTGTGTATGGTATATCGACATGGTTGACGTACATCGTACCCATGTTGGCATTGGTTAACCCCGTGCAAGCTCTTAGCCACGATACGACACCCAGGGGGGGGGGGGGAGCTGGTCCGCGATTCTGGAATGTTAGCAAGCGATCTAACGTTTCTAAACCAAGTCATCTTGCAGACAGCAGTACAAAGTATAAGCGATCTCAGTTTGGAGGAACAATGTGTTTACTACAATCCCCAATAGGCTCATGTCCTCATACACGATTTAAAGAAAAATAAAAATTCATCTTTTGATACCACCCAGAAATTGAAATCAATTGAGGTTTTTATACAAAATTCCAAATGTTCTTTGAAGCTTTTACCAATTGCCTATAATATCGCCCTTTGCCTTTGATATCCATCTTGATGAGTAGTTGGAACATAGCAGATTGACATTATCGGCAAATTGGCCCTTCTGTTGGAGTGGTGCTGTGAACTGCCATTTCCAAATTTCAAATTACTGAATACTAATATATCACACAGGTACAGATTACTATGCAGGGTGTAACAGACGGGGTGGCGCCTTGGGTAGAAAACTGATATATTTGGATAGCTAAAAGCAAATTTTCAAAATAGATGAGAGAACATCGTGTATAATTTAAAAAAGTTGTTATGCAATCATAAATGACGAGAGCGTATTTTTCTCCTACTAATGTCAACGCTGGAGTCCGGAAAAATACCCAGTTGAGACGATACTACCTTACTAGTGGAGCGTACACCAATATACAGAGTGGCCCAACGAGAAGTATACAGAGGGCTTTTGGGGTATTAAATTTAGAAATTTCGAAAAATCCTCGAACACGTCAATTTTGTATTCGAGGGGGACAACTTTTGGAATACAAATCACGAACCAAGGTCTTCACCCCTCTACGTAGGGAGCTTAACCCCTAAAATTTTAAATGGAATGCAAATATCTCCGAAACGAATCAATAGAATTTAAAAAGCAAAGCAGATTAGTAATCATGATTAAATTGGCTTTCAGATAACGTGCCATTTGCCATAGGATTCCATTTAAAATTTTAGGGGTTAAGCTCCCTACATAGAGGGGTGAAGACTTGGGTTCGTGATTTGTATTCTAAAAGTTGTCCCCCTCGAATACAAAATTTACGTGTTCGAGAATTTTTCGAAATTTCTAAATTTAATTTCCTAAAAGCCCTCTGTATACTTCTCGTTGGGCCACTCTGTATACACGAAAGCATTTAAATTAAGTTTTTTAAAGAAGTTGGCTTTGCGCATGCGCAGAACCAAATTTTGAAAGTGGTGTTAGATATGTTTTTATTGCAAGTTCATGTGTCGCATTTCGTTTAAATGCTTTCGTAAATAAGAAAGTTGGCACTCCGCATGAGCAAAATAATATTTTGAAAAAGTCGTTGGTTTCACTTATATGTAGTGGTTACATATAAAGTTTCATTTAAATATCTTCATAAAAAATGTGTTAAATCAAATTTTTGACACTGCTCATGTGCAAAAACAAAAATATGGGTATGCATGGAATCCTTGTACCAAGCCCTTTCAAATGAGTCCCATATCGCCCAAATCGGTTCAGTCGACGGACGGACGGGCGGACGAAGAAGTACAGCCAATAGCGATTTTTCACTTTCAGGAAAATACACTAAAAACATTGGCTATCATCACGCTACGGTGACCGAATCGATTTATTTAATCCGAGTTATTGAGTGAAGTTTTTGAGTAATTGAAACAGATCTAGAAATAATGGACCTATGGCATTATCCGTTTTGTATGAACCAACCTGTATATGAATTATGTTGCTGTGATAATATACAATTAATCTATTTGATATTTTCATACTATACATGAAAGTTTTTTTACCCTCTTTTTTGGGTGTTCTTTCTTTTTGCTTTGTATCTCCGTTCTATACTTATGAAAAGATATTTATTCTCAGGCACTGGAGAATTCTTGGACGCATGGTTGATGCTCTTAGAAAAGATGGTCAACCCGAAAGCAATTCTTGATACTCCCCACTCGCTGACGACTAGAACTGGATCTACATCGGCATCAGCTAGAAAGCTGCTCGCGTTTAGCCCGCTGAGGTATCTAATACAGATTCACAAATTAGCATTCGAGGCAATTATGTTTATGTGGGGTAAAAAACCTTTACCCACTTATGGGGTGCGAATGAGCGAATCTATGTTATCTATCTTAAAACACATACTGAGGGGGGAGAAAATTATCAAGGAAAAACTTGCCAAAGGGGACGATAAACCAGCCGCGTCGAATGGCAGTCGTGCGGAAAGTGATGTGAATCAAGAAAACTTAAGGCAGCTTATGGATATGGGTTTTTCGCGCGACCACGCGTTGGAAGCCTTAATCCATACTTTGAATGTTGAACAGGCCACCGATTATTTACTATCGAATCCTTCGAATCGTGCAGGTACCTCTGGCATGGATACTGACTTTACGGAAGATGATCAAGTTATTCAAGCAATAGCTTTGTCATTAGGCGAACCTGGGCCCTCTGTTGAACGAAAGAAGGAAGACATAGAAGAGGATACGTCTCCCCTGTCAGAAGACTTAATAAATAATTTCACCAAAGACGCTCTTGAAATTTGCCTACAGCTAATTGAGGCAATTCCAGAAACTGTACACAAAGTTTGCGAGTTGTTAGGCACTATTATGAAACGGAACGGCCCAACGTTCAGAGATGACCTGCTAGATAAACTACTTTCTACTATACGTTCAAGTTCAATGCAAATATTTCATCGCTATAAGTATAGACCTGCAGTGCTAGAGGTGCACTTGGAATTATGCGAATCGAGAGAATCTCTATGTCTCGGGCATCTTATTCATTTATTTGCGCTTTTTTTCGAAGTTCCATCGTTTATTGATATGCGGATACCATGCGGATTGGCAGTGCATCGTGCAAAATTGGTACCCGAATTTTTTAATTTATTGTCACTGGCGGAAAGATTGATGCAACACGGCGCTGCGTCCGCGAAAGAACCAAAATGGCTGACACCTTTACTACTTCTCTTAGACTCGTTGGCTAAAGTGGGAGTGTGTACCCATCGGAAACGTAATATGCATGCGGTTACAAATCGAGTTTGGAGATGGTATGATGTGGTAACAGGTAAATGGACACCTTATTCCACAACGAACAATAAATTGATCAATGAGGCGTATTGGAATGGCGAGCAAAGCATTAGGGTCACTTGTGGCCGTCGTCGGTACACCATAACGTTTTGCAATATGTTACAATGCAACGATGAGACTGGAAATAGTAGACCTATATCCATGACTCCCCTTTGTTTGGAGCACGAAGATATGTTTACGGACTGTGTTGAATCCGGAGATGAATGTGCAACCTTTGAGGTTGTCTTATCTGAGAAAGAATCGAAAAGATGTTTGCCCGTACCTGTTCTTACCGACCGACTGTCTTCAGAGATCGTTCAGACCATCGTTCGAATGTTGCACTACCCAATCGAAAAAGATCTCGTTCACGCGATTATGAGACTTTGCTTACGTCTCACTAGAAATTACGACACCGCGAAAACCTTCGCTAATGGCGGCGGCATTAGGGCTTTATTAAAGATGCGTCAAACTTCGTCGTTTAACGGATACAGTTCCTTGGCTACCATACTGATTCGTCACGCTTTGGAAGAGCCCCAAACCTTAGCCCATTCTATAGAAAAGGTCATCAGAGGGCGTATGATGCCGTCCATTCCGCCACCGTACAGGGAACTTATATACCTGACCCGGCAAATTGGTAGTGCCGTCTCTCGAGCTCCGGACACTTTTTACGATGTCGCCAAGTCGATACTTCGAGTCGATTGCAGTATTTTTAGAAGACGTAAGTATTCCTCTTATTATAAAACTTCGCATTTATTCAATCCAGCATATTTTTGTTTCAATTTGAAGTAGATTAAATTTGTCACAGTTTGAGCCCAAAACCAGCTCTGAGGTAAGTGGTCAGGAAAAACAAAATCTTGAGAAAACAGCTTTCTAGCTCAAACTAAAAATCGCGCTTTTGGAAGTGTCTTAAAAAATGGTAAGTGTAGGGAAAACGTTTCTCACAAAAGTTTATTATTTTGCAATGTAGAATAAAAATATTCAATAAAAAGTATACGTCTCTATTTCCGTTAAGGGAGAGTTATGATGTGAGATGGGCCCCATGAAGAATATTGATATAAATTATTTTTTGATATCCCTGCTAGTTTTAGTATAGGACCGTGACGCATTGCTTGGCTTCGCCTCGCAGATTGAAACACAAAATCAGCTATCGTTCGGCCTCGCGCGTATACCCAAATCGCCGTCGGTTCTAGAATATGGACGAGCAATATGGGAGATCAATGTAAAAAAAACCGTATCGTTCTAACCCTCGCCGGTCCCAAATAAACACCAAAATATGATGAAGTGCCTTCTGTATGCTATTGGGGGGCGGGGGGGGGGGGGGGGGGGGGGTAACGTAAAACCCTAAGGTAGATGCTACCCAGTTTGTATAGAATTGCTTGTATAGAATCGTTGACTCATTGCTCGGCTTCGCCTCGCACATTGAAACACAAAAGAAAAATGTCGCACGGCTTCGGCCGCCTCGCCTCTCGCGATCAATTATAGGGGTCCAACGTAAAAAACCGCATCGTTCTAGCTCTCGACGTTTCCGAATAAACGTCAAAAATGTAAAAAAGTGCCGTTTATTGTAGCGAGGGGGTGGGGGTTGGGAGGAATGTCGATCGCGATGTCTGAGAGCACAAATACGAGACCCACGTAAAAAACTGTATCGTTCTAACCCTCGTAGTTTCCGAATAAACGTCAAAACGACGAAAAAGTGTCGTTTAATTGTCCAGGGGGGGATAATGGAGGAGTGCGAGGGTGCGAAAAGGACGTCCGAGGAAAGACTTTGGCGACTTCCTAAAATTTTACCTTCCCCGATGCCGCTCGGCTGCCGTAAATATTTTTTACGTGCGATTATTCTACATCTCGAATTTGGTCCGATTTTCGTTCGAAAATTCCCTCCTCTCGCCCCCTTAGTCGAAGGGAGTCGCACAGTACGCCGTAAGTAGGGGGACGTTTTGGGTCGCACTTGAGCGATTGTAAGTTTTTACTAGGTCGTCTCGTTTTCGCGCCGCGAGGGATAAAGCGGAGCGACGTCGACGATGCCTAACTTTGCACCCCCCCTCCCCTCCAAACGAATGTTATGTCGGGGTGCCGACTCCGTACGTTACGCGCGGGACCGTCCGGGCTTTACATTAGATGCGTTTCGACAGAGAAAAAGTCGTCACGTTTTCGAGCAATTTCGTCCTGTTTGCACCCTCGTCCTCTCGTGGTGGCCCTCCCCCGCGGGACGATGGAGTATTGTTCGCCTCAACGGAACCTGAGGAGCTGCAAGGTTTTTCTAGTTGACCCGATGCGTTCACCGTCTTGTCTCACCATCGTTCCTTTTTTGAGAGGACCTTCTATAGGTGAGAGGCTACAGGAATTTCATTGACAGAATCTTTTCCAAGACGCCCTCTTTGTCTTCTGAATCGCCTTACTATACTCAGTGAGGGACGTTCTATATTCATCCCGGCACCTAGTGCGCTTGGCTTTGTTAAATACTCTTCTGGTGGCTTTACTAGCTCATTATTCCACCAGCGAGTGTTTCTATTTGTTTTAACCCGCTTCAGCGGACAGCTTTCCTCTACATATTGTATTGGTGGTCCATCATTGTTTGGGATGTTAATTATTCAAATTATTGTATCAAGGAAAATTCTTCATTATAAAGTGACCCTAGAGGTGTTTCACAGCATATTTACATCGAAAGCTAAACGTAAGTTCAGCGGTTCGTCTATAGATGGCGCAGAAACATGGCGGGTTCTCATTTGAATTTAAATACAGGACCAGGGCAGTCACTATCTCGAATATATCGCTCTCGTTCGTTCATAAGGCAAAAAGAACCCGCGACACTGTAGGAGGTAGGGTAAATGTATAGATTTTGGCATCGTTTTCGTTTTTTTAGTAGGCAGGGACGAACGGAGCGGTTTCTTAAAGGGGGAAATGCTAACAGTTTTCCAGCTTTCGAAATTCAAATGCTAAAGACCATTGATATTCTTTTGAATTACGCTTAATAGTATTTTGCACCCACACTGTACACTACCTTCCGATATGTGTCCTCATTTTCAAAAAACAAAAAGTAACTAAATCATGAGCGGTAAATTCGAATAGGGAAGAGTGAGACTAGGTCACTAAATAATTAATAAAACACAAATTCCATAAGAATCCTGATTTTAAAGCTCCGCGTGACGTCATGCACCAACTAGCATAATCTTGTTTTCTTTATACTATATCATGACTACAAAATGTACGTGACTAGTGATAAATATCCGAAAGTTTCCGAAGGACGCGGAGAATTTTCCAGATTACTTTGAGCAAATGAGTCAACATTAGCGCCATCTGTAGTTATCCGGCGCGATTTTGAAATGGTAACAATCTAGACTAAAGGCAATAAGCTTCCCCACCACTTGCGCTCTGAAGAGCTCAAGCGCCTGCATTAGGACATGACCTGTCTCACTATAACAACATATAGGGCTTGTATTCGTGGTTTGGGTTCAGGTGCCTCTCTTTTGGGGTAGGACATAATCTGTCTCATTATATAACACAGGGGTGTAATATTTGTATGTAAAGTAAGTTTTCGAGACCCATCACATAACAGTATTCAAACAACATAAAAATTCAGGAGTCGTGAAAAATAATCATATTAGCATTTATGCGCAATAGTGGCAAAATATCATTGTCTATAGCCGGCAGAACAAAATGAAGGGAGGGTCAAAAACTGTAAGTCAATTTACTATTAAAGAAGACTTGCTGAAACAGTTTCTACTTTACGTAAAACGACTGAAGACTGGAGCAAATAGGAAACTGGTCGAAACAGAGTTCCCACTCACTTTCTGCATACCTTTGCCTTTTGCTTTGATAACATTCCACTGCGTCAGTACTGTCCCATCCCATCTCGATATACGATATTGTAAAATTCAAGAATGTTGACGAATTTGTTTTATATGAAGTTATAAGTCCAAGCCACAGGGGGGGTCGGCGTCGCGTCTTACTGAATCAGGGGGAATGATTCTCATTTACCCTGTCAGTTCTGAATTCGTTTTAGTGGCAAGGGCCCAGGAGGTCTGAGGTTTCCCCATTTATTTTTAAGTAGTATCTGGCAGTAATCACTATGTAAGCTAAGCCCAAGGTTCAGGCTATGACATTATAATCTACTTTGTTGCCGGTAAAATTAATTACTAGTTCTTAAATGTGACACGCTGAAATTAAAGGCTTGGATTTTAACCCTGCTATGTGTCTGTGATAATTATTGCACGATTTTACAGCAGAAGATTTGGACAGTCGACTGCCATTGAAAGCGGAACCGACGACGCGTACTCACGCGCCTCAAATGGAGGAGGACTCATCGATCACGGTCATTCACGATCTATTGCACGCTTTACTAAAGCCCCTGGAGTGGGGCGCTCCCGAGAATGTCGCCGAAGTCAATTCCCCAAAACCGTCGAGTAGTGCCACTACAACGCGCGAGCCAATGTTTCAAAGAGCTAGCGATTTGTTGGGTAACAGTACGGCGTCTAATGAAATTTTGAATATGGAAGCTCAGGATGATTCTTCGGTTGCCCCGATTATGCTGGTTCACGTGACACGGAATCCGGGCGAAGCGGTAATGGATACTAGACCAGAACAAGAATTAGTAACGCGGCCTATGATAGCGAAACATTCTATATTAAAAATTCTGGCCGATGCTGTGGTCTCTTATGGGGCTGTGGCTAAGCTCATAACCGATTTCACATATAAAAGTGGCGACGGGGATATTGTTACCGAGGATTGTTCAGCTCTAGCTTTTATGTTTGATAAGCTGTTGCCTATCACGGAAAATATCTCTGATCGCGAATGTTCTATGATGTGCCGTGTGCTGATTGCAGCAATTTCGTCCTGTAATCATTGTCCTGAGGCTCAGTCAACATTAGTTAATGAAGTGAAATCTGCTTTAGTGCGAGCACTCTTAATGCCCGAATGTTTTGAGAAACATAGCCAAATCCAGTTGATAACTGGTATAATAACAACAATGATAGAAAATTGTCCACCGTCGAATCAGCTGAGAGTGTTCAAAAATCAGCCAATGAATGGTCAAATCAATAATATTGTTAAGCTCATGCTACGTAAAGGCATATTTAATGATTTGGCGAGGATATCCCACTACATGGACTTGTCCAGTCCACATTTTCCGCTAACCGTCAACTCATCGTTAAAACCCATGGAATCTTTGTCCCGAATTGTAAACCAACCAATTACAGGAAGTAACAGCAATCGAATGAACAAAAAAGCTCAACAAAATAATTTAGACGATACTGGAGCTACTCAGAGCGGAACAACTTCAACCGAAGCTACTAATGCCCAGGTTCGAATAATTGTTGTAATTGCGATTTTGCTAATCAGTTTCTGATAGGGCGAAGAGACTATCGAGGATGCAGAAAATACCGAACACGATATATCTGCTGTTGCCTCCAGTCTGGAAGCCAATCCGGAAGTGTCCGTGGCGCATGGCGAAGCGGACAATGTTCTGGAACACATTATGGATCAGCTACTCGAACGTGGCAATAATGATTCAAACCGAACTTACACAGATGTCGCCTCAGGTCGTAATCATCACGCTATGGACATTGACGACGATGGAAATCTGGGATTTGATCACGAACCCGATGCCACTGTAAGCATATTACTTTTGGGACTAATTGAATGCCTTTCATTTTTAGGAGGAATTAATGAGCACGGATTCTGGAGATTCTGACTCGAATGCTTCTGATCAGGAAGTGGAAGATGATGATAACGATGATGACGAGGACGAGGGTGAAAACATTGAAATAACTTACGAAGATGATGACGACGATGTGAACAATGAAGGTATGTATTTACCCTACTTTTTAAATCCCCTCTTCTCCTGGTGGTATGTGGTGAGGTTTAAGACTAACCCCCCCTTCGGTCCATAAATAAGAAAGTTACTTCTGCGCATGCGCAGGATATTGCCTACTGGTCTGAAAATTAATAGGTGTTGTCTCCAAAATGTAAGCAATTTATCCCATTAAATTTTACTTTTGCTTAAATCCATAATTTTATTTTAATATCTTCAATAAAAATTGAATTGCGCATGCGTAAAACAAATTTTTTCATTCGGCATTAGTTTTACTATGCGAGGTGCCTACATACACAATTTTATTTAAATATCTTAACAAATGAGAAAAATTGGATTGCGCATGCGCGAAATAAATTTTTTGATTCGACATTAGTTTTCTTTCACGCATGTGTCAACATACAAAATTTTATTTTATTTATTTTCCTTTATTTTTGAGTGGATACATTTACAAATATCAATCCCTGAACCCGGATTCGAACCATGGACCCTTAGTACCGCAGTTCAGCTTCAACTGAACTGCGCCACACGGGTCGGTGATGTAAATTTTGTAACAAATAAAATTAGGTTGCGCATGCGGAAAACAAATCTTTTGATTCTGCATTAATTTTGCTTTTATTTGAGGTGTGTGCATACAAAATGTCATTTCAGTATCTTAACCAATAAAAAAAGTGTGCATGCGCAATTTTTTTTCATCTATACAGGGTGGGCCATTAGTGTGTGAGTGGACGATTGTGGGTTTATTAACGCGCATATTTAAAATTTATTGTGGGGGAATGTTGCAGGACTCTTCAGGCTCCAACCTAAAAATATTTTTACCGAAATTGCAATTGTTATACAGAGTACCACTGCAAAGTCAAGGCCTTCTAAGTTTTATGATAAGTGCGATATTCAATTTTTACTGGACATCTACTTTTTGAAAAAACGACGAATTGCGGATAAACGACTCATTTTAGATATCATGTGTAATACATAAAACCACACTAAAATTGACCAAGGAATCCAAATATGTAATAATGTACAGAGGGTTCCATTTAAAAAACGCAACTTTTATATAAATCACCCTGTATAACAATTACAATTTCGTTGAAAATATTGTTAGGTTGTAGCCTTAAGGGTCCTTCAACATTCTCCCACAATGAATTTTAAGTATGCGCGTTAATAAACCCACACACTAGTGGCCCACCCTGTATAGTTTCTTGAGGTTTAAGGAATATTTACTAATAGAAAATCGGACATTCATTGTAACAAGATATTAAACAAGTTAAAAAGTAATCGTAAACGATTTACATAAAGCGCATTTCCACTTGCATTCATTTCCTATTTGTAAGATGCAACTTTTGTTAAAATTGTAAAAATCCGGCCACAAATATGAAAGATAGCGTTGCACATGTGCAATCCATTTTTGACATGCTACTTCAATGTCAGTTCATAAGAAGAGTTTCATTTCAATGCTTTTCTAAATAAGAAAGTTGGAACTGCGCATGCGCAAACCTAAATTTTGAAACTGGCATTAGCTTTTCCTTTATTCCAAGTGCCTATGTATAAAATTTCATCTAAATGCGTCCATAACTAAAAAAGTTTGCACTGCGCATGCGCAAAACCAAATTTTGAAACTGACGTTACATTTGCTTTTATTCCAAGTGGCTATGTATCAAATTTCATTTAAATACTTTTATAATTAAAAAAGATTGCAATTCGGTTTATAAATGGTATAAATGCGAAAAGGGCACTGTGAATTTTGAATCGTTTGGTATTGCGTATTATAGGGCTAAAGCTATGCCCATATTGAATTTCATGCAATTCAGTTCATAACTAACGGAGATGTAAAAGCGATCGAACATTTCTAAACAAAGTTATCGTTCACACGGACAGATAGATGGACAGAAAGACAAAGGAACAGACGGAGACCAACCGGCAGGCGACAGATAGCAATGCAAAATTATAAACGATCTCTGGGATCGTTAATAAACGGCAAAAGTGTAAAATTATGGAACATGTAAAAAACGGTTTTTTGTTTTTTTTACAATAACTTTTTTTGTAAGTGGTACAGAAAAAATTCCTTCCTTGGTACAAGACTCGACACCATAACGAACCAAATAGCGAAAAAAGTAGAACAATAGCTCTTAAGATAAAGAACTAGTAGTAGCGTCGCAAAACGAGCGGACGGACGGACGGACAAAGTGGCCACAATAGCGCATTTTTTTTATTGTGGAAATGCGCTAAAAAGAAGATTTTTAGATTTAGGTAGTTTCTGGGTCGTAATGGTTTGGCCCAATATTCTACGTAGCGATCTTTTTTATATCCTTAAGAATATGACAACTATCTGGGTTGCACAATGGGTTCGAATAAACACACAATTAATTGATTGACAATAACAAAAATTCCTGGAAGAAAGAGAAGCTTACAAAGCTTGTTTATACAAATGCCCCATATGATAATTAAAAATAAAAAAACCTAATATTACTTAGTTTTTTTTTCTATTTTAAATAATCCAAATAATCTGGTCGTGAATAGTTTGCGATATTCAGGCGCACTTATAAAAAACACTCGCTGGCCGCTTCAGGAAACTTCACTGTGTCTTAAAAAACTGAACTCAATAACTCTGAACTAGCTTGATAAACAAGATGGAAAAGATTTTCGGCGGCTACTCTGACCTCCACTTTTTCTGAATACGGATAAATCGTTTCAGTTTCACAAACTTTACAACTTCACCGCACGATGACGTAAATCTTTTATTAAAACTGCTTAACTTCTTTTACCTACTCTATTTTGAAACTGATGAACTATTGAGGGAATAAATGGACTAAATGGTAAAAACTTATATTTTGGTTATGGTAGAGCTTGCTGGATAATTCCATTTCATTGATGTGTTTGATGTAGTGCTCCATTTTAAAATGGAGCACTACATCAAACACACTGATGAACTATGTCTTCAACAAAATTAAAAGGACCACACGCCCGTAACTTGGCGTAAACAAATTTACGCTCTTTTCACCGTCGCGAACTAAAAAAAGGAACCTCGTCTCGCGTATTTAAGGGAACACCACTTCCATTGTGGAATAATCTCTTTCCTCCCGTAATTACCAAAAAATGCGCCAATTACAATTAGACTGGATAACGCCGGCTGCGGAGCAACGCGTGCCCACTTACACCGAATCTAAAGCGCTCATCGTTGACCACCTGCATCTCTTGTTATCAACACCAGAACACGTGCGTCAATTAAATTACATCCGATAACATTCCTTATCGTAAACCTTTTATAAAAAATACGCAAACTTGACCAGATGTTTCTTACTTAATGCGCCCTATAAATTAAGCAATTGCAAACAAAAAGTTATACTGTGATTTACAATATTTTACATGAAATTTTGTCGCAAAAATATTCAAATGATTCAATTTTTGTATATTGATATAAAAGGGTCAATTTTTGGAATAACCAGGACATAAAAACCAAGTTTTGGTTATGGAACTTATCGTACTTCAATTCCAGCCATACCAAAAATCAGATTGCATCCATTTTAGGTCTATTTTGTCCTCCTGGGATTGCTTTTCTTGAGGTTGCTTAAAACTAACCGTTCATTGTTTGTTGGTATATTGTATGTGACTTTACTTTTTTTTTTAGTTTCAAACGCAGATCGCGAGGAAGACATTTTGATGATTCAGTATGCTGACCACGAATTGGACGAGGCATTGCCGCGAATGGTACGTTGGAACGAAAACGGATTTGCTATTCCATTATTTGATGACTTAAATCACACCAACGAGCAGACGGGTAAGTCTCCTACAAGTAAGTGCCTGATACATTTGCTAATCACTCGTATTAATAGCACCCACGAGTCACCCACTTCTAATGTCACGCCACAATAGCGAAAATGGCAGCGCCGTAACTACGCGCACGCAGAGAACAAATCGCGCCCGTCGTTATCAATACCTTCAGTTAAATCCACGTAACACGAACCCACCAGTGATTTTGCATCGGTACGTCCAGACGTCACAAACATTTGTTGTTTTTCTACACTGCCCATTTCAGATTATTAGGTCCAGTCGCGCAAAATCTCTCTTTAAGTACAAACGAAATCATGGGCTCGCCTAGCAGCCGCGATACAGCCCGTGTTGTAGTGATGGACAATTTCGGATTGATACCGACAAACGAAGAGCAGATTGATTTCGTTGATCCATCCGGTTACTTATTTGGCCCTAGTTTAGCTGCCACCTTAAGTCACGTGCCATCCGTACTCCACTGGTGGAATGAGGAATCAAAATTGTTAGATCCCGAGTCGCACGATATCGCGCTGTACGTTTCGAACAAGTTAATTCCTCTTCTGATCACCCGTCGAAATAAAGAACTGATCGAACACAAAAAGAAGAAGGACGAGGAAGAAAAGTCCAAAAGTAAGGCACCCGAAGAATCTGAAAATCACGAGAGCGACGTAGAGACCATAGGACCTCGTTCGGAGAGTACCTCTACTAACGATGTAGAGATTATCGAAACTAATGATCCGAATGAACTTTTAGAAAGATACGAAAGAGGTGGGTTTGATGTGATGTGTTTATGTTGATTTGGTTTACTTTTCAGATTCTGTGCCAAAACCTCCCTTTCCTCTAGATCCTGACTGCCTTTATCTTAGTGGTTCTCGGTTCCCTTGGTGTAGTGAGTATAAGTTGAAATTTTGTTATCAAATTGTTGCAATGGATAATTTGGAAATTGAAATCGGTATATGGTAAGATTGTCAGCAGAGGCTGTACTGAAAACAAAACCGTCATATTCCCAATTATCTTGGTGTAGATCTTAGTTTATCTTAATTGCGATTTACTTGTCTGTGTCAAAATCCTGGAGATTAAAAGGGCTGGAAAGTGATATTTTGCAATTTTTCGCAGGGGTTTGAAATTTAGAAGAATATATAAAAAAAGGAAGACTAGTTTTTGGACCGTTTCTGAGATATTAATAATTTTCAACAAAAACTTTTTTTTGAGTGGGCGAGGTTTCAGCCAAGGCTGCCAACCCAACCCACTATACATTTACAAATATCCATGCCCGAACCCGGATTGGAACCAGGGACCCTTAGCACCACAGTCCAGTTTCAACTGAATAGCGCCACACGGGACGGTCCGCCCCAACGCACGCGCACTGTGCGGTTTATTGCGTTTTAGACGCCGCACAATTTTCAGATGTTTATTGCTACTCGCTTTCGGTTCCCATAATGCCATGTGCAATTTGTTCCCATTATTTTCATTTCATACTCTTGTTGACGGGGGAAGCTCTTTTGTCAACTCCCAAACAACATTGGTGTGGACAGATAAATAATGTTGGGGCGAACCCAGACCACCCATCTTTTAAGGGTTTTAGGTCTACCTTGCCTCTCATAGCTGGCGAAGCCGCAGTCCAGGGAACCATCATGTATTTGTAATGTTAAAATTGTTTAAATTTCTGTTTTGGGTATAAACAGTGATGTTGATGTACTAAGATGTTTTGATTTGCAGCGACTATTAGATCATCAGTAAGCTTCTAGACCAGCTGGTCTATAGTTCCTCATCTAGAACTAAGCGTTTCAACACGTTATTTAGTATAGCAGACATGGCTGAGTCTATTTTGTCCCACTTTCCTGAGGCTTGTGCTTGCCTCCAGCTTGGCGGCTCGTCTGATACCATATTGGCAGCCTTCCAGGACGTGTCGTGGCGTGCTTATCTCACCACACAGGCATATGCCATCTGTGAGTTTCAAGTTAAACCTTTTGTAGCAGTGTTATGGGCCCATGCCCTGTACACAGCCACACGGTTTCCTTCTGCCACATTAGCTCCTGAAACGGTTACTTCCCATGCGTAAAAATTATAATTTTCTGATTTCGAACAGGATTCTTCTCCCAAGTCGTGCGTGCAATGGTATGCGGTCAACTTCACGGTCCACTAAAACCACTTCCTTTACTTCAACTTGACTAACTTTTTCTGAATATGGACTACACGCGTTGAACTTCTCACAACGTTGTATCAACTTCAGTTAACTTTCTTCAAACTGCGCCTTCACTCAATCAAAAAAAGAAGTTCGGGGCGCCCGAATTAGTATAGCGTAAAGAAACATACGCTTTCCAACCGTCGCGAAACAGTTTCCTTACAGCCTCTTGCTTGCCGTATTTAACGATACACCACTTCCATAACAAAACAAATGTCCTTCCGGTTAATAAATATAAAACGACGCATTCCCCACTTACGCCGAACTAATGCGCACATCTGCATATCCCGTTATCTCTTCTAAGAGCGATAAAAAACAGCGTTAATTAAATCTTGTCCAATAAAAACTATTTCAAACAACCACATTTAACATACAAATTCCACGTTTTACAATTAAATAAACAATAGGCGATTACAAACACTCCTAAAAGGAAAAATAACATTATTGAAATACAAATTGAAATACAGTAAATTAATTCTGTGCTTATTCATAAATAATATTTAAGATGTCTGTTACTCCTGCCTCTACATGGTCCTCACATCACAAATTCCTTTGGAAAATGCTTACAGAATGCTTTGTACACACAAAGACCTTCATCACTCCATTTCTTTTACTCCACCTGAAAGAATTCAGGTAAAGCTAATATCTTTAATCAATTACGTAATGAGAATTTCAATTTTGATGTTCATACAATTATAATAAAGCTTCACTTAGGCATTCTCTTAATAGTAAGCTAAGATTTCTTTTGGAATATCGGTTGTGGTGAATTAGCTCAAAAGATAAGGCAGTGGTCGCTGCTTTGTCTACTTGAAATATGTATCAGGGTAGCAGACGCTGGAAAATGGATGGGATTTTTTGGTAGTGTATGTGATGTTTATCGCAAATTCTACCTGTAGCAGTTGGGAAATGAAATTGTGTTAGTTATAAACTGATAATAAGGCGACCTTTTTAGAAAAATTAATCTATCCATTAAATCCATCCCTTAACATTATAGCCACAGATGCAAAGGTACTTGTACTATGGTGCTTTAAATTCTTAAGAAGTATTGATATTGTCACACTATTTGTTTATCAATATAATGGTGTTACCTAACTGCTAGAGCAATATGTGGTTTTATTTGATTCACTGGCAGCGCTCATTATGTACTTCAAGCATGCAGAAAATATAGTTTGTATTAAAACTATTTATATTTACAGTGGAAGCCGAAAGCGAACTGTCGGAAACGCTTCAAGATGATGCCTCAGATTCGTTCTCAGACTACTTTCGCCCCTCGCCGAACTCCGAATTATTTGACATCTTATCTGGAGGCAATGCCGAAACTAATAGGTCATCCACCGATCAAAACTTACATTTGCTAGCATTGGCAGCTTCAAGTAATTACGACGGACAACCTTTCCAGGAGAATGTTGGGCAACCTTTGAATCCTTCCCAGAATGAACAGGGAAGTGAATCGATCACAATTCCAAACTCCACTAATGATTTCACGTACCCCTTCAATGAGGGATCTGAAGAACACCCTTTAGATACTTTATCAGAGGTGGAGCGTGTAGCTTCGGAGGGAATTTCTGGAAGACATTTACAAGACATGGGGAATACAAATTACCAGTATGGTACAGAACCATTTGAAGAGCCTTCGGATTTGCAATTCAACCCGTTTGTTGATATGCCTTCATTTCCTTCTACAAATGAACCTCAACAACCATTTTCTCAACCATATCCTCAGCCATATCCCCAACAGTTTTCGCCTAGATTTCCACAATTTCCAACACCCGCATTACCCCAACCGTTACCGCAAAGATTTTCAAGGCGCCGGATTCCTCCAATGTTTCCCCTACCTTCCTCGCCGCAGCAAGTACCCCCACAGTTACCTCAAACGTTATCTCAAATGTTACCTCCTTTACAGCCATTACCACCATTACCCCCACCTCTACAGCCACTACCACCATTACCCCCACCTCTACAGCCACTGCCGCCATTACCTCCGCCTCTACCCCAGACCTCCCAACCTTATCAGCGGCCATTACAGCGATTATCGCAGCGAATAGCCCAAATTTTTCCTCCATTACCCCAACCCATACCACAACAATTACCTCAAACCTTACCACCACCATCACCTCAAACAATATCCCAACCTTCTTCACAACCTGTAACCCAACCATTGAATCAACCATTCCCCCAACGGTTGCAGGAAAATTATGTTTTTACGCCACCAACTTCGTCCGTATCTAGTCGTCCGCCTTCAATAATGGCTGAGCCAATGAATGCGGGATTGTTTAGTTCAAATACAGATGCAAATTATTCACCTCATTATGGTATTATTAACGAATTTGTTCCTCTGACGCCTGAACCTGTTCTGCAACCTGCGGCACATCCACCTATGCTCCAGAATGTAACCCCCAGACCTGTCTTGTGTCCATATGGTGTGCCAGTATTAGATCAAATTCAACATTCGTCTCCTGTACCTCTTCCTAACTGTTATGTAGGGCATGAGCCACTATCACCGGCCGGCCATATTCCTTGTCCAATGCACGCATTGCCTCCACCTGGCACGCACGGACAACCGCAATATATGAATCCGTCGGTTCCTCCTGCTCATGCTTCAGGATATCAAGGTCCTATTCCTGCGACATTTAGCACTACACATTTGCCGATGTTTCCACCACCACTGCCGGTTGAACAATCACTTCCCGAAAATTTGTCCCAAATTCCTCATCAATTGATAGATGGTACTTCGGGACAGCATCCAACAAATCAAGAAACTATCGAAGCGACACCTACATTTCAATCATTTCTGGAGCTTGAAGATAATCGTTACACTGAAGGACAAAATGCCCCATCCTCTGATGTAATTCAAATAAATAGTAGCACGGAGTCGTCGGATGATATTCCCGAAGGAGTCGACCCCTCATTTTTAGAAGCTTTACCATTAGAAATGCGCAGAGAGGTTGTTTCATTTCTTCTCTCTAACCTCACTTACGATTAAACATTTTAGGTACTCGAACAATATAGAATGTTGCACTCTCAACATAATCGTCCATCTAGTTCCGGTACGGCAGTCGACGAGACTGCTGGCGCATCCAGTTCTTCGGAGGTCAACCCCGAATTCTTAGCAGCTTTACCACCTGCACTTCAAGAGGAGGTGTTAACCCAACAGAGATTGGAACAACAACGGCACGCCGCGGCTCACGCGAATCCTGATGAACCCGTTGATGCAGGTGCATTCTTTGAGACGCTACAGCCATCTCTACGTACGATGGTAAATCATTTAATCCACTGTTGCGATCAGATTTAAAAACATTTCAATTCGTGCAGATTCTTTCCGACATGGAAGACTCGCAGATGTCCGCCTTACCACCAGATCTCGCAGCTGAAGCTCAAACTTTACGTCGAGATTGGGAGGCTCGCAATCGTCAAATCGTTCAGGAAAGGATCTTCCAAAGTAATCTCACAACCATAATACGCCATTCGACTAGGGGCCGTCTTTCGTCGCGACTTAACACCCACCTACTCCCACAACGCGCCCAGTGGGGAACTTGGGGCAGAGCTGAGCTTTTCCCTCCCGCTCCCAGCGCAAATCCGGGAATGAGGATGCGAGGCAGACAGTTGCTAGATCACGAATCTTTATCGTGTTTGTTAGTTTTAATATTTGCGAATGATCCCAAACTGAACACTCTCCGTTTACATCGTGTCATTCGAAATCTTTGTTACCATAGTCCGACGCGCGAATGGATTATTAAGGCGCTGCTATCGATAATTGACAAAAGTGTTCAGTGCAAACCTGATGATAACTCTCTCAGGCCCATGAGGCGAACACCTAAGCCCGGACCTTTAACGAGTAAGTTAATAACAGATTTGAAAAATGTCGGTAACGGAGCAAATTGGCTGAATATTCGCATGGAAGCTGCCCTTGGATGCCACGCGAATGTATTTATGGTTAACCGGGCATCCGGTAAACGAAGTGACAGAGTAAACGGATCCTCCATTGTTATACATCCTCAAGCTGGTCCTATCGTTTGTAAAAATGCTTTGGATTTATTTATATCTTTGTCTAAAAACTTCCCTTCTTGTCTTTTGCCGTTACGGATCAGGGAAGATAAGGAGGAGCGAGAGGAGAGAGCCAAAAATATGCTAGTACTTTCTCCATCCAAGTACAAAATTGAGGGCACAGACTTCTGGGACATGCTACTTAAATTAGATTCGACGAGTTCTAAAAAAGGAAAAAGCTTAGCTAAAACGCATAGTAATTTCAGTTTAAGTAATGACGTTGAAAGTATTTGTTTCGGGTTCGAACAGTCACCTTTCGGTCAACTACTGTGTATGTTATCATCTCCTGTCATATATCGAAGCACACAACTTACCGATAAATTGCTACGCTTACTATCTGTGATAACTGCGGGAATGCCTGAACTAGGAAAAAATTCTACATCCGACACACAACAAGGTAAACCAAAGACCCCAATATACGAAAGTGTTTCGGCACCCGAAAGTGCACTTAGTTTGGCTGTCAATGTTCTTACGTACAAAAGTTGTTCCGAAGAGGGATTGGAAGATGCCACCACTCTACTTTTAAATTTAGCGAATTGTTCTGTCGATATGCGCTATGTCGTAAGGGGATTTACATTTAATTAACTCGTTTTCTTTCATTTCTCTGTTTGTAGATCCTTAAACTTTTGTTAAGTGGAGCATTACGCATCGGAGAAGTTGTCAGAGAACAGATTCAGTGTATGTTACGCGAGTTACGAAACTTAAATAAAGTACAAAAAAGGAAAACGCTTGAAGAAGCAAGTCCAAGTTCCTCAAAAGGAATGATGCAAAACAGATTTACCAAAGAAACAGTAATTATCACAGCTTCCACCAAAGTTAAGGCAGGTTACGACTTGCAGTTGCCGTGTATGGCTCCACTTACGTCCAAAACATCTAGCCAATTGTTCTTTTTACGAGTCCTACGCGTTATTGTTCAAATCCGTGAAGCCATTAAGAATGGTTTACTAAAAGGTAAGTTTTCTAACGGGATGTCTGAAATTTTATCATCTTTCAGTAGAAGAAGAAGAAAAGAAGAAAAATGAGGAGAAAGAGGTCGACAAACCACGTGATGATCTTTTGCAAGATACTAGTATGTAAAATTGTTATTGAGTTTGTTTTGCAACAATGTTTTTACAGGCGATGTCAACTTGGATCACTCACATTTGTCTGCACTAAGCGATCAGCTGTTCGAGTTAGAGAGTTTGTGGGATACACTGAGCTTGTGCCTTCTAGAACTGGAACACACGCCAGATGATCATGCCGTCCTGGTTTTGCAGGTAGGGCCATTTACAGCGTAATTGGGTCTTTTGATATTTTCGGAACTTTTTATCTGTAGCTATGTTTCTTGCAAGTTTATGTCTAATTGAGTTAAACATAATATCTCAGATACCCTACATTGAATAAACACCCTGTGTATTAATCCCAAATGAAAGCCACCCACACCTATGGAACATTTCACTTTAATTATTTATGTATCAAAAGCTAAAATATGCCCTAAATTTGATTAACACCCTAAACCTTCAGCTAATAAATAATAAAACCAACCCTCATGCTTAAACAGAATCATATTAATTCAGCTAAAGGAAAATTACCATAATAAAAACGTCTCGTACGTGAAATCTACAGTAAATAACAAATCGACCCCTAAATACGGCCCTTACCCTAGCTGATCACATTTATTTACACAATTATTGTGCAATTTTAAAACAAAGGTCCTCAATTCAAATTTAGTCAAATCTGTAGCATATGTAATATTGATTTATTTGAGTAGTTATTTATTTATTGCTCCTCTCTTGTTATGGCCCGTCAACCGGCTTTCGCCCAATTACAGAGTGACCCGCATAATGCTTTTTAGAGGTGTCTGCAGAAGGTCTTAAGTTGTTCTATACTACTCCGGTATTTACCTTACGAATTAGGAAAACTGCAAGAATACCTAATTCGGAGTAGCTGGCAGAATGCTCGAAACTGATCTAAGGAAGTTCCCACCTCTGCCACAGATGAAAAATTCACCTCAACTCAGGTTCGAACACCCGACCTCCCGGCTGTGCTACGGGTTTCCAGATTCTTCTGTCCCCTGTGGACCTCTGACTTTATTTAGGTATAAACTGTGGGCAGTTAGTATGTTGAGGTCTGTAAAAGTGGTTTACATGCATGGTTTTCATTTTATAGCTCTTGTCCAGAGACACACGCACAGTAAAATTTGCTCTCCCTATCTCCACCCATTTTTTAAAAAGTTGATAAAAAAATGCGAGATTTTTTTAATCCCCGCCATATAACAAAACAAAGAACTCTAGAGCTTACTTTTTTACACAGCCCGCTGTTGAGGCATTCTTCCTTGTTTACTCGCCACAACAGGGAGCGACGGACCGTGAAGTGAGTAAACCACAGAATTCTGCACCGGAGCCGGAATCGTCTTCGCGCAATAACGAAAGTGGTTCGGAGAGCAGCGACACGGTCACTAGTGTAGAATCAAGCGCCAAATTGAATGTGCCCGTTGACCAGCTCAAGTTTATAAATTTTGCCGAAAAGCATCGTACTGTATTGAATCAGATCTTGAGACAAACGACGGCCCACTTAACCGACGGTCCTTTCTCTGTGCTTGTTGATCATACCAAAGTGTTGGACTTCGACGTGAAGAGAAAGTACTTTAGGACTGAGTTGGAGCGTTTAGATCAAGGCCTTAGGAGGGAGGAGACCGCAATTCACGTACGTCGGAGTCACGTGTTCGAGGACTCGTTCAGAGAGTTGTACAGACGTACCCCTGAGGAATGGAAGAATAGATTTTACATTGTTTTTGAGGGTAAACATAACGAATTATTTATTCTTTACTTACGTTACAATCTTGCAGAGGAAGAAGGTCAAGATGCGGGGGGATTGTTAAGAGAATGGTACATGATCATCTCTCGTGACATTTTCAATCCAATGTATGCACTATTTACGACTTCACCTGGCGATCGTGTCACGTACATGATCAATCCAGCTAGTCATTATAACCCCAATCATTTATGCTACTTTAAGTTTGTAGGTCGTGTCATTGGTAAGTTCATTATCCGAAAGGACCGTATCCAAATTGTTTTGTGTTGCAGCGAAAGCAATTTATGATAATAAATTATTAGAATGTTACTTTACGCGTTCGTTTTATAAACACATATTGGGCATACCTGTAAAGTATACAGATATGGAAAGTGAAGACTATAGCTTTTATAGGGGATTAGTTTATTTGATGGAGTACCACGTTAAGGATTTAGATTACGATCTAACGTTCAGCACTGAAATTAACGAGTTTGGTGTTACGGAAACTCGCGATTTAATTCCTGACGGTCGAAATGTTCCTGTAACCGAGGAGAATAAGATGGAGTATGTTAGACTTTCGTGTCAAATGAAAATGACTGGCGCTATTAGGCAACAGTAAGTTTCAGGCCAATAATTATAATATTCCTAGTGCGGTGTGATTAATATATTCGTAAATTGCAGATTAAACGCTTTCTTAGAAGGTTTTTACGATATAATTCCTAAACGATTAATATCAATATTTAATGAGCAAGAATTAGAATTGCTCATATCAGGGTTGCCTAACGTCGATATAGATGATCTGAAGGCGAACACAGAGTATCACAAGTACCAAAGTAATTCATTGCAGGTACGTGCCCACTTTTTCAAAATGTTTTTTGCATCACTTTCTCCTCAGATTCAGTGGTTCTGGAGGGCGTTACGTTCTTTCGATCAGGCAGATAGAGCTAAATTTCTTCAATTCGTCACAGGAACATCAAAAGTTCCATTGCAAGGTTTTGCTCACTTAGAAGGTATGAATGGAGTGCAAAAATTCCAAGTGCATCGTGATGATCGTTCTACAGACCGTTTGCCTTCAGCTCATACTTGGTAAGTCAGACTTTGTTTCAGGTGCGATCTTAAAATTTAGGAAACCTCTGTGTCACTAAAATTGAAAGACTGTTTTAGGATTTTTCAGTTCAGACCAATTTTGGGTTTACCGTTGACGGTTAACTTGATCAAAATTAAACATTTTTATTTTGCAGTTTCAATCAGCTCGACTTACCTGTCTACGAGACTTCTGAAAAGCTACGCACTTACTTACAAAAAGCCATTCACGAATGTTCAGAAGGCTTTGGTTTTGCTTAAGAAAATTTATGCGTTAAGACTGATACAGTGATAGGTACCCTAGATATGTTTTCAAAGACCAAGTATGACGCTTGGTTTTTTCTTGTTAATCGAATAGATAGTTGGATTATCCTATTTTTTGTGTATATATATATAATTGTACAGGAGGAATAATTGACAAATATGTATTATAAGAATTTATCTTAATTTTTATATGCGCTGCAGTAGTTTATTTAACTGTTGCATGTGCTTCTGTTCATTACTTCTATTTCTTGTAAAAAATGCGAAGGCACATGTATTTTTGTAAAGGGCCGAATGGCGTCGAAAGTGATAACTTAAGATTTATTTAATCATACTCTACGTTTTTGTTTAAATAATTTAAATTCACTTAATTCTTTGTTCTCTTTTATTTCATTCCAAAAATTCTTCAGCAAGTTTGCACAGGTTACACTTTGTTGTATTTGTTGCGAACATAGTTTAATTGGCATTTCATTCATAGTGCTTGCCTCCTTTATTTTAATTAACATATAATTTTTTTGTGATAACAAATGGTTTAATAAATGTTTCTTATTTTTCGTGCCTACTCTTATTTATTTTTCATTTCGAGTGTTCACTTATAAGATGTAATTGTAAGTAAAATTGCAAATTAATAATGATCGTACTAAACTTCATTTTAAAATTTTGTGGGTGCTAATAAAAATTTATCTAGTTCTATACATACTAGCGGAGTATGGAAATGGTAACAATAAAACTATTTGCATACATACAGTTTTTAAGTTTTATAAAAATTGCATTATTTTATAGTTCTTGTCGTTTGCTTTGCAGTACTTAGCATTTTAAGATGAATGCCTGTAAACATTAAGGACTCTTCGTTTTCTAATAAACAACACAATTATACTTTGGGTTTATGAAACCTATTCATTCGATTATCGTTCATTAGTCATCACTGTTTGCGTTTTATTATTTTTCATCCAATGGAAATATTACTTTACTTCTAGCCTAATAAATGAATTGCTTTGAGCAAAATAAATGTTGATTATGAGAAAGATTCTTGTATATGCAAAATTTACTATTTTTTGTACAGTTTAGCATGATGCATTGAGAATCAACTCTTCTTCGAATTTTGTTGGATGGGATGTGAAAAATGTATATAATACAATAAATGCAATTTAGGGAGTATTATTTAAAAATATGTACATTTGTAATAATAAATAAAGAATGTTTCATAAATATTTATTACTGAATATTTGGTACCTACTATCATCGAATAATAGATTCTTTACTCAATGGTACTAATTAGTCTTATCTTTTTTCGGCACCAGAACATATTCAGTGATTAACTTCTTTGGTGAAAAAAAAAATTGAATGCCTTTCAAAGTATATCTTTCTATGAGCTTAATTTTAAAGTGGGAAAGGGATTAGGTGGCAAAATATGAAAATTAAAAACTAGTAGACCGTAGGGAGGTAATAAGTAGTGGTGCTAACTGCTGTAATTTCAGTTTGTACATCCTATGTTCCAAGGGTGAGAAAACGAAACGTATTGCAGGTGTAACCTTGAGAGCAAGTTTTTACAATTGGTAGCGACATCTGGGAAGACAAGCTGACGCTAAGAAAGCGTTTGAAGTCAAGCTAAAGAAGGAAACTGTAAAAGGTTACAGAATCCAACAGCAATTGGGAGAAGACTGTGGTAAAATGAAGTAAACTATACACTAAGATAAGTTGCAGAGACACTATACGGATAATAGAGGACACTTATCTAGATTGGAAGAATTTTTTCAAACAAAGATAATCGTGCTGTATTCTCTTTGCTTTTAAAGAAGTAAACTTGCTAGAACAACTAAATAAATACTCCTTCACAAGAAGAATTCAACAAAAGTAACGCTCAAAATGCAGAAAACTGCTGTGTATACCTACTAAGCAAGAAGTGACAACGAAGAAAATGGCAAAATAAAAGGAGGAAGCTACTCCCAAAAATCTATGACCAGTGGCATATTTACAGGGGGGGGGGGGGGAAGGGGATATCTCCCCCCCCCCCCCCCAGAAGAATTGAGTTATCATCATAGCTATTAGGTATTTAGGTAATACTCCGCTATCCGCTCCGCCCACTTTAAAATAAAGGCAATAATATATAGGTATATATAGAGAACAATTTTGGTTTTGGTTAAAGTCTAAAGTCACTAAAATCTAAATATTCTGTAGTATTCACTATTCAGTGAGTGATCAGTGTTGGCAGTCAACGATTTGGCTATTAGGCATCGATCGGCAATTCGCTGCATTGATGCCCAAAATAACAAATAGGTATCAGGTACTTAGTACTGCTACTTAGGTGAGGTACCTGCGTCCTGCCTTTCACGAAATGACGAAAATAAGAATTTTAAATTTTAAAAACAGGAATTTTTTGCCCATAACTTTTGATTGAGACGTCTAATCGAAAAAGTACGAATCGTTTTGGATTCTACGCACCCAAATTAATAAGAAAAAGTTTTTTCTCGAGAAATTGTGGTGCAGTCGATTTTTGGTAAAAAAGGAAGGTTATAACTGCCTTTTTTTGCCCAGGAAAAACAATTGTCACAGATCGACCGGAAAAAAATATTTTCTTATAGAATGTGGCCTGTAGAATCCATAATTCCAAACAGTTCCAAGATCGGACTACTAGATCAAAAGTTACAGCCCTTTGAATTTTTTGTCGAAATTGGTTTTTTGCCCATAACTTTTGATGGAGACGTCTAATCGAAAAAGTACGAATCGTTTTGGATTCTACGCACCCAAATTAATAAGAAAAAGTTTTTTCCCGAGAAATTTTGGTGCAGTCGATTTTTGGAAAAAAAGGAAGATGAGAACACTTAGGTACACCTAAACTTATTAAAAGGAAAGGTTTTTAAAAGATGGTTGTAGGTAAGTGAATCGCCACAGATCAATCACTTAGCTTATCCAAAGTCAATCCTGATGATAGATAAAAGGGATTCTGAGGGAGACGAGATGTGATTTGTTTGTAATAACCATGGGTATAGTTATTTTAAACATATTTCAGTGTGTTCCTCAAACGCCACCCTCGAAAATCAATGATAAAGCCAAGATTGATTTTCACTGTAGTGTTTCCCACAAGATGTCGTTTGGTTGTCATTGGTTCAAAGGTACATACATATTTTATTCAATATTTTGTTGCAGAAGTTAATTAATCTTGACTTCTTGAGAGCTTTTCAGATTTAGCCCTTGTAATTAGATTTTTTGATCGTTTAAAATTTAAGGGGTAGCTACCTGTGCGTATGAACAGCTCCCTGTTGTAAGTGAACAATGAGAATATTGTAGAATAGCGCCACCTCTCGTGGGGTAGTTACAACTGTATTACTAGACCGATAGCAAATGATCCCTTAACGTTTCATTAAACTTCGGTTTAGTTCTTTCTCGGAAGGGGTCGCTATATATTTTTAAAATAGTCGTTCACTCTGGTTGCACTATTTTCTTAAAACAAAATGTATGTAAAACATATTTGTGTCTGAAAAACCCAATTTGTAAAAAGTTTTTGCTTTAAAACGATTCATTGAAAACCTGCGTTAATTTCCTTAGTCCGTCACTCAGACGGCCTGTTTTATTTTATACGTCTTCGCGCGTATAGTAAACAGAAGCCCAAATTTTGTCAACAATTTCGGGGGTTTTACGATCTTGTTTTACTTGAGTAGAAGCGACTTTTCCTTCTTGAAATCTTAGATCTACTAAATAAAAATCACATCAGAAGCAAAATAGGTAATGGTTACCAGTCACTTTGCTGATGGACGCGTTTTTGATTCTATAAGTATGGGTATGTTTCATTTGCTTCGGCGCAAAAAATTACACGGTAAATGACATTTCACTCGCCTAGTTTTCAAAATTTCCCCCCTGCTCATTAACCCTGGAAGGGGGTAGGAGCCCTAAATTGTGTTAAGACTCGGCAGATCCTCATTTCTAGTGCCATGATAAAGTTATAAGCAAAGCTTCATTGATGTACATAATTTGTGTTATATTGAGTCTTACTTTACCTATATTAAGGTTCTTATTAAGATTTAAAATATCGTTCAGAGAAAATTGAAAACTTTCTTTAAATTTTTTGCGAAGGGGGTCTTATTTGAGACCTGCAAAAATGGAGGATATTCAAGTTGTTTATTTAAAACGCAGAAATGAAGGGGTCAATTCTATCTTTGGTGCGGACGAAGGAAGCCGAATTGAGGTTGTGGGGGAGAAAAGGAATCGCAGGATGGGGTTGAAGGTTTGAGGGTGGTTTAGGAACGGAGAAGGCGACAATTGTTTGGTAAAGGTTGACTATCATATTAATCGGGTATTTATTTATTGACTGTAGGAGACTGCGAAACTCAGTGGAATAATTGTTCGGATTGATTGAATTATAAAATCCTATTTTAATTTTTAATAGACTTTATGTTGATGATATTGTAGCGAATATTCCAGAAATCTCGATAGACATCGAGGCGCCATGACAGATTAGTTATCGGCGATAAATAACGAAGGCGGATGTGACGCAATCAATAAAGCACGTAATTAAATTTTCTTTACAATACCCTTCCTTCAGCAGGAACCAAGTTCATTTTTTATTAACAGTTTGTTAATTCTCCAAAAACAAAAGAAAACAATGACCCTTTTCCAATTCCCGTGAGCCTTAACGACTGCATTCAGTAGGAGCTAGGCATTTGCTACCCCGTCAATTTTCATTAACACTCAGTTTAGTATTCTAAACAATAGCTTTAGTGAGTGTATTACTGTTGCATTGCTTGTGGTTCAAATTCATGGCTCACCAGTGGGATCTCCGTAAAAGTAGGTTAAATGGGAACTAATTTGCCCAAATTTGAAATTTTTGAAAGATCTTTGAAAATAACTGGTATATCACCGAAAAACTGAAAATGTCAAATTTTTTCCCTGCCCGAAATGGCCTAAAAATGGACGGTTCCCATTAGCACCTTCTATGGGCACGACAAGAATCTTAATCTTTTACCAGAATTTCCATAACACGTTAGATGGAGAAGCTATAGGGTACTACTTTCTTATTTTTTATAGACGCCATATTGGATTTTTACGCAATGAGATAGAGGACAAACAAAGAAATTCATTTGAATCTATCGCCATCAACGTTATGTTGATTCAGCAAGATACCAGTGGATGTTTTGTTGCGAAATTTGATTTTGAAATTTTTCTTATAAATTTATCTAAAAGTATGACGTGTCACTATTTTTCTTTTTTTGTCCTCTATCTCATTTCGTAAAAATCCAACATGGTGGTTATAACAAATAAGAGAGTAGTAGCTTCTACATCTAGCGTGTGCTGGAAATGGTGATAACAGATTCAGATTCTCCAAAACAAAACTGTCCATAGAAAACGAAATTTGACATTTTCAGTTTTTCGAGGAAATCTCAGTTATTTTGAATGATTTTTAAAAATTTCAAACGTTTTTTTCAGTTTACAAAAAGGGGTAACTTTGCCCCCATTTAATCTACACAGGAACACTCATTTACAGGACAAATGCGAAAATACGTAAAGAAACGTTATTAATTCTAAATTAGTAATAAATGCTAAATGTGAGAATAAAGAGAAAA